CTTTCTATGAGGTAGTACTCGAGAGGTTCAGTACGCCCCGTTAGACAAAGCTGTGTACGTGCCCCAATTAGAATTCCCGATGTTTCACTGCACAAGAAAAGGGGATCTAGGTGCAATGCAAAGGCTAACCTGTCAGTGGAAAGTTTTTTGAATGCTTCATAGCCACTTTCGCCTGGGAACAGTACATTCAGGATTGCTTCCGTAGATCCACGAGTTTCATAAATTTCACAGAGTATCTTTTCGATCCAAATTATCATTAAAATTGATGCATTCATAAAACCCTAAGTTGACACCAGAAATGTCATATCCACAATAACTTGTCCATATAAAAGTAACAGTTACAAGAATGAATATATGTTCTTAAAACACTTGTTCTATTGTATGGTTTATGTGGATATGAAAATCGATTCATAAAAAAATTGATGGACACAAAAATCACAAAATACGTTGTCCAAATGAACAATACCAAATGGATACTCTAATATGCTTAAAACCGGAAGAATAATAATTAATGGAAATATACACTTAAAATATATCAAAGTGGATGTTAAAATGTAGAAAAAAAAATTATAATCGGTTGTGTCAAAAAAATATACATTAATTTTTACTTAAATTTTTCTTTTGTTATATTTGTTTCACTAACCAAACTTCTATAATCTCTTTCAATTACTTTGGTTTCCGCGCTCAACATAAGCAATAGGATCTAAATTCTCTCTTTGAAATCCATTGGTCTTTATCAAAGCTAATAAAACTAAAATCTAGCTACACTTTTTTATTTTGAACGATTTATTACAGCCACATGATCGTTTTATTTAGTTACAATCCAACGGTTTTAAACTTATCAACATTTCAACATTTTGTTTTTTCTCTCACTATCTTAAATAAGGGCAAAATCGTCAAAAAAATCAAAAAGCTAGCAAATAAAGCTCAAAAGTACACCATGGATTTAAAGTATGTCTATGTGACAAGTTTTACACCAAAAGTGGCTCTAATTAATCCTAGAGAAGTTAACATTTGTATAGTAGTATATTGAGATCACATTTTATTAATCCTAGAGAAGTTAACATTTATATAATAACCATAAGATAAGAGAAATTTCTCATTTAAACATGTTGTCAAATACCGATTAATTTTCTTATTTTCCTATCTCGATATTATATTTTGGTGTGAGAAACAAGGTTAGGTAGGTGTATGTTCAAGACTTTCTAACATTGATGTTGGTGCACGAAGCTACGTGTCTACTTTAAAAGATTACTCCAGACTCCAGCAATGGTTATTATATCGTTACTATGTCTAAAGTTCACGTGATAGTGAGTGTAAAATCTTGTAGAATCGTATATTTCAGATGCTCAAAGATTCTTGTCCTTGGTGTGGTCAAACAAAAAATCTCTCCCCAAACCCAAATATAAGAAGAAGATAACAACAAAAACGACACTGACGTCAATGTAGAACCGAAGTGCCTCGGAAATGCAAGTATGCAACTATTACACTCAAGTTCAGGTATTTTTAAAACATATGTAATGACAGCGCAATGCATGCATTTGCATGATGGCACTATTTTTAAGCTCTGGACTAATCAAAGAAGATAATAGTCATCGTTTACAATTACTATCTCGTGCTCTATAGTATTTTTTTATAGTTGATAATCGTTAATGTATTTTAATCTGGGTTGTTGCAAGTTCTTAAAAACATGTCATGTGATGTGAATTGGTTGCGGTGGACTTTTACTTTGTAAGTTAACAAAGTATAAGAAAATCCAGGAAATTAAATAGACATGTTTTTAAAAGCCAAAATTTAATAATTTTTAAATTAGTATAAAAACTGTTTTTTATAAATATAGAAAACAATATCTTTTTTTTTTTTTGAAAAACCAAAACTTAAAGGTTTAAATTAATAACATATTGCATTTTAAAAGCCAAAGATGATGTTTAAATTAATTATATCCATTCAATATATATCTACCTTTGAAAGTAATATATATTTCTTACTTTTGTTTTTTATTTAAATCATAATTTTAGTTTCCTATATACTATTTTTCCATTTAAAAATAAGAATAATAAATAAAAATAAATATGATTGAGAAAAAGACCCAAACAAAAGTAACAAAAACTTTTTAACCCTAAATCAAATCATTCCCCAAAAGAGGAAATAAATAAAAGAAGTAGTTATATAGATTGTGACGGAGACAAAACCATCTTCTCTGTTCTTCTTCTCCATTGACGTTGATCTCGATGTCACCACACTACCACTATAAATAAACCCTCTTCTCCTATTTTTGCCATCTCTCTGACTTTGGAGCCCAAAAAACTCTCACACCCATCAAAAAAAATCCAAGCTTTTTTTGTCTCGGCGTCAATGGAGGATCTCCGTCGTAGATTTCCGACCAAAAACAAAGACAACGACGGAGATATCTCCAATGTCGCCGTCACTCCTCCTCGTAAAGCCTCTGACGCTCTTCCTCTTCCGTTGTACCTAACAAACACTTTCTTCCTCGCCCTCTTCTTCGCTACGGTTTATTTCCTTCTCAGCCGATGGCGTGAGAAGATCCGTAACTCTACGCCTCTTCACGTCGTTGACCTCTCTGAGATCTGTGCTCTCATTGGTTTCGTTGCTTCGTTTATTTACCTCCTTGGTTTCTGCGGTATCGATCTCATTTCCCGATCTTCTTCCGATGATGATGTTTGGGTTAACGATGAAGATTTGCGGAGGACGGTTCCATGTGATCAGTCCCTAGATTGTTCTGTTAAACCTAGTTCTATTGATCATTCCCCTGTTTCTGGTCTTGAGTCAGTAGAAGATGAAGAGATTGTTAAATCGGTGATTGAAGGAACCATCCCATCTTACTCATTAGAGACGAAGTTTGGAGATTGTAAACGAGCAGCAGCGATTAGAAGAGAAGCGGTTCAGAGGATAACTGGTAAATCCTTAACCGGTCTTCCATTGGAAGGTTTCGATTACGATTCGATTTTGGGGCAATGCTGTGAGATGCCAGTTGGGTATGTTCAGATCCCTGTGGGGATTGCTGGACCTTTGTTGCTTGATGGGGTTGAGTATTCAGTGCCAATGGCTACAACAGAAGGTTGTTTGGTTGCTAGTACCAATAGAGGTTGTAAAGCTATTAACTTGTCTGGAGGTGCTTCTAGTGTTCTCTTGAAAGATGCAATGACTAGAGCTCCAGTTGTTAGATTCCCTTCTGCAAGAAGAGCTGCTCTTGTCATGTTTTATCTGCAAGATCCTGCTAATTTTGAGAGATTGTCTCTCATGTTCAACAAGTGAGTTTGAGAAACTTTGTACCTTCTACTTGATGCTAGGATGGTGATTTGATTTTGTTTTTTTTTTGTTATTGTGTATATGTATAGATCCAGTAGATTTGCTAGGCTTCAGAGTATTAAGTGCACGATTGCTGGGAGGAATCTCTATCCGAGGTTTTCGTGTAGTACTGGTGATGCTATGGGGATGAACATGGTCTCTAAAGGTGTTCAGAATGTCTTAGATTTCATAAAGAGCGAGTTTCCTGACATGGATGTTATTGGCATCTCAGGTAAATTCTTCTTTCGATCTTCATTATTGTCTTGATTTTCGAATCAAAGTCTAGCTCTTTTTTATATTAATTGGTGTTATGGTGTTCAGGGAATTACTGTTCGGACAAGAAGGCTTCGGCTGTAAACTGGATCGAAGGACGCGGTAAGCATGTTGTATGTGAAGCCGTGATTAAGCGTGAGATTGTGGAGAAAGTGTTGAAGACTAGTGTTGCGGCTCTTGTAGAGCTTAACATGCTCAAGAACCTTGCTGGTTCAGCCATGGCGGGTTCTCTTGGTGGGTTCAATGCTCATGCAAGCAATATTGTCAGCGCTGTGTTCATCGCCACTGGCCAAGACCCAGCTCAAAACGTTGAGAGCTCACACTGTATCACCATGATTGAAGCTGATGGCAACGACCTTCACATCTCTGTCAAAATGCCTTGCATTGAGGTATAATGCATGTTCAATCTGAAACTAAACCCATTTATTGCAGAGAAGAGAACACAAAGCCCTTAGTATTTTTGAATATTGTTGTATCCAACTCATAAACTTTTTCTAATGATATGTGGCTCCAGGTTGGTACTGTTGGAGGTGGGACACAACTTGCATCACAATCAGCTTGTTTGAATCTGCTCGGTGTGAAAGGATCAAACAAGGAGGCGCCTGGCTCAAACGCACAGCAATTGGCAAGGATAGTGGCTGGTACAGTTCTTGCAGGAGAGCTTTCACTAATGTCTGCTATTGCAGCTGGACAGCTTGTGAAGAGTCACATGAAATACAACAGATCCAGCAGAGACATTGGCCCTTCGTCTCAAGTCAACAGATGATATTTGGAGCACAATGAGACAGATGATAATAAAACCAAAAAAACAAACTTAGATTGATGTAATTTTAACCTCATTTGATTTTCTTCCTCCATCGATCTCTTTTCTATCTGTTTGTACTCTTTAAGTCTCCAAATGGTCTTAATTTATGTAAAGTCATTTTTTGTCCTTCCATCTTTATGTCTTATATCATAATTTTTGAAAGTCTCATAGACTAGTGTATATAAGTCACTTTCACAAATTACAAATATAAGAAAATTGCTATTATTTTTCACATTTCAAGCTTTACAAGAGTGTTTGAGGTGTAAAAAACGATGGGAAGTGAGGTTTCCATGGAGAGGAGAAGAGCGGCGCACTGAGAATCAGAAGAAGTAGCCAACAGCCGAGGCTTAAGTAGTGACGAGAGCGAGAAAACAAATCTCGAGGGGACTTGAGGAAAAATAGAAAGCTTATGGAAGTTTTATACATGGTGGGACTGGTGTTGATGTGCTTCTGGAGGCTTGGATCAACAAGAAAAGTCAAAAGTTCCATTTGCTTGTAGTACCTAGTTGTTAGCTATACTTGATGCTTGATGGGATCAATGTGATAAGCCTTTGGGTTTCAACATCATCTTCTGGGCAACATAAGATGTTTTTGCAGTTTATAACATAGCATCAAGATGTGTGATTAAGGCTTTATTAACTGTCGTATTGTTTCTAGCCATGAATTTTATAACATTGGTTTGATCATTGTGGTAGTGTTTGTGTTGATTTGATGATATACATGACAAGAGTTTGGTTCTAATAAATCTGTGGAAACTACGTATTATACTGTGCAACCTCGTGCAGATTAGTGGGCAACTGGATTTACACTGTGGGCAAAATGAATCGTGTCTTTTGTGTGTAATCGGAGAATCACAAAAGAAAAAAAAAAAACAAAAAATGGGAACCCTAGGAAGAGCGATTTACACTGTGGGCAACTGGATTCGTGGGACTGGTCAAGCTCTTGATCGTGTTGGTTCTCTTCTTCAAGGAAGCCACCGCATCGAAGAACATCGTAAGCTTCTTCAGATCCTTCCCTTGCTTACGCTCTTTTAAGCTCTAGATCCAATTCGTATCTCTAATTTGTGTCTTCACCAGAGAAATTTGTGGGTCTCATTGGGTTCGTTTTGATTTTACAGTGTCGAGGCATAGGACGTTGATGAATGTGTTTGATAAATCTCCATTGGTGGATAAGGATGTATTTGTGGCTCCGGGTGCTTCTGTTATTGGTGATATTCACATCGGGAAAGGCTCGTCGATTTGGTATGGGTGTGTTCTTCGAGGTGAGGATTTGATTTTTTTCACTAAGCCTGAAGAGGTTTTGGTTCCATGTTATTACTCCTGTGAGCATAGAAATGGAAATAGAGAGTCTTAGTGGTGTTTGGTTCAAATGAAGTACCAAATTTGCAGCATTATACTGTGCAACCTCGTGCAAATTAGCCATAGGCTTATAAGTTTAGTCTGCTGTATGCCTCAACTGTTAGTGTTAAGGATTGAATCCTATTGTCGTTGACCTCTCTGAGATCTGTGCTCTCATTGGTTTCGTTGCTTCGTTTATCTACCTCCTTGGTTTCTGCGGTATCGATCTTCTTCCGATGATGATGTTTGGGTTAACGATGAAGATTTCAGGAGGAAGGTTCCATGTGACCAATCCCTAGATTGTTCTGTTAAACCTAGTTCCATTGATCATTCCCCTGTTTCTGGTCTTGATTCAGTGGAAGATGAAGAGATTGTTAAATCGGTGATTGAAGGAACCATCCCATCTAACTCATTGGAGGCGAAGCTCGGAGAATGTAAACGAGCAGCAGCGATTAGAAGAGAAGCGGTTCAGAGGATAACCGGAAAATCCTTGACCGGTCTTCCATTGGAAGGTTTCGATTACGATTCGATTTTGGGGCAATGCTGTGAGATGCCAGTTGGGTATGTTCAGATCCCTGTGGGAATTGTTGGACCTTTGTTGCTCGATGGGGTTGAGTATTCAGTGCCAATGGCTACAACAGAAGGTTGTTTGGTTGCTAGTACAAACAGAGGTTGTAAAGCTATTAACTTGTCCGGAGGTGCTTCTAGTGTTCTCTTGAAAGATGCAATGACTAGAGCTCCAGTTGTTAGATTCCCTTCTGCAAGAAGAGCTGCTCTTGTCATGTTTTATCTGCAAGATCCTGCTAATTTTGAGAGATTGTCTCTCATGTTCAACAAGTGAGTTTGAGAAACTTTGTACCTTCTACTTTGTGCTAGGATGGATGGTGATTTTTGATTGGATTTTGATTTTTGTTGTATATGTGTATAGATCGAGTAGATTTGCTAGGCTTCAGAGTATTAAATGCACGATTGCTGGGAGGAATCTCTATCTGAGGTTTTCGTGTAGTACTGGTGATGCTATGGGGATGAACATGGTCTCCAAAGGTGTTCAGAATGTCTTGGATTTCATAAAGAGCGAGTTTCCTGACATGGATGTTATTGGCATCTCAGGTAATTTCTTCTTTCTATCTTTAGTATAGTCTCGATTTTTGAATCAAAGTCTACCTCTTTTTAATTAATTGTTGGTGCTATGGTGTCCAGGAAATTACTGTTCGGACAAGAAGGCTTCAGCTGTAAACTGGATCGAAGGACGCGGTAAGCATGTTGTATGTGAAGCTGTTATTAAGGGTGAGATTGTGGAGAAAGTGTTGAAGACTAGCGTTGAGGCACTTGTAGAGCTTAACATGCTCAAGAACCTTGCTGGTTCAGCCATGGCTGGTTCTCTTGGTGGGTTCAATGCTCATGCAAGCAATATTGTCAGCGCTCTGTTCATCGCCACTGGCCAAGACCCAGCTCAAAACGTGGAGAGCTCACACTGTATCACCATGCTTCTTGCCGATGGCGACGACCTTCACATCTCTGTCACAATGCCTTGCATTGAGGTATAGTGCATGTTCTATCAGTAATTACACAAATTATTGCGGAGAAGACAAAGCCGTTGGTACTTTGAATATTGTTGTATCCAACTCATGAACTTATTTTAATGATTTGTGGTTTCAGGTTGGTACTGTTGGAGGTGGGACACAACTTGCATCACAATCAGCTTGTTTGAATCTGCTTGGTGTGAAAGGATCAAAGAAGGAAGCGCCTGGCTCAAACGCACAGCAATTGGCAAGAATAGTGGCTGGTACGGTACTTGCAGGAGAGCTTTCCCTAATGTCTGCTATTGCAGCTGGACAGCTTGTGAAGAGTCACATGAAATACAACAGATCCAGCAGAGACATTGGCCCTTCATCTCAAGTCAACAGATGATATTTGGAGCACGATGAGACAGATGATAATAAAATAAAAAACCCAAACTTAGATTGATGTAATTTTAACCTCATTTTGATTTCTTTCCTTCATCGATCTCTTTTCTATCTGTTTGTACTCTTTAAGTCTCCAAATGGTCTTAATTTATGTAAAGTCATTTTTTGTCTTTCCCTCTTTATCGCTCTCCAAATGGTCTTAATTTATGTAAAGTCATTTTTTGTCCTTCCCTCTTTATCGCTTATATTATATTTTTTGGAAATCTCATAGAGACTGACTAGTATATAAATCACTTCACATTTACAAAAATCAGAAAGTGCTATTATTTTAAAATTTCAAGCTCTCCAAGAGTGGTTGAGTTGTATAGAACGATGGGAAATGAAGAAGAGAGGAGAAGAGTGGCGCATTGAGAATCAGAATCAGAAGAAGAAGCAAACTGCAGAGGCTAAACAGGTGACAAGGGCGAGAAAACAAATCTCGAGGGAACTTGAGGAAAAATACAAAGCTTACTTCGTCTTTCATAAACCTTGGCCAAAGGCTCTTGCTTATGATGGAAGTTTTATACTTGGTGGTATTGGTGTTGATGTGCTTCTTGAAGCTTGGATCAACAAGAAACGGCAAAGGATCTGAACGATCTAATCACACTATGATTGTTATGAATTGACTAAATGACTAGATTCTCCCAGAACGCTAGCTAAGCAAAACAGTAGAACCATCTTCATTTCTCAGTCTCACACTTCCTATTCCGACCTAATGATCTCCTATTTTAGCCTAAATTATTGTAAAATCAAATTACAAAAATTGAAGAGAATAAACTGAAACGGTGACGCCGTTGACTTCGTTTCTTCTCCTCTCTTCCTCGGCGACTGGTCTCCTCTGTTGACTTCGATTATCCTCAATTGGTTTCCTTCGCCGACTTCGATAATTCTCCATCGCCAGTCGTATTCATATTTTTCATAAGTTCACTAGCCCCATCTCCCTTCATCTTCTTAGTTAGCATAGACTCTTGCACATCTTTAACATGTTGTTTTTTCCCTCGCAAGGCGGAAGAGTAGGAGCAAAGCAAACCAAGTCTTCCTTGCACAATATTCATGATGTTTTTAGGACTCGGTGTATCAGATTGACCTGGATAGACTTCATGCAAAACAGATGCTACTAACCGTGATGTGCCTCTCTGTTTACTATTGCTAGTAATATGAACAGCTCGAGAGCATGTATGCATCTTTCTATGTACTCTGACAGTCCAAAAATCTGATTTCTGCATTTTCGTAACTCGTAAATACCACTTACAACCTTTTGAAGCTTGGCTGCATTCTACCATAAGTCGCGTTGGGTCAGACTTAACTGTTTTCACACCAAAGCAGTTCAAATTTGCAGCTTTGTGAACCAAATCCCACACTGCATCCTTTGAACAGAACTCTTGATCTTTCTCAAGACCCGTACCATCTTCCCATTCTTTCAAATATTGACGTTCTTTTACATAACCTGGAAGCTCAACATATTCATGACTAGCATCTTCCTCATCATCATCCATATTCTCACAATCTCTCTTACCAGCATTTTCAGCATTTTCCATTGCCTCTTCAATAATCGGTTGTACATTAATCGACTCTTTCTGTTGTTGTGATGTTTCTCCCTCTCTAAGAACAGAAAACATTCCTGCAGTATCTACATCATAAACTATTCCATTGGAATCCACCTCCCCATAATTCACACCAACTGAACTTCTTCGCTCCTCTCTTGAAAATTGCTCGACCCGCTGATTATTTTCTGTATCCTTTAATAACTCCACTCGTAAAACTGGTATAAGCCCCTCGGTATCCAATGACGTTAGAAATACACATACGTCCTCGTCATCTACAATATATGTCTCTCTCCGAGATTTAGATAGACTGTAACTCAATTTCAGCTTCCATGTAGCTCTATCTATCTTGATCTTCTTCCATATCTTATCTACTAAGACCGAATAAGTTATCTCCTCCAAAGATGAGGTCTGAAACAATATAGCATATAATGAATTTCCTGAAGTCCACTCATACTCTTCTGAATAGTGTCCTCCATAGTCAAAATGTACGCTTGTGTTGATGTTCTTTTTCATCGTCTGGCTGGAAATATAACCAAATAAAAGACAATTATGAATCAGAAGTTGTACCAGTCATACAAATTGTCCTATAATGTCTCATTTGTGCAAGCTATACCAATTGTCTTATAATCTCTTGTTATTACCGATTGTTCTATAATCTCTTCTTTATACCAGTTGTCCTAATCTTACTCAGTTATACAATTTCTCTGCAACTTCCGATTAGATCTATCTAAGATTTGATTAGGTCTACCTAAGATTCAACACAATTCATCAACATCATACTCTTAAAGACGAATGCAAAAACATAATCGTCTCATTAAACAAGATTATCAACCAAATGTGCATATCCAAACACGAAATTTTCATATCAAAGCCCTAAATTTTGTAAAATTCCCAAAACTTCTTTACAAACTAAATCAAAACTCAATCACTTACATCGATTGAAGACGAAAGAGGAGATAAGTGTAAGAAGGAGGAGTCGCCTTGTTGCGACGAAGACGATCGTCGACAGAGCGTTGAGATGAGATGACCGGAGCTACACAAAGAGCACAAAAGGAATCCGAGACTCGTGACTTGAGAGGGTGTTAAAAAAGAATAGAAAAAAAAAGATATGTATGTATGGATCCGACCCGGAACAAGATCCGGAATTAAATTAAAGAAGCTTATATTACAATTATACCCCTGCCATTCTATTGTGTATACCCGGAAGGATTCTTTTGAGTTTCGACTTCGACGATCATCAGCTTTGAGAGAGAGAGAGAGATCTCTTCTGCGAATCGAGCTGAGCTTTTACAGATTCGTGAGATCTTGAGTGTTCGGATTAACGAAAATGGTAACAATCTGCTCTCGTCTTTGCGTTTCGTTGACTGTGTTATGTGTTTAGATTTTGGATCTGCCTTCGATTTTGTATCTTGAGTACTGCTGATGCTGCTCGTAGTTTAAAGGAACAACAACTTTTGAATGTGAATTTTGGTATTGATTTGGTAATGAATCGTGTGCCTCTGTTTCTGAATTGGCAAAAGAAGCTTGTAGATCTGTACATCTTGATATCTCTTGCTTTCTTCTGTGTTGTTTCGGAAACTCAATTTTGCTTGAAATGCTTTTGGCTGGCGCCAGTGTTTAGGGTGATTGAAGGTAGGCAGATTGATTTCAAGTTCTGGGTACTTGATCTCTCACAATTTCTTCTTTTACTTGCCTTATCCTTTGTGTGCGTTTCAAATCTTTACGGCTGCTCCTTGTTGTGAGGCTCGTTTACTTGAAGAGCTACATTGTATTTTGCATATTCTCTTATCTCCTCGTAGCAGTAGTTTTATAAATTGTGTTTTTTGTGATGTAGAATTTTCTTGTGTCTGATAACTTCCCACAGGTGAGAGGATACATGAAAAAGAACTGATTATGTGCTATATATTGCCATTCATAATGATTTCAGTTAGTGAATATTATCAAGAGTAATGCTTTCTCGAATTGTTAAGACTCTTGTTAAGGAAAAGCTTTTAGTGAGATGATCCTGGAAAGCAAAAGAATTAAAAAAAAACCCCGTCTAAGGTGGCTCTTTGTTGTGATGTTTGTGTTTCCAGATACACTTTGTGCTTCTAGTCAGTCGGCAAGGAAAAGTAAGGCTCACCAAGTGGTATTCGCCTTATACACAGAAGGAAAGATCTAAGGTATGTACAGCTTAGGTATTATTGAGTTAGTTTATCTGTATGCCTATTTGTTCTGACATTTGTAAACATGATCTCGATTCTCGACAGGTCATACGCGAACTCAGTGGTGTGATTCTGAACCGAGGTCCCAAGCTCTGCAATTTTATTGAATGGAGAGGATACAAGGTTGTCTACAAAAGGTAAAAAACATTGAGTTGATACCTACATACACAATGTATTCTTAATCTTAAGCTACTTAACTAAGACTGGTTATAAACATGACGGTTGTGTATTTGTGCAGATATGCAAGTTTGTACTTCTGCATGTGCATTGATGAGGCGGATAACGAGTTAGAGGTACTGGAGATAATTCATCACTATGTCGAGATTCTTGACCGTTACTTTGGCAGTGTGAGTAAACACTTACCCAAAAGGCTTTCCTCCACTCTATCATAATCTCACAAAACATCTAGATTTTGATTAAGAGCTGTTTATTTTATGATATTCAGGTGTGTGAACTCGATTTGATTTTTAACTTCCACAAGGTATACTCATACACAACTCTACAGGATCAAAGATTATCCACTCTCTGTAATTTGACTTCATTATGAAATTTTCGAAACTGGTTGTTTTGTTCTAGGCGTATTACATACTGGATGAGCTGTTGATTGCCGGTGAACTTCAAGAGTCGAGCAAGAAAACAGTTGCGAGGATAATATCAGCCCAGGTATGGTTTCTTAATCCTAGTCCCCGCTGAGACAATAGGATTAGCTCTTCAGGATTGTGTTAATGATGTGTGTTATAATGGTCTTTGAAGGATCAACTGGTGGAAGCTGCGAAAGAGGAGGCGAGTTCCATAAGCAATATAATTGCTCAGGCAACCAAGTAGTCTCTTTCGGATCTGCTCTGACGCAGTTGAAACAGTCGTAAATGATTAACTATTTCGTTATCGTCTGAGGAATTCTCTACTCAATCACACTTTGTTTGCCTTCTCATGTTTTGTTTGATTGATCAGAAGAAAGAAGTATTCATCGTTGTGGGTTTACAAGTAGTGGTTGTTACTTATCTTTGCGTAATCCATATAGTGTGATGGATGGTATAAAATCTCTTCACATATTTACGCCTTAAACGTTATTTTACTATTTTACGCAATGCAGAAAAATCTGAAGAAATTATTTTAGCTAAAGAATCTTGACATGATAAAATTTCACCAAAATAATCTGGAAGTAGAGAAGAAAGAAACTTAAAGTTATGGGCTTTTGGGCCTGAGGCCTCTTAACTTATTTGTCCAAACGTATGGATATTAATAAATAATAAATGATAATAATACATCTTTCCAAATATAATAATATCAAAATTAACTTTTTTTTTTTTTTATTAAATGAAAAAATGAGGGAAAGAATATCCGTTTTCTTTGCCACAAATATTTTCGTTTTGGGGTTTTCATAATTTTGCTCTTCTCAGCTTCGATAGGTATCGTCTTCTACTCTTCTTCACCATACTTTCGATTTTTTTTTTTCTGATCATCTATCAATTCTAATCTAGGAGACCTTCTTTGATTCAATTTCTGAGTAAATCTATGTAAATTTTTTTATTGGGTTTTAGTAATTTTCCGATGGCTTCAAGTTCAGAGAAGACAACTCTTCCTCCTTCGGGTATTTATGTTAAATCTCTCGATTTCAATTGTTGTAGTTTTGATTCGATTGCTTTTGTTTGATCAGATTTGGTGGTTGTTGTTGTTGTTATTGGCTAAATTAGTTTTCATTCTTCCGCAGATGAGAAAAACGAGACCAAGGAAGAGAGTAAGAGTACTAAACCTGAATCAAGCGCAGGAGCTTCACCTTCACCTTCACCTCCAGTGACTGATCCTGGGCTTGATTTCAGTGCTTTTGATTTCTCAGGCATGGCTGGTATTCTCAATGTAAGTCTCCTTTTTTGTGTGGGTGGGATATGATTGATTAGTATAAGTCAAAGGTTGGATTTTTCTTTTGTTGATGGTTTTTTGTAAATCAGGATCCAAGTATCAAGGAATTAGCTGAGCAAATAGCTAAAGATCCTTCCTTTAACCAGTTAGCTGAGCAGCTTCAGAGATCTGTTCCAACAGCGTCGCATGAAGGAGGTTTACCGAACTTTGATCCACAACAGTATATGCAAACCATGCAACAGGTTATGGAGAATCCTGAGTTTAGGACAATGGCTGAGCGTCTTGGTAGCGCTTTGGTGCAGGTACTTATATACAATCTGTTGTTCTCGTTCTTGTTACTATTATTCTTAATCATTACTTGAGGTTTATGTAAGCATGGCACTGAATCTTTTAGGATCCGCAAATGTCTCCCTTTTTGGAGGCTCTCGGTAACCCTGAAGCAACAGAGCAGTTTGCAGAGCGTATGGCGCAGATGAAAGAAGATCCTGAATTGAAACCTATACTAGCTGAGATTGATGCTGGTGGTCCTTCTGCTATGATGAAGTATGTTATTATAAAAATCTACATCCTTCGTTAGAATTTACTAGGTTTACTTCTGTGCATGAGTATGGCTAAGTTATTTATTTCTGGTGCTAGGTACTGGAATGATAAAGATGTATTGGCAAAGCTGGGTGAAGCAATGGGTATAGCTGTTGGAGCAGACCAGAGTGTTGCACCTGAACCTGAGGAGGCCGAAGAAGGGGAAGAGGAAGAGTCTATTGTTCACCAAACTGCTAGTCTCGGTGATGTGGAGGTAATCTGATTAGTACACTGTTAACCTCTCATGTTTTTGACAGTCTGAACTTCATCCTTAAATTGGGATCATTGATCGAGGTTAGCTTTTAAGCTCACTGTGCATTGATTTCCTAAACCAATCAGGGTTTAAAAGCTGCATTGGCATCTGGTGGTAACAAAGATGAAGAAGACTCTGAGGGAAGGACAGCATTGCATTTTGCATGTGGATATGGCGAGGTATGAAAAAGTCTTGAAACAAATCGTAGCAACAACAACAGAATCATGAAAAGTGAAAACTAATTTATACTACTAATCTTTACTATCATGCACTTGGTGGATTAGCAGCTTCTGCTTCACTTTGTAGAATGCCACACAATCATGAATTATCATTAATGTATTTACGATTACATGCCTTTATAGAAGGTTAATCGCAGGTTTGAACCCAATTGACCTTGGTTGAGTTTGTTTGTAGATGAAATGTGCTCAAGTTCTTCTGGATGCTGGAGCAAACGTGAATGCGGTTGACAAAAACAAGAACACGCCATTGCATTATGCTGCTGGTTATGGGAGGAAAGAGTGTGTAAGCCTTCTCCTAGAGAATGGTGCTGCAGTGTAAGTTTGCAATAACAACACATTCTATTTCAAACAAGTTAAAAAAAAAAAAATGTTTCTATATGACAAGTGTGGTTGTTTCATTGTTTGTTTGCAGTACTCTGCAAAACATGGACAGTAAAACTCCCATTGATGTGGCCAAGCTTAACAATCAGCTCGATGTGGTGAAACTGCTTGAGAAGGACGCTTTCCTCTGAGGAGGGATACGTCTCTCTTCTTCTGTGTCTTGTAATAGTCTCACAGAGTCTGATTGCAAACTTGTCTTCTGTGGGTTTGTTTCATCATTAAATTTGGAAAAAATGAAAAGATGGAAAAAACATGTTTATTTATGGTTTTTTTAATGAATTTTTTTTTTTCTTTCTTTTTCTTGAATTGGTCTTCTCTTTTCGCTCTTTTAGATCTGTTTTTCTCATTGCTACAAGAAAATCCCAAAATTGAGTTGGGACGACCACTGTTTACCTAAATAGAAATAAAAATAAATTTAAATTTAAAATAAAAGTAAAATTAAAAAATAAAAATAAAAATATAGATAAGGAACTTTTTTAATTGTTTTGTAACTTTTGTTGTTATCAAAACTCAAAAGTAGGTTTCAGTTTCTAAATTACTTTATATTTATTTTTAATTAGTCGGTTGCCCGCGCTACGCGCGGGAGTTTATTATGTTGTTTATGAGAAATTAGTTTGTATTTTATTTTCTACTTATTATTTTTACTATACCATACTTTACTTTTTAAAAACTTAGATTGTTGTTCAGATTTTGTATAGAAAAACTATTGAGTTTTATTAACTTCATTAGTTGTTGAGAAATTAAGTGTGTATAGTATAAGTCGAAGTGTGGGCGTAAACGGAAGTGCAGTGAAGAATCATTGAGAAACGTGTGCTATTAGGGTTTTTACCAAATATAGATCTAGATGTTAATATTTTTGGCCCTTTTATATGTTGGCATGAAATTTGATCATAATTTGTGGGTTTCAAGCGGATTGTTATATTTTTAATTGTTTACATTATCTCTTTTTATATTGTCATAATTTTTTTTTTTTTACGTTTTTCTTTTTTGGATTTGTCGTATTTTATATCTCGTAATGATCATTTTTATACTATTATATATATGTTTCTGATTTTATGTTTTATATATATTTTTTTGTTTTTCATAGGGAACAATTTTTAAATTTAACATATTAGTAAGATTTACTTTACATTTAGTTTATTTCATTTAATAATGTTTTTTAGTTTAATTTACAATTTTTGTGAAATATAGTTAACTTTTTATTTTGTTTATTAGTTTAACATATGTGTTGTATTTGAAAAAATTAGTTAAATTCATATTGAAAACCTTTAAAGAAATATTATTTTTATTTTTACATTTTTATACGTTTTTAAAAAATGAGAATTCATGTTTCGGTCCGACCTATCTCATTTATGTTAGAAAATTTTGTGAGACATAAATTAGATAGATTTATATTCTCAAAATTTCTTACTTTCTTTTCTACTCCCGTTAATCCCATTATATTTAGGTTTACATTGTGTAAATATAATCATATATATATATTTTAAACATTTACTACAAACTATAATCTATTATTTATATATTTGATTGTATAATCGATAATTAGTAAGTTTTTTTTAATTTTTAAACAAATCATCTTTTTTAGTTTTATAATGTATAATATAAAAAAGATCTTTCATATTCCTTTTTGAAAAACTTATTTATATAGATTTAAATCATAAAATTAAATGATAAAATGGTATAATTAATTTTAAAAATTAAATAATAAAATGAGGTGGATGATGATGTGGCTTAAGAGAAGAGAGAAAAAGCTAACTTTATATATATAGATACGAAAAATATCATTATTAGCCTTTGCGAGAAAAAAGAAAAAAGGAAAATTAAGACTTCCGACAAGATCTGATACGCGTGATGTTGATCGGGCCAAGATTAGGTCAAAAAGCCCGTGAGCCCAAAAAAAGTGTAGAGAAAACCCGGTTCAAATCGCAAACCCTCGATTTCATTTCTCTCCAAATTCGATCGGTGGGTAAAATTTTGAGGAGGACGACGAAAGAGAGACAGAGAAAAAAGAGTGTTTCAGTCACTGCTCTTCAAGGAAGCTCCCAAACCAATTCATCCCCCTTGCCGTCTTCTCCCTATCTACCTTTTTCCTACCCTTCTGCTTCGTCTCTATCAACCAACCCCAAAGGTTCGTTTTCGATTGCTTTATGGTTTTCGGAATTTGGAATTCACGACTAAATGTTAGCTACTCGTGAGAGGTTTTTGTAAATCGTGGCGTATGCGTCTTCTGTTTTGATTTGAATCTTTAATTGAATTCGTAATTTGGAGAATATGAATCTCTCGATTTGATGTCTTATAAGTCTCACCTTTGGGGTATTTTTTTCTGCTTGTGAATTACTGTTTATGAATCTCAAGACACGAGATTAGGTTTTTGCTTTCAGTTTTGTGTGTGTGTAGTTGATAATCAAGTTTTGTTTATACTGGTAGGTTCAGAAAGATTCCTCGTTTCTAGAACACTGAGCTTTACTCTAAGAAGAAAGAACAAACATATCTTGGAGATTTATTGAAAATATCTCATAATTCATCTCTCTCAAATCCCTATGGCTCCCTCACAAACCTTTAAGCTGGTTTTTTTTTTTGTGTGTGTTTTTGGGTTTTGTCTAAATATGTGAGCTTCAGTGTAGCATGTGGTCATCGCATTTATTTTATGCTATTTTCTAATTGTTTCTTGTATGCGTGAATTTGTATAGGAATGCTGTTTAGATGGAATCAACAATGGAGAATTTAACTGAAGTAGAATCAACAATGGAGAATTTAACGGAAGTGAAATCAACAATAGAGAATTTAACTGAAGTAGAATCAACAATGGAGAATTTAACGGAAGTGAAATCAACAATGGAGAATTTAACGGAAATGGAGAGTGAGAGAGTTGAACAGGGCACTGATAAGGAAATTGAAAGTGGAGAGCAAAGGCAGGGTGATGTGAAGGAAACAGAGAATGAAAATCCAGGAGAGACAGTAGGAGAGGAAGCTCCCGTCAAGGAACAGAAAGATTCTCCATGTCCCATGGTCATTGAAAAGGGTACTTCACTTGCTTCGAACGAGGTGACTTCTACCCTTGAGGGAGGGACCAATGATGATGATCCGCCGAAGATTGATGATGAGAAAACCCATGATGAGAACAATGCCCAGTTAGAAACAATCCCGCACCAAAGTCCATCTCCATCAGTAGCTTTAGAAACTGACGAAGGGTTAATCAACCCTAATGTAGAAGACACTGCAGAACAGAACATAGGGTCTTGCGAAGTAAGTTCAGAAATCTTGAAAGATGAGGGAGATGCTGTCAAGGTTGACAAAGATAATGCAGTGGTCCATGAAGAAACGGCCAAAATACCTGACTCCAAACTCTCAGAGGAGGACACAGAATCACCGCATCATCATGCTGATATTGTCATGGAGCAGGAAAAAGCTGCAGAAGAACATGACATGATAGCCTCAGGAAACCATGACGAATTTCCAGTCAATCCTGATAACAAACACTCGGAAGAAAAAGGATCACTGCATATTCATGCTAATACTGTGATGGAGCAGGAAAAATCTGCAGAAGAACATGAGATCATATCCTCTGGAGACCGTAAGGAATTTCCAGCCAATCCTGATACCGAAGTTGTTGAGGAGAAAAATGACATTATGGATGACGGTGAGGCTAAAAATATGAACTTGGCTGGCGATGGAAGTGGACCAGTCGATCACGATCACGTGACCACAAGGGAGCTTGACAAAGGGCTAGAGGTGCCTGGGTCTGAGACCATATCAAAACTGGAGGATCATCCATCTGAGCCTCTCTTAGAAACCTCAATGAATGTGGAAAACGAACTAGACATGCCTGCCACTGAAAATGTGACAGACAATGACAAAATCTCTGATGTGTTGGCAGTTAGAGTTTCAGGAGGCAGTGACGAAGGGTTATCTGGCTTGCCTGCTACCCAAACTTCCTCTGATCATGATGAAGGAATGACTATAGCTGATGCTCTGACTACAGAAGACATGGAACTTGATCTTCCAGATTCTAAAATGGTTGCTGATACTACTATTGACTCCACTAATAACAAGGATGTCAATGTTGAGGCTAATACTGAAAAGCAAGATACTTCTAGAGCACTTGTGATAAATGATGCAGATAATGAAAGTGCACCAGTGACACGTGAACCTGGTCCTTGTGTTGCACCTTCCAATATAAAGTCTGAAATGCGGAGTAGTGGAGATTTGAACAATGGAGTCCAAAAATATCCTCGGGTACCACCTGGCGCTGATGGGGCCATGCGCGCTAAGCGCTCTTTCCTTTTGGATGATACGTCTGATGGTAATGAATCTGGAACGGAAGAGGATCAATCTGCTTTTATGAAAGAATTGGATAGTTTTTTTAAAGAGAGAAACATGGATTTCAAACCTCCAAAATTTTATGGGGAGGGACTGAACTGCCTTAAGTAAGCTTGCTTCCCATCATTATTTAGTCACTTAAGTGTGTTATACATTGTAAAGCAGATGTTGATATTCATTCAATTTTTTTTGGCACAAGGTTGTGGAGAGCTGTGACTAGATTGGGCGGGTATGACAAGGTATGGGTCACTGTGTTTATGCCTGATGAATATCACAGCATTTTTCTGACGAGCTAATGTGGCTTTTGCTTTTCATCTTTTCTCCCTCCTCGCTTACTTGCATGCATACTGTTGTTCATGACCCAAGCACTGTGTCTTTTGATGATTTTCTATGATTAATATATACTCTTTTTTGGATAGGTTACTGGAAGCAAATTATGGCGGCAAGTGGGAGAGTCTTTCAGGCCCCCAAAGTAAGTAAAAATGCTTCTCTTATTAGGGATATCATATGGAAATTTGCAAGACTTACCCTCTAATTGGTCAATTGTTTGTTCAGGACATGTACAACAGTATCATGGACTTTCCGAGGTTTCTACGAAAAGGTGAGATTTTATTCACCACCTTTTTTACTCTCTGCTTTTGGTTTCTTTCATGTGGATTTTGTATACACTGGCATGGGACACTACGCATCAATCCTTTTGCGAGATAATTTAAATGATTTATTAGAGAACAATTGTGAATCACCTTAAATTATATTTTCCTTTAGACTCAGTAACATCTAGTAACATTATAGTTTCTTAATTTTTCAGGCCCTTCTTGAATATGAGCGGCATAAAGTTAGTGGAGGTGAAATTCAGATACCCCTTCCGTTGGAGTTGGAACCAATGAATACTGATAATCAGGTAAGATTGAGAATATCATGTCATGTGTCTGTAGTTTTTGTTCGGTCCTCTTCTTATGGTTAATGTTTGTGTTTCAACTTAAACCGCTGCCTTGTTTCTACACTAGGCGTCTGGATCAGGTAGAGCGAGGAGAGATGCTGCAGCACGTGCTATGCAAGGTTGGCATTCACAGCGTCTTAACGGTAACGGTGAAGTTAGTGACCCTGCAATCAAGGTTCGGTTAAATCTTGTTACCAAACATATGTTTGATTTTACCTTTACAGGTTCACTCTATATCTTTGTTGTCATAGTCTGACCGAACATGCTGTTTTGTTATTGGTAGGATAAGAACTTAGTTGTTCATCAAAAGCGTGAAAAACAGATTGGGACCTCCCCTGGTATGAGTTCTGTTTGATAAAGAACTGTTGGTCGTAATGTATACTAGTGAAACTTTGACTCGGGTTATTACTTACACCTGGCAATGTCATCAGGTTTGCTCAAACGGAAGAGGCCTGCTGAACATGGTGCAAAAAGTGCCATTCAAGTATCTAAACCTATGTATGGTTTTTAGCTTTGTGGTCTGGTTTTCGATGGGTGATAATCACATCTGAATTCTGATTCCAGCTGTTGTGTTTCCTAGGTTGGATGTGACAGTTGTTGATGTTGGACCACCAGCTGACTGGGTCAAGATTAACGTACAGAGGACGGTAAAATTCAGTTGCCACTTTCTTAAGATCTCAGCTATAACGTTCTGGTTTTACATGTATTAATAATCTCTTCCATTATCCGCAGCAAGATTGCTTTGAGGTCTATGCATTAGTACCCGGACTAGTCCGTGAAGAGGTTAGCTCTCAAATTTGAAACACTCTGTTTTGTTTACATATGGATCCTAAGATTGAGTTTAGCACTCAGTTTTTGTCTTGGCAACTATAATACAGGTCCGGGTCCAATCAGATCCAGCTGGGCGTCTGGTAATAAGCGGCGAACCCGAGAACCCTATGAATCCCTGGGGAGCTACTCCTTTCAAAAAGGTATATATGCTCGTTACACACGATTTTTCAGCTTATACATAGAATGTCGAATGATATTTTCAAACCTTCATTGGAAACTGCAGGTGGTAAGTTTGCCAACGAGAATCGATCCGCATCACACGTCGGCTGTGGTAACCTTAAACGGGCAGCTATTCGTCCGTGTGCCTCTCGAGCAATTGGATTAGAAACATTTTAACAAAAAAAGCCTTTGAAGATCTGAAAAGAGAGAAGAAGATTGTTAGAAGTAGTTGTTGTTGAGAGTATTTTGTCTGTATATTATGAGAGCATAACAGAGCCCTGAGTCTGAGAAGAAGAGCCAGTTTAGGAATCCTTTAATTAGGCCATCTAGTTTATGGTCTCTCTCTCCTCTCTTTTGATTAGATTCTTCTAAGTATCACTATTGATTTGTTGTAGCACAAACATCTTTTTTATAAAAAAACTCTTTCTATTAGGATCAACCAAATCTACAACTTTTTTTTTAATTATTTTATAGCTAATCAGTGGATATATGTGGCAGTGTATTTTTTTTATATTATCATCTTGTATGTTAGCTCCAGTCTCAAGATTGCATCTTAATTTTGTACTTAGTGGTATAATTAGAAAAAGACAAGTAGGCTAGTGGTATTATATTTTTGATGTCTCTTTATTTTAAATAATTTAGTGTTTTAACTTTAGAATTTAGGGTTTCATAGGTTAGATTACGATTTTGGATTTAAAATCAAAGGTTTAAATGTTTTTAAAAAACTAATAATAATATTTTTCTAATATTTACATTACATTTCAGACTAGATAATTAATTCTGACTTTTATTTTTTTTATGTGTCAAATTTGAAAGAATCATTTTTGGCTTGTAAGGAAATGGAATCCATCGTTTTAATATTGGAAGTGATTCTAATCTTGTTACTGTTAATATTCCAAACTCCAAAGCCTTGAATATATAAATAATGGACCAATAATAATTTTGACATATGGGCTTTCAATTCATAAAAATATTATTAAAAAAATCTCATCGAAATTCAAATAAAGTGGTCTAAATATTATTCAAATCGTTTTAACATGTGTTGGATCTCAATGAGCCAGTCAAGGTTCATAATAAAGTCTTTATTAAGCAGCGTCGGAGGAGGTTTCTTACTTGGATCTGTTCTCTCTAATCCTCCTTCTCTAGCCACCGCGTCTTCTTCTTCCTCCGCCGCCGCCGTCGATATGGGAACTCACAAAACCAAGGTTTGCATCGTCGGAAGTGGTCCAGCTGCACACACGGCGGCGATTTATGCAGCTAGGGCGGAGCTTAAGCCTCTTCTCTTCGAAGGATGGATGGCTAACGATATCGCTCCCGGAGGTCAGTTAACTACAACCACCGACGTCGAGAACTTCCCTGGGTTCCCTGAAGGTATCCTCGGTGCTGAGATCGTTGAGAAATTCAGGAAGCAATCGGAGAGGTTCGGTACTGAGATTTTCACCGAAACGGTTCACAAAGTTGATTTCTCATCGAAGCCGTTTAAGATATTCTCTGATTCGAGAACTGTTCTCGCTGATGCTGTGATCATTTCGACTGGAGCTGTGGCGAAACGTCTTAGCTTCACTGGATCTGGTGAAGGTGATGGTGGTTTTTGGAATCGTGGTATCTCCGCGTGTGCTGTTTGCGACGGAGCTGCTCCGATTTTTAGGAATAAGCCTCTTGTGGTTATTGGTGGTGGTGATTCGGCTATGGAGGAAGCTAATTTCCTCACTAAGTATGGATCTAAGGTTTATATTATCCATAGAAGGGATACGTTTAGGGCGTCTAAGATTATGCAGCAGAGAGCTTTGTCTAACCCTAAGATTGAAGTGATTTGGAACTCTGCGGTGGTGGAAGCGTATGGAGATGAAAGTGGACGTGTTCTTGGTGGATTGAAGGTGAAGAACGTTGTTAGTGGAGAGGTTTCTGATCTTAAGGTGTCTGGATTATTCTTTGCTATTGGTCATGAGCCAGCGACGAAGTTTTTGGATGGGCAGCTTGAGCTTGATGAAGATGGTTATGTTGTGACCAAGCCTGGTACTACAAAGACCAGCGTGGTCGGTGTATTCGCTGCTGGAGATGTTCAAGACAAGAAGTATAGACAGGCCATCACTGCTGCAGGAACTGGTTCGTTCTCCAACTTTTCTTTTTACATTTCTGCAAAATGAGTTAGCTCTTCTTTGAAATCATGACTGGAATCTATCAGAGTATCTGATATTACTTGCCGCCTTATAGCATAATGCTATGAGGAGTAGTTAGGCATATCGTTAAGTGAACAATTGTTTATCTGTTTATGATACTTGTTTGATTGATCTGTTAATAGGAGTCAGGTTTTTTAAAGTCGTAGCCTTTATATGATGAAGTCTTAAGTGGCTTGCTTTGTATATCATTTGATTACATAACAGAGTATTAGAGGCATGCTTTTGTTGGATTTGTGTATGCTATAGATTGGTCTTGTGTTTGCTGTCAAAGATTATGTACCCTATATCTCATTATCCGTAGAAGACCAGTACTGCTCATTAATTGTTCTTAGTTGGTGTCTTGAGATGAATAGTAAAATGTAGGTATAGTATTTGATAGTTAAGTGAACTATTGTTTATCTGTTTAGCGTAACTGTTTTATTGATCTGTTCAAAAGGAGTCAGCTTTTGAAAGCCATTAGCTTCATTTGAACCCTTTAGTGTTCTCCTCTCCAGTCCTTTTCATTTGGTAGTTAGGTGTTTTGATAGCATGCAAAGGAAGTTAAACTGTTTCAAGTATATCGTTTATAAGAACTGTTAATCTAAATGTTCTCTTGCTACGATGTTCTCTTGCACGGCATGGTGTGTGGTCTTTGAACTCTAGCCGATCTAAAGTGATTGCGTGTTTACGTGAAACCCATTTTGCAAAACCATTCCAGAGAATGATTTACCTTCAAATGTTTCTTATCTTTTTGTATGGTTTCATGAATAAGAAAGAACAAGTTTAATAAACAAGTTACGGATGGTGCAGGGTGCATGGCGGCATTGGACGCAGAGCATTACTTACAGGAGATTGGATCTCAGGAGGGTAAGAGTGATTAGAGAAGGTGTAGGAGAAAGAATCCATTTATAAGTTTCTCGCCCTCTCCCCTTATTTGCTTTGTCATTTTCAAAACCAATAAAAGAAGATTGAAGATTTGAGTAGAGTTATTTGCGTTTGCTTGCAGTTGGATTTTGTGCCAAGCTGTAAACTCTTTAATTTTCACAGCTTTGGACCAATTATATGTTCCTCAAGCGAGAGGACTTTTATAATGTCTTTGGCTTCAATGGTTTTAAGGTTTATATGAAATTGTAATTTGAGTTTCGCATCGAAGTGGGATCATAGAATAAGAAGAGACTAGAAAAAATCGATTGTTTAGACACATAACCATGTGATTATGTTCTTCGAATCTTATCGATTTGCAGCTCTCCCTACTCTTCTTATTTTTCGTTCAGATTTCATAATTAGGGGAGGAGGTAGCATAGATATATGAGGGTCAATTGACGCTGGTGAATTTTTCAAATTCAATGAATTTTTAGGGAAAAATAAATTGATCCTTGTAATATAACACAACTGACCCTTATAAATTTTTTTAATAACACAATTAATCATTATAATTTGTTTTTGACCCTCATAATCCGATTTCCTAACTCCGCCAAAATACCACAAAACAAACCATAAACTTTCCGATCTTCAAAACTAAATTTTAAATAATAAAGTTTATCCTTAAAACCTATATACATTAATACATACAAGTACAAGATACCGCATGTCGAAAAATGTACGTCGGAGAGAAATGATCTCTTCCCAAACAAATAAGTTGTAAATCTATGTTGCTCTAAAAATGAAGAAAATTTGGTCTACAACATACTTTTTCTTATATATTATATCTTCTTAGTCATCAAATAACCGTAACCACAATATTGTAACTGTAATCATATTTAACGATTGTTTTAACTTTGCGTTAAGAATGATTAGAGCCAAAAAAAATAAAAATCTCTATCTTAACTGAATATAAATTTCTTATCTTAATAATATGACCCTACTAAAACCTTAAGGCCCACCTAAACCACAGTTTTCTTTATAAATACTCATTAACGTTCTAATAAAAAGTTACAATTTATATATGAGATGGATCATATTGGCGATATTTACGCAAACCCTAAGCCTCTTCTTCGGCGTGAGTCTGATGAAGATAAGGAGCCCCAATTCTCAATGATGGAGACATCCGCATACATTGCTCTTCGAAGATATTTCGGTGTTTAGTTTTCAAACTTTAGTTTTTTTTTTGTTTTGTGATTAGCGTTTGGAGATATAAATCTCGAAATTTGTAATAAGCTATGTATTCGGCCTCTTGATTTAATATAATACCATAAATTTTATTTAAAAAATTTGGAACGACAATCTTTATATATTTTTTTTTACAAATATTACACCTTCATTTACCTTTTATATATATATTTGTCTTTCTTTCGCACATCAATTGATTATTATTTTTTAACTTTAATATATAATAATGACTAGATAGGACATGCGTAAAAATGGGAGTTAATATTTAATGTAATTTATCGATAATAATTGAAATGTTAGTGATAACATATACATGTTTTTAAATTTTATCTTGTTATTTTTTAAAGTTGAATTTCAACCTAAAATATTTAAATTTTCAATACAATTGAAGCATATATACAACAACAAAAAGTTAAATAAATGATCAACAACAGCAAAAAGTTACAGTTGGAATTATGAGTAGCCTAATTTGATCAGATTAACCACAAAAATAAATAGTATCACACAATATATAAGTTGAGAATAACGTCAGTGTCTCTGTCTTGCGAATAAAAAAGTCAAACCTTCTTTTTATTTGGTAAATTAGCAGTTTCATCACTCGTTTGTGTGTCAAATGTCTTAATACGTAATTAACTTTGCTAATGTAACTTCCACCGACTTAAATGAGATGAGTTACAAACTTACTATAATTAAACTTAAGATTTTTTTTCTTGGTCAACATGACACACACAAGTAACTACACCATGTGAAATTGTGAATGCATATGGCCAATTACACAATCTATTCTTTTGATTTATTTACGTAATTATCAGAATATGTTTTAGTGTACTTGTGGTTTTTAATTAATCTCACAATAAATATAGTCAAATGAATAAAAAAAAACCAATTCTTTTGTCAATTAACTTACGTTGTACAACATAGTAATTAATTAAGAAGCACCAACTTAAGTTTGATGATCGCTACGTTAGTATCTTCTTTAATTTGTTTTTCGTATATCTCTCCCTTAACTCATGATCACACGAAGCAAGTGTCAAAGATCTTTGTTATGGTTTCTAATGTTCCACGGCGGAGCTACAGCCACCACTGAACCTCCCTCCGGCGGGAAACAGCTCTCTCAGACACCCACTTGGGCTGTTGCCATCGTCTGCACCTTTCTCATCCTCATTTCTCATCTTCTTGAAAAGGGTCTTCAAAGACTCGCCAACGTATGCTTTTTTTAATCTTCTTTCTTGTCTTACAAGTCTTCTTGTTCAAACACTCCTTTGTCTGAAACATCTTCTAATTGTTTCCTCAGTGGCTATGGAAAAAGCAAAAAAACTCTCTCCTTGAAGCCTTAGAGAAAGTCAAAGCCGGTAAGTTAACATACATAGCATAATGCTATTAGCATTGGTTGTCTTGTCTTAAAAAGCTTATTGGTTTGGTTTTTGAAATGGTCATTGATTCTATACAGAGCTAATGATCCTTGGATTCATTTCATTGTTACTCACTTTTGGAGAAACATATATTCTCAAGATATGTGTTTCTCGAAAGGCTGCTCTTTCTATGTTACCTTGTTCATCTGAAGACGCAGAGATTTTCCAAAATCTTGCTCCATCTCTTAGTATACGTCTTTCGGCTGCTGGTGATACACCTGTGAGTTGTAAACAAGGATCAGACCCACTCATAACATTGAAAGGCTTGCACCAACTTCACATCTTGTTGTTCTTCTTGGCCATCTTTCATATCCTCTATAGTTTAATCACCGTCATGCTTAGCAGGCTCAAGGTACGCGATAGATCTAGTTCTGATCGATAGAAACTGTGTTTGATTGAGTTAATGAATGTTTCATTTTGTATTGGCTTTTGTGGCAGATTCGTGGATGGAAAAAATGGGAGCAAGAGACATTATCTCATGACTATGAGTTCTCTATTGGTACTTTCAAAGCCCTTAAAGTTATATTCTATTTTACAGACTTACATTTGTTAGTTTTTGTGGTGTAGATCAATCAAGACTTAGGCTCACTCATGAGACTTCTTTTGTGAGAGAACATACAAGTTTCTGGACAACAGTTCCCTTCTTCTTTTACGTCGTAAAGAAACCATTTCTCTCCTTCTCCATCTCTCTTCCAAAATGCGTCAAAACGTTCTTGATTTGATTAGTCTGAGATCTTTTGGTTACAGGGATGCTTCTTAAGACAGTTCTTTGTATCCGTAGGAAGAACCGAGTACTTGACTCTGCGCCATGGATTCATCTCTGTGAGATTTATAATCTTGCATCTTTCCATTTCATTCTCTCATAATCTTGATATGTGTTACTAATAGTGTTCTGTTCCAGGCCCATTTAGCCCCGGGAAGAAAGTTTAACTTCCAGAGATACATCAAAAGATCTCTCGAGGACGATTTCAAGTTGGTAGTTGGAATAAGGTTACAACACAATCAAATGCAGATGACACTGTGCTTCCTAATCTGGTCTTATATAACTGTTTCTAACAATTGTTTTTGCTCTGCAGTCCAGTTCTTTGGGCATCATTTGTGATCTTCTTGCTGCTTAATGTTAATGGTGAGCTATAATAACTATCTTTAAATTCATTTTCAGTTCATATACTGAGATATTTCTTTCCAGGCTGGAGAACACTGTTTTGGGCATCGATACCTCCAGTGCTCGTAAGACAATCTGACTCTCTCTAATATACAAAGCTTCTTGGAAGTTTCTTGAAAAACAATAAGTCCTTTTGCAGATAATTCTAGCTGTTGGAACAAAGCTTCAAGCGATTATGGCAACAATGGCGCTAGAAATCGTGGAGACACACGCGGTAGTTCAGGGGATGCCTCTAGTGCGAGGCTCAGATCGATACTTTTGGTTCGATTATCCGCAACTGCTTCTTCATCTTATCCACTTTTCCTTGTTTCAGGTAATAACGTTAATATGAAAGCATCTGCTTCTTGATTTTATCTTGAGCTAGCATGTTTTTGCTGATTATGTCTTCTATTAATACTAGTGTCTCTCTTAATACTTTGTATTATGCAGAATGCTTTCCAGATAACACACTTCTTCTGGATATGGGTGGGTAAAAACAATGAGTCTCTTCTAAGTTCAACATTTTGGAGTGTTACTACTTAGTAACATATATATTTGGCATTTGCAGTATTCTTTTGGGTTAAAATCATGCTTCCATAAAGATTTTAATCTTGTGGCCACCAAACTCTTCCTATGGTAAAAAGTCGTTTGTTATGTTCCTAATTAGTATTATGGAGAAGAAGTATTAAGAACATATGTATGGTATGTGCAGCCTAGGAGCTTTGATCTTATGCAGCTACATTACTCTCCCTTTGTACGCCCTCGTTACTCAGGTAACTTGTAAACCTTAGTTTTCTATTGATCATACTCTATAGTCTATCTAAATGATCTCTTGAAATAGAGACTAATGAAGTTAAATGGTGTGTTGAGCAGATGGGTTCACACATGAAGAAAGCAGTGTTTGATGAGCAAATGGCAAAGGCATTGAAGCAATGGCACAAAGACATCAAACTGAAGAAAGGCAAAGCGAGGAAGCTCCCAAGCAAAACACTTGGTAGTTCAGAGAGTTTCAGCCTCTCATCCTCTTCTTTTGCAACCACTCTTCACCGTTCCAAGACCACTGGTCACTCTTCTAACGTTAAATACTTTAAGCAAGAAGATGAAGAAGACGAAGAAATGTCGTCTGATCTTGAAGCAGCTGGGGTAGATTAGGATGATATTCAATTCCACCAAGCTCTTAGCTAGCTCTTTCTTAGCTTTTGTTATATACACTTCAAAGTTAGCACGAAACGGTTTCGTTTATTAACTTGTATTTTGATCAGAAAACAATAGTCGTACTCGTACAAGTTTTTTTATAATGTGTTACACCATGCTTAGAGTTATTTAATAACTTGACCTACAAGTTATTTTACAATATAAGAATAGATCAACAATTTGTTTTAACAATAAAAAAAGGTACATAAATGTTAATGTGTGTTATAAACCATCGGAATTATTACATGCGTAGATCTCTAATTTTTGTAAGTATAAAATAAAGTGAAAATGAAGAACTCCATTTTCAGAAAAAAAGATATTATAAAACTATCTAAAATTTATTAAAATAATCTCAACATATTTCAAAATTATTAATTAATATAATTAAATTTATATCTAGATCAGACACTATAATCAAGATATTCGGATCCATATATGTTTTTCCCGAATGCGTAAAATTTACTATTTTGGATTCGGATCCAATGTTCTCAAAAAAAAAAAAAAAAAAAAAATCCATACATTAGTGGATCATGTTCACCAAATTATTTATATGATCACGTCAATACTTAATTATTGTTTACGTCCATCTTATTAACATAAACAAAATTATCATTAACTTAAACAGACAAGACAAGGACGCGAGTTGATGATAGAGAGAGATCATAGTGACCTTCTCAATTAAATTAATCATAATAATATATTTTCGAATTATTTAATTCGATTATTTTAATGCAGTTTGAGTCAGAGAGAGAGACGACGACGAAGAAGAAGAAAAGAACTGACGAAGAAGAAAGAATGAGAAGACGAAGAAGAAGACGAAAGAAAGAGAAAACCAACAAAAAAATATGGAAACCCATGAATAATATCTCTGTTTCTTCATAAAAAAATCAAATCTTTTTGCAGAGAAACCATGGAGAAACGTTTTGATTCCAAGGACAAGGTTGTGGAAGAGATCATGAAGATTCATAGATCTCTTCCATCTAGACCAGAGATCGAAGATGTCGAAACCGCAACTTCTCTGGTTCAAAACGTTGAGGAAGAAGATCGAATTCGCTTAGAAGACATTGATGATGAACACAAGATGATTCAAAACTCTGGTGTTCCTAAGGAGCTTTTCAATGTGTTGAAGGAGATGAGGAGAAGTCTTGTTCATTTCCAGAGCAAAGAACAGAGGAGAGAAGCGAATAAAATTCTCGATCTGGAATCTGTACACGTTGTGTTCGACGAATTGATTCAGAGAGCTTCGAATTGTATTGCTTCTCCTAATGGCATGACCACCACTACCATTTCTGTGCCTCGGTCTGTTCCGGTTCCTGTGCCGGCGTCGGTTGTTTCTTCTGATCAGGGTCTTGTCAAGTCAAAGGAGATGTTAACGCGTGATGATATGTTTGTGAAGAAAGAGAGATCTTCGTTTTATAATGATGGGTTGTTGGCTCCTCGGAAGCCTCAGGTTTTGGATTCAACACTTATGGCTAAGAGAGTCATCGGTGAGTTTCATTTGAAATGTCTGTTAGATTTGGAATCTGATGTTGTGATTCGTTTAGAACGTTTCCATGATTCGTTTGCTTTCCAATGGTATCATCATTATTTTGTGTACTATTTGCCATAAAATGTTTTTGATTTTTGGATAGATCCATAGTGTTTTCATGTGGGTTTAGTTTGCTTTTCCCCAATGGAGGGAAACTGTAGTGTAATCATTATAATGTAGGCCATGGAAAAGTGTTTGGACTCGAAATGTTTTAACTTTTTGATAGAATCAAAGCTTTGAGATTCATGTGTTTAGATAGTTTTCCAATGGAGTCTGTTTGTCTCTAATTGTAGTGGAATCATTATTATATATGTGCAGGCCATGAAGGGGAGAAGTTGAGTCTCATAAAACTTGCTAGTTTGATTGAAGTATCGGCCAAGAAAGCTACTCAGGAGCTTAATCTGCAGCACAAGCTGATGGATCAGCTTGAATGGCTTCCAGATTCTATAGGCAAGTTATTGAGTCTGGTTAGGCTAGATTTGTCTGAGAATTGCATCATGGTACTACCGGAAACCATAGGAGGGCTTTTGTCCTTGACGAAGCTTGATTTGCATTCAAATAGAATTGGTCAGCTCCCTGAGTCTATAGGAGATTTGGTATACTTGGTCAACCTGAATCTTAGTGGAAACCAGTTATCATCTCTTCCACCAGCATTTAGTAGATTGATACATCTCGAGGAACTTGATCTGAGCTCTAACAGCCTCTCCACTCTCCCTGAATCTATCGGTTCTCTTGTGAGCCTAAAGAAGCTCGATGTTGAAACAAATAATATCGAAGAGATTCCGCATAATATCTCTGGTTGTTCTTCCTTGAAAGAACTCCGTGCAGATTACAACAGACTTAAAGCTCTTCCAGAAGCTGTTGGGAAGTTATCGACCTTAGAGATTCTGACTGTCCGTTACAACAACATTCGGCAGCTACCCACAACAATGTCCTCCATGGCTAACCTCAAAGAGTTAGATGTGAGTTTCAACGAGCTTGAATCAGTACCAGAGAGCTTATGTCATGCCAAAACACTTGTTAAGCTCAACATTGGGAACAACTTTGCCAACCTAAGATCACTCCCAGGGTTGATAGGCAACCTTGAGATGCTAGAAGAGCTTGATATGAGCAATAACCAGATCCGTTTCCTTCCATATTCTTTCAAAACGCTTTCACAGCTGCGCATTCTTCACACACAGCAAAACCCCCTTGAAGAACTTCCAAGAGATATAACCGAAAAGGGCGCACAGGTTCTTTCTTTTCTCAGTTGTTTTTGTCTGTAGATTAAGGAGTTTGTCGTTTATGTCAGTCATGGATGATTGATTCAAGCTCTTTGCTATCATCTCAGGCCGTGGTTCAATTCATGAATGATCTCGTAGAGGCAAGAAACACCAAATCTCAAAGAAGTAAGCCGAAAAAGAGCTGGGTTAACAGTATTTGCTTTTTATGCAAGTCCACCAAATAGAGAAAACAGAGCAGCATGGCAATCCTCTAAACCACTCTGAAAAAATCTGACCTTTTGTCATCATCAGGTAGATTTTCATGTTTCAGGTAAACTCTGTTATAACCGATGGCAGGACAGAAGAGTCCTGCCGTGTTCACGACAGTTCACACCATCCATTCCTTTATTCATAATCACATGTTCGTCACAAATTTGTTTCAAATCACTCTTTGTATACTGGTGTTTGTTTATACCTCTCGATCAGGACTGGATCATAAAGACAATGTAATTCAATTTGTGAATCTCTATGTGATTACTGATGCAACTAGTTAATGTAAACTTCAGTGATACAATAGTCAACTACTTCTTGATCAATAGGAATTTAAACTATTTAAAACATTTGTTCCATTCCGAGAAACATGAACAAGATTATGACATTTTACGACAAAACACGTAAGGCTAAGATTATGACCTTTATATATGAAATTTACAAATGTTATTTCTAAGAAACCGAAGAATGCCATAATAAAAGCTGAAAATTTGGATTTATTCGCTTTATATCTAATCATATCTATCTAGAAATTAATCACTTAATAATCGTGTTTTGTTTATTTTGAAAGGTAAGTTTATACATTTTTTTTTTTTCAAACTCTTATTTTTCCAGTCTGTAATCCTCTAATTTATTTTTGATTTGTTTTTCAGAATTATAAAACGATCTCTTTAAAATCTTGTGGCTATATGTGTAGTTTCCTTTTTATAAACTCTCGACATGTCAAAACATAAGATAAATAATGATTTGAATTTTAACGGGTGGAAGATTAATTATAAAACGATCTTGGGAATGCTTTAAAATCTTGTTTCTTTTTTATAAACTCTCCACGTGTCAAAACATGATAGGTAATGATTTGAATTTTAAGAGTTAATGATTTTGTAACGGGTGGAAGATTTAACGGGTGGAAGATTAATTAAACAAGGTAGTCTTTGAACAATATAAATCAAATACTCTCCTTGTTCAGAAAAAAAAAATAAAAAAAATCAAAGTCTCGTTTTCGCTCTCTCTGGGTTCATCTCCATTCTCAAAAGGATCGTTGCTTCAAAAATCTTCCGATTGTGCAAACAATCAGGTATACTACACTTTTCTCAACTTTAGTTTTAGATTCATCTATAGCTTTCTTTACTTTAATCGATTGGGGGAAAAAGTAATTAGCGATGTAGAATTTGGTTTGACGATGTGAATCTCTTCATGTTGAGAAAACCCTAGCGGTTTTTAGGAATTTTGAAGCCGATTTTAAAGTTTTGTTGGTTCTTCGTGTTATTTATTTTGTTCGTCTTTGATTACAAGATTCAGAACTAAGAACTATAGTGATTATTCTATCCAGATCTGATTCTTTACTCTGAGCAATTCAGGGAAAATATAATTTAAGAATTTGGTTTTGACGATGTATGTCTGGTTCATGTTGAGAAAACCCTAACGGTTTTAGGAATTTTGAAGCCGATTTCAAAGTTTTTTTGGTTTTGTCGTGATGTTAATTTTGTTCATTCGTTGATTACAAGATCAAGATTAAGAACGATAGTGATCTTATTATATGCAGATATATCTATTTGTGTTCATTTCACTATATTTGTCTCGTGAGTTATCTATTTTTCTATGTTAATCACTAGGACTTGCATCTTATTGTGTGTTCTCGTCTGATTCTGCAAGAAATCTTAATTTCAAGTACCATATTATTAAGGAATGTGAGATTATATTTGTGTGTTTGGGTGTTGTCGTGTAAAATCTCTGTGTTGAACTTATTTTGGACTTGTATTAAGTTCTTTTGTTTCCTCAGTGTTATGAGTGTTCTGAATGTTTTCTTTCTTTGACTCAGTTTAGCAATCACTGACATCAGTTAATAAGTTATTCACTTAGTTAAGTTATGTTTCAATAATTTTGTATGTATAAGTGTTCAAGTTACTGATGATAACTATATACATTGGGTCCATAAGTTAGTCAAATGATCCAGTTGGTTTCTTTGTATGTTATTCACACTATGTTTAAACTCTCTCTTTGTTACTAATAATTTTTTTGTTTTTTTGTTTTTTGTTTTGCTTTCAAGCGAAGGAATGGATCCTGAAGCTCTATAAAACAATTTTTCTGGAGATCCATTCAGAAATAAGAAGTAAGATTTCTTGTTCTCTCTCTCTTTCTCTCTTTTTCCAAAAAAATAGAGACAGACAAGTCCTCTATTTTGGCTTGTTCTGCAAATATTTAACATGCTTAGCAGGTTGGCCTCGTCAATTCTTGTTAGATATGATCCTAAAAGCACAAAACACGCTCAAACGTAATTCATATACACATCTACACACAAATTCAAACATAAAACACAAGACAAACAAAACACGCTCAAACATAATTCAAACACACATGACACATCTCAAACACACATGACACATCTCAACACAAACTCAAACAGAAAACACGCTCAAACAAAACACGCTCAAACACACATGACACATCTCAACACAAACTCAAACAGAAAACATAGGACAAACAAAACACGCTCAAACACAGAAAAGCATGACACAAACACACATGTAAACGCAAATTCATCAAACACACATATGAACGCCTCAAATTCATTTACATATTCACTGTCACGAATTTTGCTTTGAGCTCGTTGTTTTCTCTCAATAATTAGACACTTTATTTACTTTCTTAATAAGTGTGTAACCTCGATTTTCTTTTTGTTGATCATGTGCAACTACTGCCAAAGCAAAATTCAACCAGACAACAAATTTAGCAAGGTATGTGGTTTATATAGTATTTATCTGAATTAAATGACAATTAAGTTGTTTAGGGCTTCTTATGTATACAAGTTTTTCTAATAACATGATTTTTGTTAACCTAGGGGTTTCAGTGTCAAGTTCAGCCTTAGTCTATTCTGGAGAGTAAGTTTGGCTTTCTCTTTTGTTTTTAGTTGTGTGTAACTGTTTTCTAGTTAGGCGTGGATTTGGCTTTTCGACTTTGATTCAGTTATTTGGCTCAGGTTTGGTGAAGTTGGAGGGCATCATGCATGTAACCTCATCAAAATAACAAGTACGAGTAAGCAACTAAACGGTGCCAGCCACTACTCAAGATGGTTATGGGTTTTATTTTTTACTGTATTTTGAGTTTTCCTTGGTTTCAGAAGAACATATATTTAGGAACAAAAAGGTTTGAAGACCATCTAGTCAGCAGCAATGAAAAGGTTAACCAGGTTTATCAAACATGTGAATTACTAGAAATTTTGAGAACAGTGGAGGTCAATGCGTATGATGTAGTACTTTTATGGTTCCAGATGTTCAAATAATATGCAAAACAGACGTACTAATTTACATCTTCTTTTGGGCTTCCCCTGTGGAACAACAGATTGTATTCCCTGAAGATCAGCTTTTGCAAAGACTGGTCACTCCATCGCTTGCTCAGAAATATGAAGAACTATACCGTCAAAATGGGGTTAAGTTTGTCAAGGTAAGATATTAACCCTCATCGATGCATTAGAGTCTTAAACTGAAACATTTGCTTTCCTGCGAACCTAAGAATTTCAAAAGCACAGTGAGTAAACTTAAGTTTCTCTTTCGTTGGCACAGGGAGCTTTGATAAATAACTTGGAAGCCGGTTCGGATGGTTGTGTATCAGCTGTTAAGCTCGCTGATGGGTGTACAGTTGAGGTAGACAAGGTATAGTTGTAGTTTAGCTTCACTTTTTTCTTTCTCAACTGATGCCACTTGATGTATCAATCCTTAAGCTGCATATATTTTGAGAACAATGGAGCTTGATGCGTCTGATCGAGTACTTCTATGCTTCCTAGTGCATTTGCTTTCCACATCGATGCATTAGAGTCTTAAACTGAAGCTTTTGCTTTCCTGCGAACCTAAGAATTTCAAAAGCACTGTGAGTAAACTTAAGTTTCTCTTTCTTTTGAACAGGGAGCTTCGATAAATAACTTGGAAGACGGTTCGGATTGGTGTGTATCAGCTGTTAAGCTCGCTGATGGGTATAAAATTGAGGCATACAAGGTATATTTGTAGTTTATCTTCACTTTTTTCTTTCTCAACTGATGCCACTTGATGTATCCATCCTTAAGCTGCATAGGTTTTGAGAGAGGAGCTTGATGCGTCTAATCAAGTACTTCTATGCTTCCTAGTGCATATTCTCTCTAGTTTCTGCAAATCATTATTTCAGGTACCATATTTTGAGTTTATATTTGTGTTTTGGGTGTTGTCGTGTGTAATTTCAGTGTTATGCGTGTTTGTGTCTTCTGAATATGAGTGTGTTCTTTGACTCAGGTTTATCATTCACTGTCATCAGTTAATTAGTTATTCACTTAGTGGGTTATGTTTCAATAATCTTTTATGTATAAGTGTTCAAGTTATGTGTAAATTGTAGAAATAACTATATTTGATTGCTGAATGTGTTTGTTTGAAGAGAACAACACCTATCTATATACATTGGGTTCATAAGTTAGTCAAATGATCCAGTTTATTGTTGGTTTCGTTTTATGTTATTCACACTATGTTTAAACTCTCTCTTTGTTACTAATATTTTTTTTGTTTATTTTTTTGCTTTCAAGCGAAAGGACCGGATCCCGAAGCTCTAAAAACAAATTTTCTGGAGATCCATTCACTAGGCAATAACAAATAAAAGTAAGATTTCGTGTTCTCTCTCTCCCTCTCTCTCCCTCTCTCCACAAAAATGAGACAGACAAGTCCTCTGTTCTGGCTTGTTCTGCAAATATTTAACATGTTTAGCCTCGTCAATTCTTATTAGATATGATCCTAAAAGCACAAAACACAACACACTCAAACGTAATTCAGATACATCTACACACAAATTCAAACAGAAAACACAAGACAATCAAAGCATGCTCAAACATAATTCAAACACACATGACACATCTAAACACAAGACAAACAAAACACGCTCAAACACAATTCAAACACACATGACACATCTAAACACAAATTCAAATAGAAAACATAAGACAAACAAAACACGCTCAAACTTAATTCAAACACAGAAAAGTAAGACACAAACACACATATAAACGCCTCAAATTCAAATAGAAACATAACACAAACAAAACACATTCACTTACATATTCATTGTGGTGAATTTTGCTTTTGAGCTCATTGTTTTTTCTTAAATTTTAAAGCATCTATTTTTATGTGGTTGTTTCTCAATAGTTAGACACTTTATTTACTTTTAAATTTAAGTCAAGTGTTAACCTCGATTTTCTTTTTGTTGATCATGTGCAACTACTGTCAAAGCAAAATTCAACCACACTACATATTTTGCAAGGTATGTGGTTTATATAGTAGTTATCTGAATTAAATGACAATTAAGTTTCGGGCTTCTGATGTATGCAAGTTTTTTTAATAACATGATTTTTGTAAACCTAGGGGTTTCAGTGTCAAGTTCAGCCTTAGTCTATTCTGGAGAGTAAGTTTTGCTTTCTCTTTTGTTTTTAGATATGTGTAACAGTTTTCTAGTTAGGCATTGATTTGGCTTTTCGGCTTTGATTCAGTTAGTTGCCTCAGGTTTGTTATCAGTGTCACTATGAGCTAAAACATCACTAAATGATTGCATTATAATGTGCGTAGGATAACATTTTTTTGACTCTTGTAGAGAGATTGTCGCAAACACCTTGGAGAATCTCATAAACATGAGACAGCCAATATAATTCCTCAGTAATTTTAGCTAAGGTAATAACATTCTTTATCATGCTTCAAGTACGAGTAAGAAACCAAATGTTGCCAGCCACTACTCTAGATGCTTATGGGTTCTACTTTTATTTGTATTTTGAGTTTTCCTTGGTTTCAGAACAGCATATATTTAGGAACAAAAAGGTTTGAAAACCATCCAGTCAGCAGCAATGAAGAAGGTAGGTTTATCAAACATTTGAATTACTAGAGATTTTAAAAACAGTGGAGGTCGATGCGTAGGATCTAGTACTTTTATGCTTTGAGATGTTCAAATAACATGCAAAACATATGTACTAATTTACATATGCTTTTGGGCTTCCCTTGTGGAACTATAGATTGTATTCCCTGAAGACCAGCTTTTGCAAAGACTGTTCACTCCATCACTTGCTCAGAAATATGAAGAACTATACCGTCAAAATGGGGTTAAGTTTGTCAAGGTAAAATATCAACCCACATCGATTCATTAGAGTCTTAAATTGAAGCCTTTGCTTTCCTACGAACCTAGGAATCTCAAAAGCACAATGAGTAAACTTAAGATTCTCTTTCTTTTGAACAGGGTGCTTCGATAAATAACTTGGAAGCCGGTTTGGATGGGCGTGTGTCAGCTGTTAAGCTCTCTGATGGGTGTCAATTGAGGGAGACACGGTACAGTTATCTATTAGTGATATTCTTTACTCTATTCAGATTTAATACCTAACAAGATTTATCCATCCTTAAGCCGCAAATATCTTGAGAACAGTGGTGCTCGATGCGTCTAATCAAGTAGTTTTATGTTTTCTGGTGCTTATTCTCTCTACTTTTCTAGAAGTTTTGGGCTGACCACTTCAAGATGCAAATGACAGACAGACTCAAAGACTTCACAAAATGAGATAGGAAATATCGTCTTAATGATACATGTTAAGGTAATCTATCTCAATGTTTCGTATTCTTTTGTTGTACATTTAATTTGTATTTTTGGTTCCATACATTACTCATTACAGTTCTCATGGCTTGTCAAACTATTTGTGTCAATTGTTGCCGGAGACTCTGCAGCAGTCCAACGCCCCAACACACACTTTACATACATGTAAGTTTCTTTTTCTGGAGGCTGTATTCAGTTTTGTATATAGTTTATGGTCTTCTCTAATATATCTATTAGTGTATGCTTTACTCTGTCCAGATTAACTACCTAACAAGAGGTATCCATCCTTAAGCTGCAAAGATTTTGAGAACAGTGGAGCTCGATGCGTCTGATCGAGTACTTCTTTGTTTCCTAGTGCGTATTCTCTCTATTTTTTTAGTTGAATATATGTTTTGGGCTGACAACTTCAAGGTGCAAATGACAGGCTCAAAGGCTTCACAAAATGAGATAGCAAATATCTTCTCAATGATTCACGTTAAGGTAATCTATCTCAATGTTTCGTATTCTTTTGTCGTACATGTAATATGTATTTTTGGTTCCTACATTACTCATTATAGTTCTCATGGTTTTTTAAACTATTTGTGTCAACTGTGGCTGGAGACTTTGAATTACTTAGTTCAAATTAAAGATATGAGCTAGCAGCTCAATTTTGCTCAGGAATACACACTATATACATGTAAGTTTCACTTTTTTGCTGGAGGCTGTAGTCAATTCTGCATTTAGTTTATGTTCTTGTCTAATATATGGTTTGCTCTGTTCAGATTTTCTCCCTAACAAGATGTATCCATCCTTATGTCACAAAGAATCTGAGATCCAAGGGTAAGTGATGAGTAAGGTGAAGTTTTCTCGCTCCTTATGTCTCTTGTATCTTGTCAAAAATTCACAAAAAAACAAAACATCGAAAACAAAAACATACAACACCACCAAACAAAAACAACTTCCCGAAAACATACAACACCACCAAAACAAAAACAACTTCACGAAAACGTACGACACCCCCAAAACAAAAAAACAACTTCACGAAAACGTACGACACCACCAAAACAAAAACAAGAGCAAAGCAATTTACACGAAAATAAAAACTCACGCAAATAAAAATTCACGTGCACAAAATTCACATACACGAAACAAAGGAACGAAAAAAAAAACCTAACAACAATTTATAGCATTCATGACCACGAGAAGTTTATATAATATGATTGTTTACTATACGGTTACATGTAAAATGTTTTACCATTTGAATACTTGTTCCTTTATGATTGTTGACTTGTCGTTGTTTTTAATATACATAAACTTATATTTTTGTTGTTCTCTTGTGCGAGAATTTTGTAAACATTGTTGTTTATTTGATTAATAAAAAGTAAATTAATTGATCAAGCATTTTTTTATTTTTTTCCACAAAATTATATATGGGTTCCTTTGTAAAAATAATATTTGACTGTGAATACCTTTATTAGTAAAAATATTATTTGTACAAAATTTTCAAAATTTGGGACTATTGTGACAATATCAAAAGATTTGGGATCTATTTGAAGAAAGAAATGGAATAATTAATAAAATACGGAAAGATCCGTGGTTTCTTGTAAATACGAAAAGATATATGGCGTAATTCGGTAAATCTCAAAAGATATGGCGTAATTCGGTAAATTACAAAAGTTATAGGGTACTTTAATAAATAAGAAAAGAACTAGGGACGGTTTAATAAATATGAAAAGAACTAGGGACGGTTTAATAAATATGAAAGAACTAGGGACGGTTTAATAAATATGAAAGAACTAGGGACGGTTTAATAAATATGAAAAGAACTAGGGACTGGTTTAATAAATATGAAAAGAACTAGGGACGGTTTAATAAATATGAAAAGAACTAGGGACGGTTTAATAAATATGAAAGAACTAGGGACGGTTTAATAAATATGAAAAGAACTAGGGTCGGTTTAATAAATATGAAAAGAACAAGGGACAGTTTAATAAATATGAAAAGAACTAGGGACGGTTTAATAAATATGGAAAGAACTAGGGACGGTTTAATAAATATGGAAAGAACTAGGGACGGTTTAATAAATATGAAAAGAACTAGGGACGGTTTAATAAATACGAAAAACTTTAGGGACGGTTTAATAAATTCGAAAAGATATTGGGTAGTTTTAATAAATACCAAAAGATCTGAAGTGTTTTTTGTAAACACAAAAGATCTAAAAGACGGTGGTGGAGATAAAAAACGTTAAACATACGCTCGGCTAAATTTGGTTTGTTGTTCCAAGTTTCAACATCAAAAGACAAAAAAATAGTGCGTTGACCAAACCCTTAAATTTTAACTATGAGATCACACAAAAACGCACCGTTACAGCAAATGGGAAGTACATGGGTTTAAGTGTTGTTGTCTCGAGAGAATATTTATCAAAAGTTTTCCATTTTCCGTAACTTGATCTCTTTGATTTCTTTGTTCATGACGAGAGAATAACGAAGCCATTGCAGTAGTAGAACTGTAGAAGGTATACGAATTAAATCGTTAATTTGGAGGAGATGGGATTCATAAATTTGAAAATCCAGTTTAACCCTTAAACCGTTGCTAAGAATGAGACTTGAAAACTTCCTAATTAACTATGATGCTTCAGTTTTTTTAATCATCTACTGCCTTTGGAGTGAAGTCATTGTACCTTGATGATGTTCTGTTCTTTTTTGGGTTTTTTTTTAAAGGTATGGAGAACAGACACAAGTCTGAAATCAAAGGTTTAGTTGTGTTAAAGGTCAACACATGTTTCGACGCCAACGTGTCATTTACTAAGAACAAAACAAACTAGATAATGTAATCACAAGTTGATACACATTCAAGGATTAACATTTTAAATATAATTCCAATTACTAACAGAACTCACAAGTTAAGAATTAAGCACAAAAGTCAGATCATCAAAACCTTGAGCTACATACTTAGTTTTTTAAAGAGTTCATATCCTGCCTTCATTCTCTGCACCATATCACATAGTTTCTCCTGATCCATTTCCTTGTATGAAACTCCACTCAGTTTCTTCCTGCGTATCGTCCATGGGAGTTTTTTTTTTTTTTTCTTCCATCTCAACTAATCGAGCCCTATACAACTGAAACATGACAAGACATTAGTAGAGGTCATCAAGCATTGACTATATGTCCTTTGAAAATCAACAAACTTTAGATGCATTAACACCATTTTTTGCTTTTACCTGCACTTGATCGTCCAACTTCTTTTTCATTATTTCCAACTTAATTAGAGTATCCACACCCTTCTGAAACATGAAGACATTACAGGTCAACCATAACTATATCTTTACATAACAGATCGTCAAGCATAACTATATAAGTCCAAAATCAACAAACTTGAGATGCATTAAATCCATTTCTTGCTTTTACCTCCACTTTCTCGTCCAACATCTTTTTCGTTTCTATTACCTTAGCCAGAGCAGCCTTACGCTCCTGAAACATGAGAAGACATTACATGTCAACCATGACTCATATCTTCACAAAATGTTAAAAACTTGAAATGCATAACACCATTACTTGCTCACCTTTACCAAGGACTTTCCTTCAGCCAACGCCTAAAACATGAGAAAAATCAGATGAAGATATTAGAATTCAACAGTAACAATATCCTTTCACACACACACAAACCAAAAAAAAAAATCATATCTTGCTTACTTGTTTGGCGTCTTTACGTATGCGATTTAGGTTAGGGGTTAAAGCATCATCTGAAAGAAAGAAAACAAACACATTGATGAAGCTTGTTTCTCAAAATCCAAAACCATAAACTAATTAATGACTTAAAAGATCCTTTAGAGCCACATACTTGTGTAGTATCCAAGAGCAAACATTGGTGCTCCCGCAAAAGCTCTCCCAAATAATTCCTTCCTCTGGTGAGAAAAAAATGATTGCTCTTTTAAATCTCTCAGTTCATGGTTTTATCAAGATCAAGCAAAAGAGACAAATACAAAAAAACAAAAACAAAAAAAAAGCAGGAGAATGTTACCATGATCTTCTTAATCCTCTGAGAGAGAAATTTGTAGTGATTCTCTTATTCTTCAGTATTTATGTAGACTGTGGTGGAGATAAGATATCAAACACAAATTCACCATTACAGAGAACTAAATACCAAAAACAGATTTCAATCAAACCAGAACAAACTCTTTGTCGATATAAAGAAATAAACCAGAAATCCTCCTAAGGAAAAAAAAAAGTCAGGACCTTTCAAGCAATAGAAATCTTATATGTCAAAAGAGCTCTAAGAAAAACCTCAACATAAACCCTGACAACAAAACTGAAAAAAGTGAGGAGCTTTTGCATTGATTTAGTTGTCTAATGAAAAAAGTCAGAAGCTTTCAAGCATTAGCTATCTTATGGGTCAAGAGAGCTCTTAACAAAAACCTTAACATAAACCCTGACAACAAAATTGAAAAAAGTCAGGAGCTTTTGCATTGATTTAGTTGTCTAATGAAAAAAGTCAGAAGCTTTCAAGCATTAGCGATCGTTTATGGGTCAAAAGGGCTCTAACAACATAAACCTGACAACAATATAGGACAGAAACAAAACAGAGAAACGGCATTGACTCTGTAAGAAAGAAAATAAATGGGCAAGACCTAGTAATCTTTTGCGAGAGATGGACGATAAGTCTCAGGAGATGATGCTGTTATAGTCTTCGATTTTTTTGAGAAGAGAGCAACGCAAGCAAAATGTTCTTCTCCATCTCCAAATAGACCAGTACCTTCCTTTAACATAAAACACTGGAAAGTGGAAACAAACAAGAGGGAAGAAAAAGCAAACCGGGTTTTATGGATTTTCTTTTTACTTACCATTTGATTTCGGTTTGCTTCTCTCTTGTTGGATCGTGTTTGTTGGGAAATTGGGAAAGGCCCTAAAAGTGTAGAAGCCCAAGAAGTGTTTGTCATTTAACCAATTCCATAGTAATAGATTAGAAACGAAAAATAGTTACCAGACAAGAGAATTGGGCCTATAGCGTCTATTTCATTGTTCAAACCGGCATGTTGTTTGAAACCAAGAGCTTCAAACGGTTTTACTTACAATTTTATTTCGGTTTGCTTCTTCTTCCCTCTTTGTTCTGTTTTTCTTATAAGTTTACGGATGCATTATAATACAAACACATATGTGTTTATCCGTAAAAATCACAATATCTATATTTTTTAACATCAAAAGATTAAAAAAAATAGTGCGTTGACCAAACCCTTAAATTTTAACTATGAGATCACACAAAAACGCACCGTTACAGCAATTGGGAAGTACATGGGTTTAAGTGTGTTTTCTCGAGTGAATATTTTATCTAAGGGTTTTGGATTTTCCATAACTTTGATCTCTTTGGTTTGTTTGATCATGACGAGAGAATAACGAAGTAAACTAGAAGCCATTATAGTTGTAGAACTGTAGAAGGCGTAGACCAATGAACTCGTTAATTTGGAGGAGATGGGATTCAAATAAATGAGACTTGAAAACTTCCTAATTAACTATGATGCTTCAGTTTTTTTATCATCTACTGCCTTTGGAGTGAAGTCATGGTACCTTGATGATGTTCTGTTCTTTTTTGGGTTTTGTTAAGGCATGGAGAAAAGACACGAGTCTGAAATCAAAGCTTTAGTTGTGTTTATCTTCTTTTATTAGCATAGTGTTTTTAACTATGGAGATCCCTTGTGTTACTGTGTTAGCCATGTGCTGGGGATACTTTCATTATATTTGTCAAAACTTTAAATACTTGTGATTTGCTAACAGCGAAACAAACTAGATAATGTACTCACAAGTTGATACACATTCAAGCATTACCATTTTACATATAATTCCAATTACTAAAAGAACTCAGAAGTTAAGAATTAAGCATAAAGGTCAGATCATTAAAACCTTGAGCTACATACTTAGTTTTTAAAGAGTTCATATCCTGCCTTCATTCTCTGCACCATATCACATAGTTTCTCCTGATCCATTTCCTTGTATGAAACTCCACTCAGTTTCTTCCTGCGTATCGTCCATGGGAGTTTTCTTTTATTTCTTCCATCTCAACTAATGAGCTTTCCTATACAACTGAAACATGACAAGACATTAGTAGAGGTCATCAAGCATAACTATATGTCCTTTGAAAATCAACAAACATTAGATGCATTAACACCGTTTCTTGCTTTTACCTGCACTTGATCGTTCAAGGTCTTTTCAATTGTTTTCAACTCAATCATATTAGCCATACACCTCTGAAACATGAGAAGACATTACATGTCAACCATGACTATCTCTTTACATAACAGATCATTAAGCATAACTATATATGCCCTTTCAAAATCAACAAACTTGAGATGAATTGTCACCAATTCTTGCTTTTACCTGCACTAGATCTTCCAACATATTTTTCGTTTCTATCACCTTAGCCAGATCAGCATTATGCGCCTGAAACATGAGAAAACATTACATGTCAATGTCAACCATGACTTATGTCTTCACAAAATCAAACAACTTGAAATGCATAACAACATTTCTTGCTTACCTTTGCTAAGGAATTTGCTTCAGCAAACGCCTGATGTGAGAAAATCCAGATGAAAATATTAGATATTAACAGTAACATTATCCTTTCACACACACACACAAGCCAAAAATAACATTTCTTGCTTACCTGTTTGGCTTCTTTAAGTATGCGATTTGTATTAGGGGTTAAAGCATCATCTGAAAGAAAGACAAGAAACACATTGATGAAACTTGTTTCCCAAAAAGCAAAACGATAAACTAATCAATGACTTTAAAGATCCTTTAAAGCCACATACTTGTGTAGTATCCAAGAGCAAACATTGGTGCTCCCGCAAAAGCTCTTCCTCTGGTGAGAAGACAAATGATGCGATTATTCCCCTTTTAATCTCTCAGTTCATGGTTTTATCAAGATCAAGCAAAAGAGACAAATACAAAAAACAAAAATCAAAAAGAAGCAGGAGAGTGTTACCATGATCTTCTTGATCCTCTTATTGTTCAGTATATATGTAGACTGGTGGAGATAAGATATCAAACACAAATTCACCATAATTGTCATTACAGGGAACTAAATACCAAAAACAGATTTCAATCAAACCAGAACAAACTCTTTGTCGATATAAAGAAATAAACCAGAAATCCTCCTAAGGAAAAAAAAAATTCAGGAGCTTTCAAGCAATAGTAATCTTATATGTCAAAAGAGCTCTAAGAAAAACCTTCACATAAACCCTGACAACAAATTGAAAAAAGTCAGGAGCTTTTGCATTGATTTAGTTGTCTAATGAAAAAAGTCAGAAGCTTTCAAGCATTAGCGATCTTATGGGTCAAAAGGGCTCTATAAAACACCATAACATAAACCCTGACAGAAAATCGAACAGACAGAAGAGAAGCGAAACAGAGAAACGGCAGTGACTCTGTAAGAAAGAAAATAAATGGGCAAGACCTAGTAATCTTTTGCGAGAGATGGACGATACGTTTCAGGAGATGGTGCTGCTATATTCTTCGATTTTCTTGAGAAGACAGCAACGCAAGCAAAATGTTCTTCTCCATCTCCTGCAGACCAGTACCTTGCTTTTAACATAAAACGCTGGAAACAAAAGGGAAGAAGAAGCAAACCGGGTTTTGTAGAAAGTACGTAACAATTTTATTTCGGTTTGGTTATCACTTGTTGGACTGTATTTATTGTAAAAGGCTCAGGAAGTTTGAGAAGCCCAAGAAATGTTTGTCATTTAACACTAAATTGGGCCTAGAGTATCCGGCCCATGTGTACATAACAAAAACTCATGCAATTGTGAGAAACCAGCACGTTGTTGGAAATCAGAAGTTTTAAACGACAGGCTGTGTTTATATTCAAATGTCCCACATCGCTCAGACCCAAAGCAATGACTGGGGAACCAGGAATATAAATATTGAAGCGGACGGTACGAGAAAATTACTTACCTGGACGGGGTCAACTCGTGATCAAGAAGACGAGTGGCCTATGCTAGTGACCTCCATTGCACATAACGGAGGGGTGCTTAGCTTAAGGTCTTCCCACGAGGAAGAGCCTACGTCATTATTTGTGGCAGAGGGGGTTTGCGTTCGCGCAGCCCCTACCATACTTAGTCTGAATCTTCACGTTTACAATTTTAGTCTCTACCTTCTTATCGGCACACTTATGTAGTTTTTGTTAGGTTCAAAGTCCCACATCGGAGCACATATAGAGTTGATGGGCATTGTGTGGGTATAAATAAGGAGGCTCTCACTTGATATAACTCATCTTTGCGCTTGGGGCAATGACGCAGCTAATGAGGTCTTAACCGAGGCGCGTCTATTGCTGGTTGAAAACTATTTCCAAACCCCCTCCTAGGCCTTAAGCTTGTCTTGGGCCTTCGAGAATTTCTGGAAGAGCTCCCTTTGGGGTAAAGCTCTACAATTCTTAGTTCAATATTTGGTCCATTAAGGTTTGTTCCCAAATACGAGTTTCATATAACAAAAACACAATAGTAAAATCTGGAGCAAATAGGAAATCACAAGTGCAGAACTCAGTGCATATAGATTATTATACTCATACATTTTGTTTGGTTTTTCTAAGACCTACAAGTCGACAGACAATTCGAGTATTCATTAGAGCAGATTTGATGTGTTGATAACAATCTTTAACATTATTCTGCTTATTCCAAAACCCTTCCCCAAATCACTTGTTGCTATAAATCAGGTATTAATATTATTTTTTCTTTATAAGAATCAAAGAGCTCAAAAATCCCTTGAACGAACTCGCTCTGTTTTCAACAAAACCACCATCGACAGCAACACGCAAACACATCTCCACGAATCTCCTCCGCTGCGATAATGCTGCAAAAATTTTGTAGGTTAATTAAGAAGAGTTAACTAAGGTTGGATCATCAAATTAAACCTTGAGCTGTTTAGTTCTTAAATACTCCATATGTAGACATTCTACCATCCTTCTCTCCACGAAAGAATTGAGAATGAAGTTGGACGAATCGATCTAAAGCGGAAAACATAGGAAGAAACTGAGCCATTTGAGCTCTATTCTTCTGAAACATTACACAAGACATTACATATACCAACTATCTATATATATATATATATATATATATATATATATATATATGTATATTTATTTATTTATCTCCTTTCAAAATGAAATAACTTTTAACAACATTCTTGTTAATCTTTTTTTACCTCTTCCAAAGACTTAATCTGAGCTCTATACCGCTGAAACATGAGAAATTCCAAGGGACACATTAAAAAAAAAAAAAAAAAACCAACCATTATATATATATTGAATGGGGACTTTGGGTTAGACTCTTTGGCGTGGATTAATGAACATCGAGATCGACAACAAAATGGATAATAGATTTCTTATTAGTATTAAGTTCTTGATACAAAGTTACAATGTGTTCGTAAAACCCTACTAGTGCCTACTTATACTATGACCTAAAATCTTTCGGTTCAACTGATCTCTGTGATTTGCTCCAACGACTTCATCCTCGTCCCAAAATCGCCTCGACTTCCTTTGCGACACTCTTATCCATCAAATGGGCCGATGACTTCCTTCGCATTAAGCCCATCTCCCGTCTAGTCACGTACTTATCTGGGCCTGAAGCTAATGAGCTTGGAACGTAGAAACCCATCACCAACTATTATGTATAATTTGTACACTATTAGTTTAACTGTTTGTGACTATTTCACACTTGTGTAGTAAATTTTCTAAATGAAAATAATATTATTTTTTTCTGTGTGTTTTAGTATTAATAAAAAGAAAAATGGAAGAGATGGAGTACACAGTACAATAATGATATCCCAAATAGTAATAATTAAAAATTATGAAAGATGTCAGCATTAAAGAAACACAACTTTGTTCTTTTATGTAATTGATCCAAAAGATTGAAAAGTAAGAAAATTAAAAAAAAAAAAAAAATTAAAATTAATTTCCCTTGATAAGGAACTTTGGTAACTTCGGAGGGACCGAGGAAGGTTTTATTTGCCCTCTCAGATAAGCTCACATGGCCGACTCCATTAGCTGTCCAATCAATAAGTACTCTAATCTATCTTAACTCTTCTTGTAATAATAATTTTTGTAAAAACCCTAAAACAAAACTTGAACTCCATCTGAGATTTGATCAAGTACTACAGTGGATTAAAGATTACTACAACAACAAGAACAAGAAGAAGAAGGAAAAAAAAAAACTTTTATAGAGATCTCTAATAATCCTAATTAGACTCACTTTACATAAACTTTATTATGCAATTAATTTACTGCTATAATAAAAAACAAAAATTAGCTTAGTGTTAAGGAAGAAACGTAGGAATGGTAGAAGAAGAAGAGTGTTGATGATGTTGATGTTGATGTTGATGTTTCATCTCAGCCGTGGAAGCGTGACCGCACCGGTCACATCTCACCGGCGTAAGAATCCGGCGACAAGAAGGACAAGAAGACCTAGATACCAACCATTTATCAATACACGCCACGTGGAATGAATGGCCACATAGAGGAAGCACTCTTATCTCTTCTCCCTCGGCGAACTCAGTGAGACAAATAGCACATTCCGTCGTGTCTCCTCCGTCTTCAGCACCACCGGAGGCGGATTCCGCGGCGGTGAAAGTGGATCTTGGTAGGGACTGTAGAGCTTTCTTTTTCAACCCTTTGTTAGGAGACGGCGAAGAAGAATCTCCTCCACCGGTGAACCTCCTTAGCCAAGCGCAGCGTACGACTGCGGCGAGGCCAGCCACACATATAAGTGCGCAAAGAAGAGCCGACAAGATCACCACCATGTCGGATTCCGCTGCTATCATCTCCTCTGACGGTTGTGGCGGCGGCGCAGCCGTCTCTAGTAATCTTGACGGTCGAGTCATCTTTTTCTAAGCTTTGGAGATTTTTTTTTTCTTTTTTGTTTTTGGTTTTAGCTTTGTGTGAGTTTGAAGACAAGAGTGATGAAGATAAGAAAGAATCTTGATCCACGTTCTAATAGAGACACATAAAGGATACATACAATATACATATAAACACATCTTTCATTTTACATATATAATAATATTGCATATAAAGATAAAATATTTTCTAATATTTAAATCAAATCGTTATAAAATACACGAAGAGAAACAAAATTAGTAAGTATTATTATTTTGATTGTTTTTTTTTCAAGTTAAATTGCTGAATTAGTGTTTACATGCAATTCGCATTTTTGCTTATAAAAAGGAGATGCATCTATCTATCTCCAACTTCTTCTTAGATCACAATTCTAAATTGTGTTTTCTTGTGTGTGTGTTTATTATGACTAAGTCAATTGATGTTGTGATCATCAAGACTTATTTATTTTTCATGATATTAGTATATATTTTTATTTATGATATATTAAATATGGATATAGAGAGGTGAAGGTGACTGATACTGATATTTATTGAAATTTTGTTTGGAGTAAATAAGTAAGAAGAAGAAAAGATGGGTAGGTGGGTTTGGCTTTATAGAAAAATTATAGGTTGAGTTTTTGACAAACACATTATCAAAAGGTATAAGTAAGCTCCTTGCTCACCTAAACGGCAAAACCTACCTTCGATTAGACTCTTTTTTATTTTTATTTTTTTGTAGAATTCTCTTGCGATTCAATAATATGTTTTGATTATGTCATAACCCTAAATAAAATAAGAGGATAAAATTTGATTTAATAATAATAATAATTTGTATCAAGTGCTAATATTTTAAATGGTAAAGATTTTTGGTAAAAATTTAAAAGTTATTGATTCGAATAGTGTTTAGGACGAAACTATATAACTTGTTTTGATTTCGGATCTAAAGTGATATAATGTAATAACTTTGACCTAGAATCTTTGAATTATAAAAGAAAAAAAAAATAGAAGAACAAAAACAAACAAATGAAAGATCACTGTGTGGAGTATAAAATGGTATTTGTAAATAACACCGGCCAAAATTGGTTGGTTATTTATATAAGATTATTGTTCTATACTTTTATGTTTTCTAATATAATTCTTTTGCAATATAACAAATTTTTGCCAACCAATTAACCGACCATTTGTTGGGAAACGAGTTTATTTTGAAGCTCGAAATAGTTTTTCGTAATATGTTTTGGATCTAGTAAGTTTTGTATAAGCCTAGGTGGGATCTGGATTAAAAAATAAATCAATTACCCAAAACAGAATCTTTAAAAATTGATCAACGTGTCCATAAATTTGGTAGGGATATATACATATTTATAAATCGGAATAGGATACAATTTGACACGTAACGTATTTGTGAAAATTTGTATAGGAATTAATATATAATAACCCACGAAGGTACACGTCTATATACATTTGAAGTAGCACACCTTGACCACAATAGATAGATCGACTAGTCTATTATCAAACTAATTTACAACTTTGGTTTTGTCACGTCTAACAAACCTCAAAAACCATCTTGACTCTTTTATCATAATGGTGTGACTGTGTAAAGTTATCTGAACTGTCACTTATAGAACCAAATCACCAATACTCTCTACCTACATGATGAATTTTCTATCATTTAATTGGACCCTGATAAAATTATCTTTAATGAATATAAAACAAAATATAGGTTTTGATATATAGAACAAAATGATACATCAGATACTATACTAATACTACTATATATGATATATAAATTGTCCATTTTAACATTGGAGTCACTTGTTTATAAACTGATAATGTTTTCTTCTCTTCTTTTAGCATTTAGGTAGCTAATAATTAAACATACACCCTATAGGGAAAGTAGTAATACAACTTTAAGTCTTTAACCAACTTATAAAAAGACAGTAGAACTTGAAATATAAAAGACATCCCGAAATGGAATCTCTTTTAGCTAAAATGCTTCTTCTTTTTTTTTTTAATTTTTTTTTGATAAAAAACGTCTCTTTACATGAATGCAAGACATGTGAAGCTTACTAAAATACAAAGCAAAAGACAATAATAAAATAATAGAAAATCAATAATGAATTAGAAAAAAAAACAATCGTTTAACCCAAGTTTTTTGGTTTTAGCTAAATTTAGTCTTGAATTAGATAATGTTGCTCTCTTGAAAAAAAAAGTATTTGCAACGTTTTCGACTTCGAATGTTATATATGCCTTACAGACCTTTTTTTTTTCTTATGAAAAAAGTTATGCCTTACCTACAAACTAACCTATACTTTTATCAGATTTAATCACGAGAAACACTATCACCTTAGTATAATTTTTTATTTTTTTTTATTTAAAAAAACGTTAAAAATTAATCTAGTTTTTCGCAAAAGTTAGAAATTCCATTAAGGTGCTGTTTGTTCCGAATTCAGAACTTCATTACATTTTATTTTATTTTTGGTAAAAACTGCATTACATCTAATATATACATTATTTTCATCACAAAAACTTCATATCTCAACAAATAACAACTACTGCAGTATATATATATATATATATTGCACATGTGCTTGTCTGATGACCAACTATATAAAAATCCAAAAGTGATACAAAACCTACTAATGATAAAATGGGTGCACATGTGCTTGTCTGTCGCTTCGACTTTATATTTTGTTGTTGTTCTGTTTAAAGTGAATAAGTCTTTTAAGTTTTAAGTTTATCTGTGAAGTACCAATCAGAGGGATTTTTCTGTAAGGAACACTTTTTAATTATCATCTTTTAGAGATATCAAATGATATGATATTTTTTATAGTTCCCATGTGCTCCCCTCTGTGCATTGTATTAGCTTATCCATCGAACTCTCTCTCAATTATTTAGCATCACTATAACAGCTACATGAGTATCCGCCGCACTATGCACACAGATTTGTTTATTAGTTGAGTAATATTGTAAATATGTTAGTTTTTTCCTTCTTACCATTACATTCTTTGGTTCTTAACTTCTTATAAATATTCGAAAAATATATATATATATATATATATATATATATATATATACTCACACAAAAAAAGCCTAAGGTTGTTTTGTGAGAAAGCAAATGATATCAAAAATGAAAAAAGAGACTGAACTTTTCAAAAGCTAAAACATATGGAGAGAATTGGCCATTTGTGATAAGAGGCCTACCCGCATGTGAACTCTGATTCAATTTCTTAAAGGGCTTATATATGGTAGTCCATATTTAACTTCTTTACCAAGGCATTGATTTACAAAAGCATAACATAATAAACCCTAAGCAGATTCCACAATTTGTTTTGTATACAAAATAGTATTGCAACTATGAACTTATCTCTACGAAGAAGAGCTGAAGATAACAATGACCAGTTAGATGATCAAATAGAAGATGAAAAAAGCAAAATGAACATTAAAAGTCAGACAAGATTTACCACATGATCCTCTCAGGATTACATTTTTAAATTAGCTTCTGCCAAAGTATCTCCTAAGTCTCCTTAGTCTCATGAGTCTATTCCATAACCCCTCTTGATCTACTACGTTAAAAACAGGGTCTTTGAAATCTCCTTTTGTGCTTAGCTCCTCAAACGCGGTTACAAGGTTCTCCAGCCTTGCAACAAACTCTATGAGAAGGGAAGCAAACGTAGCCAAAGACAAAGAACTCGCGCTTTCGTATACTTTATATACTGTATCATTCACTACAGAACCATCAATGAAAGACACGCTTGGCCACGTCTCCCGGTTCCTTAACATCATACTCTCTGTTGACATCCATACATTAGATCCTTCATTACCACTAGCTGGATCCTGATTGTTGCTGTTACTATCCCATATCTGACTTAAGGATTTGATCACTTTGGTCTCGTGAGCTTCTTCTTCTTCTGCCTCAGCTTGCTCTTTAGTAGCCGCCCAGCTTTCTGAGTTGACAAGAAGGTAAGATTTAGTGTCTATTTTCATTTGTAGCTCCTCTGCTGCACGTTGAACGTCATTTAGAATCTCTCCGGGGCTAAGCTTCTCCATTTTCTCCACATTGTCTCCAATCAAACGCAGAACTTTTGCTCCTTCATTACCAACTCTTTGAAGCTCATTACGAAAAGCTTGTCGTTTGTCTGGAGCTGCCTGCCATATCACAGAGTCCACTACATCACCAATGCATGCTTTTAAACATCTTATATAGTTTTATTGAAATAGTATTAATAAAGCTTAAGTAAGGAACCTGTATCTCTGAAAGTATGCAACCATGTATTGCCATGACAGTGAAAGCACAATGCCTTAATGCACCACTAAGTTTGACATAGTTTTCCCAAGGATGGTTAAACGTTTTGTAAGGTCCATGTGGAGGCTCCCATATGGCAAATTCGAGCTACATGCATAAAGAAGCAATTCTTAATTAATGCTAATTTAAACATTCAATATATTTTTAGTTATATAGTCTATCAACTTCATGAAAAACATGCATACCAGTGATTCTTCTTGACTTGTAGATTGAATAGCTGACCTGTAGCCACTGTATAATGGATCATCAGATGTTTGGTACGTGAGAATCTTGGAGGGTACTCTCTCGTATTCCACACATTGCAAGTAGCCATTAACACATCCTAAATATTTAAGGGTAAAACAAAACCTGAAATGTCAGTTCAAAACCCAAAAATGTCAATATTAATACATCTATATACATATTATACGAATTTGATTGGTCCTTATACATTATCTAAATTTTTCCATCTTCGTTTTGAATTAGGACCATTGAAGTTATAATGTGAGTTTCACCTTCTAGTGAATTTGCCACATTCTTGAAATTATTGGCCACAAGTTTATGGAGATCTTCCCCGGCCCATATTGGAAATATGAATATATTCACAACCAAACAAGTGGTTGCACCGACAATAATAAACAAAAGCCTGTAGTAGGCAGTGCTGAAGAAGTCACCGGTGTTGTTACCCGAAACAAGAACAATACAGTATGTCAACAAGAACACTCTGAATGCGTATTCATAAGGCTTCATGGCCGGGTAGAGTTTTGAATAGCTAGCAATGAAACCTGATAGATCAAGAGTAAAAAAAGTATATGTTACTATATTTTATTTATCTTCAAAAACTTCATTGTAGGGAGTACAAGAAATTGTTGGGCAACCTGCAAGGAATATGCAGATTATGATGATGCCTTCCTTGAAATCTCCTGATAAAACAGAGAGCCTCGCGATGCCAAGAGCAAGTCCCCCAGCTGATAATGTTCCTAAAGCTCTGTTGAATCCTTTGACCAGAGTTGCTCCTACAAATTAAACAATATTTGAGTTAGGAAAATATTTTAGAGCCGTCCAAAGAGAAATTTATATTAAAGATCTTGGGCGGGTCAAGATATATATGAGCGACAAAATGAACAAAAGAGTGAAATGCAAGTCAATAAAAAGTGTTTAGAAAGAACTCCCTAGCTAGGCCTTAAGCAAATAAACAACCAATAACTTATAGGTTCGTTATAGCCTAATAAAGTCCCTAATCAATGCTTACTTAAGCTGGTGTATTATAACATATGAAATCGCATGATTCATATATAATAAAATTAAAATATTTCAACCTTAAAATGATACTCAAACTACATTAAAACATTCGGTAAATATATAAATATCAAGGGTAACAACATTCAGAAAATATAATATATGAGAATTATTTATAAACAATTATATGAAAACCCAAGGATGCTCATTAATTAAATGCAGGAGAAATAACATTCAAACATCTTAACTATGCATAATAACATAAACATTTAACCTTTAGGAGATATAATGACTAATGAACCAACGGCCTAATCTAACAACGACTATAGAACATGTGCAATTTTCATGATCAAAATAGATACACAAAAAACTCAAAAACCAAGAAAGATCAAGAACAAGAACGAATTCAAATACCTACGGAATACTCGAAAACCACGACGACAGTAAGGATGCCCCATACAGAGTATTTACTAGCTTCATGAAGTGGCTCTTTGAGGAAGATAACTATAGAGCAAAGAGAGAGAGCCATTCCCATCTTGACCGCGAAGAAGACCTTCCTAGGATCAGCTTGTCCCATCTCGTACAACTTGGCCATCCCGCGGAAACACCAGTTCGATTCATCGAGGAAGCCGGAATCATCTGAGTATCCATTCTCCGAGAGAAGCCTCTCTCTGCTTTGCTGATGAAATGGACCCATTTGTTTTTGGTTTTCCTATATTATTTCCTAAGAAGAACCTTGTTGTGTATTAAATAGAAAGAGATCATTTTTGTATCCTAACGTTGCACATATTGCTTCCTTACCCAATATATTCCCATTTATGTAAATACTTCACCACATCAGTGAATTTTTACCTTTCTTTTGTTCCATATGCGGACATGTGATGTGAGTGGACCTGGTTTGGTTATAAAGTGGTTTATTAATTACGCTCGTATCTTTATATACACCTAAACATAGAGACAGTTTAGGAAAATGTCAAAAACAAAAGTTTTTTTTTTACATATGGTTTTGTGACTTCTCGTGAGTAATGTGACTTGTTGTGATTTTGACATTGTGAAAGCGTTACGATTTATTACATCTACCGCTATAGCTCCGCTCACCATTCTTCTAAGGTCAAGCCTACCCGCCCTTTACTTGAGATTTTTTTCTTCACTAATTTATTTAAAAAAAAAATGATATGCTCGTTTTATTTTCCTAATTGAAATGCGTCATCTGCAAAGTAATGCAAAGACACATGCAAGTGAAATGTACCCAAAAAAATGATTAGCCTAAAATGTACGTAGTAGTACTATTGAAACTATTTGTAAATAGTTTATGTGCTCGATCGTGTTTGCTTGATGAGTGGAATACTTCTTCTGCAAGCTAATAACTAGTGGCTCCCTTGTTTAATGAATCTCTTGTCTTGTTTAATTAGACGATGGAGAGACAGCAAAAAACCTTAAACAGCTTACGAGATGGTTTACAAAATAAAAACAAAAACCGTGCTCAATCATGTGGACCATAATAAACTCATATAAACTAAATTGTGGCTCAAGTGTTACCACTCATTCTCAACTCGACTTTGGTTTAATCGATTAACTAAAAAAGTGAAAACCAAACCAACGTCATAGTTCAATTCGGTTATTTCGTAAGAGAACACAAGATTGACGAGAGGCCTGGGCGTCAAGGTACTCACTCGAGTACCCTTTCGGGTTCGGTTCAGATATTTTGGGTTTTGGGTTTTAGGATTTAGAAATATAAAACCGTTCAGGTATTTCTAAATTTTGGGTTCGGATCAGGTTTTTCGGGTTCGGATCTTGATTACCCAAAATTCCTAAAACTCAAAATTTGAGTATCCAATATGTCCAAACTACTAAAAATATCTCAAAACCTATATAATTTTTGACACAAATGTACTTAAAAGAGTTTAAAACTTCAAAATATCCAAAATGTACAACAAACTGAATAATTTTGACTTAGATTATTAAAATATAAATATTATTAATAAAATATTATTATATATTTATATTGTGGGTACATTCGAGTATCTGTTCGGGTTTGGGTATTTCTAGATTTTGTGTTCATGTTCAGAACGGGTTCAGATCGGTTTTTTTTGGTTCAGTTATTTTACCCAGGCCTGACAACAACGATTTACAAATCATCAGATAAATAAACCATTACATACTTTCTTTTTTGTGTTGCATGGTTATGGTTTGGATTGAGCTTTAACAAAATTTCAGAAAGCTTTCATGGAATTTACTAAATTGGTTCTCATTATCTATTCCCCTCATTTTCATAAGCCAATGGCAGAATCTGGACTGATATAATTGGCAATGTAAAAATGAGAAAATCCTAATTTAAACTAATATGGTTATCAATACATTACTTTTTCACCACGGCATTTGATTTACAAAAGTATTAGATAAATAAACCAATAACAATCCTCTGCACTGACTGATTCTGATTCTGATTCTTGACTGAGATGGTTCTTTCCTCGGAGCATGCTTAACTTGAAAAGAACTCTTTATAATCAGTTCTACCATTCACGGCTAGTCTCACCGGTCTTGCGATGGTTCTTTACTCGGTGCAGGCTTGACAAAAGAGAACTCTTTAGAATCAGTTTCAGTGTCACGGCTAGTCTCACCAGTCTTGGTCTCTTGCTTTTCTGGTTCAACCTTCACAACAAGCTCGAAGCTTGGAGGAGATCTGGGAGGAGTCAAAGCTTCGTTGTCTGTGTCCAGATCTGATGTCTCAGGGTCAAGTCCTTCGTATCTCATCGAATGTGGTGTGGTCTTGAAACGCTGCAATGATCGGACAGACGAAGTAGACCTAACCGTTGATGCCGTAGGGCTCGCGCTTCCATCTCCACCAAGTCTCTTAGCGGTGGTTTTCACACCTTTCTTCTTCTTCACTGCCATTCTCCATTTCTTGAGTGCCTTTGATGTTTGTTCATCGAATACTGATTTTTTCATTCGCGAACCCATCTAAATCACAAAGACTTCTTAGTTTACAGATTGAAAAGAAATGTCCAGTTTCAGTAGCATATACATGAACAATGGAAAGTTACCTGAGTTACTAGTGCGTAGAGAGGAAGTGTGATGTAGCTGCAAAGACACAATACTGCTAAACTGCAAGAGAAAAAGGAAACAAGATTAGTGGTATGATCATGATTCTGCAGACAAGTTCAACATCTTTCACACATCTCTTGAGACTAGGCACTTACGCGATCGCTACTTTTACAAGTGCAATCTTGAAATTAGGATGATAGCATGAATCATTCCCAAAGGAATACTGCATTACATCAAGGAAAACAAAGAATTAGGTACTCTTGTAAAGAAGGAAATGTATATGAAAAGTAAAGAAAAAAAACTAAGTTGTTACCCATATCCAGAAGAAATATGTGATCTGAAACGCGTTCTGCAAAATAAAAAGAACGATTTAAGAAGATAAGTAAATCATAAAAAAGGATTTGTGTTTGTGTTGAGTGATTTCTCTGTTTGTTAAGTACCTGAAACAAGGCGAAATGAATAAGATGGAGGATCAAATGGGGACTTTTGAACCAGAAATACTCATCGTTGCCTTGTACAAGCGGCATTCCTTGAACTACCGCATGTCTATCGGTGATTCCGAGAGCCATCCTTGTCATAATCGCTTGAAGCTTTGTCCCTACTGCTAATATTATCTTGAAAAAAAAAAAAAGACAAAACTAGTTTGTCAAAAACTGTGAGTCCTTAAGGATATTATCATTTGGAAGATTTCAACAAGTTAAGTGAAAGATATCTTACGAGAACCGGCACTGCAGTGCCAATGAACATCATCTTGAAACCTGAAATACCAAACAAGAAGATTACAACACGTCCATTGACAACAATATCCTGTACACTTAGTGACTTAGATACTCACCTTCAATATTTAAAAGGAGGAATAACACAAAAGATCCCCACAAGACAGGACTGCAATAAGAGACAATCATTAATTACAAGTTATAGGCATAAAAACCAATGTTCGTAGAAAGTTTTATAAGTTACCTGACTCCAACGACCACCTTGAAATCATCCTCCAACGATCTTTTTATGTATTTTTGGAAGTTAAATTGACTTCCAGGAGCTAGATGAACCTTCATAAACGATGACAGAGCGACTCAGCAAGAACCATACTATATACTAATTCAAAATTTGGAGTGGACCGTAAGTAAAGAAACTCACAGCGATGAATCCATTTCTCAATGTCAAATAGTCAGTTCTCCCAACGGATCTGAAAAACTGTCTGAAAAAGCATCCCTGAAACGCATTGTATTTACAGAAAGTGAGAATCATATCAAGAACTGTACCCAACAATAACTTTGGTAAGTTTGCTACATTTTCTAGAGCTGACTAAGAGTAAAGTAGAAGCTAGTGGGTGATGGCTCTTACAATATAGAAAAAGACTGGTATCCGAGTCCAGAAACTGGTGTGCGCTCTTACAAAAGATGTTTCATGAGTTAGCCTGAATCTGGAAGTATCTATATAAAGAAAGAACAGCAAACACACAGTCACTGATCAAATCTCAAGAGGAGAAACGAAAAAGGAGCCTCAAGGTCAGAGAAAGTGCATAAGTGTACCTGTTGAAAACTCGTAATTATGGGATGATGTCTCTATCTCCCAATGCTTCCATCCACGAATCTGAAAAGACCAACAATCTTTCATACAACCAAACTTTCGGGGAACGAAACTGAGATGTTGATCCATAAATTGGAAACATATTTCTTTTAAGTACCTTCAACCTTCCAAGCATCATAGTTAAGAAACTGTACAAAACGTGGAAAATGGCCAAGAAGAATATAAGGATGTGTAGTTGATGAAGTGCCTGAGCAGAGATAAGTTCTTCATAACCCTGCACCATCATTAGCATTAATTAATACGCATTGCATCACATTTTACAATCTGCAGATCAACAAGGCAAATATGCAAATGAACGGAAAAAATTAACTCTCACCTCCTTTTTGCATTTTGTGGGAGATGCTTCACCTTCTGATAGGAATCTGTGGTCAAACCACAAGAGTCTCCTGTGACTTTCACCATTGTCATCTTCTTCCTTTTTCAAATGTTTAGGAGCAGAACATGGGAGCATCGAACGAGCAACATTTGCAGGGATACAAATCTCCAAAATGTAGCTTTGTCCAAATGTCAGAAGCAAAGAGATGAATCCAAGAACCATCAACTCTGCAACAGAAAGGAAACAATTAAGATTAGCACTTCAACTAGAGTAATTTAACAAAGTGAAATTCTCTCAAAGCTTTTGGTAAAGAACCATCAGCTCTGAAACAGAGAAGAAACAATTCATATTGACAACTTTGACCAAGCTCTTGTGGGACAAGACAAGACTCAGAATTCCAAACAGAAGAGAAATTGACAAAGTAATTAAAAAAGATTGAGACTTTTCACCTGATTTGATCTTCTCCAAGGCATCGAGAAGGGCTCTCTTGTGCCGATCCCATAGAACCTAAAATCAAGAACAAGTTCACTCTATGACAAAATTCCAAAATCTCAGACAAAGACAGTTCCTTTTCACAAATCAAAGAGAACCCATGTCCAATAAACCCTCAAATTAAACGCAAAACCCCAAAAGAACAAAGATTTAGCATAAACCCCAAAAAAAGAACCAACCTTTCCAACTTTGTGAAGTAGTTTTTCAAGAAGAACAGAAACAACGATGAAGAAAGTACAAACAGCAGCAACAGCCCAAGTCGGAGTCTGATTAAGCTCTCTATGTATCACTTTCCTCTCATCCTCCGCCACAACCACCGCGACTCCTCCACCGAGAAGACACCAGAGGCCAAGACAAATCAGCCGCCGAAGCAGAGAACCGTCGATAACTCCCATAAATCCGCGTTTTTTTCTTTCTTTCTTTCAAGACAAAGTAATAAGTTTGGTCGTACCTGCTTCGTTAACTTAATACTAACTAGTGTAGAAGTTGATGAGCTGTCTTTAAATCACATTAGCGGAAACTCGAACTAGGTTTCTTGGTGGTGTTTCACGCGTTTGCAAGAAAGACTCGAGCTTTGTACCTATTTCGAGAAACCCAAATCAAATGAAAGATCGAAGATGCACAAGTGAAATCTGTCTACCCGGAAAAATTATAGATTCCCCTAAATCGAGGAAGTTTTAGATTGGTGATGATTCAATATTACTTTGTCAGAGTAGTTCGAAAAAATGATAAGATTTCTTTATTTATGCCATTTATTGTTTTTTCAGACACATACAGAGAGAGAGAGAGAGAAGAGAAGAGAATGAATAAAGCGCGTGAGATTGTTTTTTTGAAAAAGAAAAAAATTAGAATCAGTGAAAGGTGGCTTTGATTGAGAAAGTGTGATTGCTCTTGTGTCTTTGACTTAAGCAAATATTAATTTTGGAAATTGTAAAAATAAATTGACTAAATAAGGTAATGTTTTGCATTCGAATCAATAATATATAAACTAAATAAAGTAATATAGGATTCTCGAAAAGTCAAGTAAATAATTTCTGTAAGTAATTAAAATTTTATTATCTGTTATTTGAAATTGTTCACTCTAGGTTTTTTTTTTTTTTTTTCTAAAATTCACTCTGTTTTTTTTTATGGACATAAATTGTTAATGTTTGTTTTTTGAAATACTTGAATTAGTGAGTTTTGCTTTTACCGGTAGTAAAATGATTCACCAAATTATTCTATTTAATAAAACTAGATATTCATTCGGATCGTCTAAAATCTCTATTAGTAATAAGTTAATTAATTTAAATTATTTATGGAATTATGCATACTAAATTTATTGAAAATGCATATAGTTTACCGCTATTATTTATATGTTGTAATTTTTGGAAATAATCTACTGCTACCATATAAGACTAATCGTCAAATAAATATAATTGATGTTATATATGAGTTATTTTTTTGTCAACATCACACTAAAAGATTAATTCAAATGAGCCAATTAAACGGAAAACTGTTTAAAAATTTGATAACATATGGATTGACATGAGTTTTAAGTATCAAAAATTTCGTTTTTACATTTGTATTTTTTGAAAAATAAAGAATTAAAAAAAATGAGAGTTATCATTAATTGAGCTCTTGAACTCTCAAACTCTATATTCTTCACTTGGCATGCAATGCAATTGTCCCATACTCCCATGCTGGTCCGGCCATGCATGACGACCATGATGAGCTGTATACATGCCATGCACCACATAGGACAAATAAGAGTTTGTCACCTTTGATCATGTCCAAGTCCAATAGACATGTACACATTTAACATGTTAGACTTTCTAGTCTCGGACACGGGACAACCACGTTTCATAACGTAATCTAACCATTTTCTTGCTACCCAAAATATTACTATTTGGCTTACGTTACGTGCAGCATTATTGCATAAAGGTCAGTAGAGACTGAGAAAGAAAGAGATTAATTAGTGGTGTTTTCTTTTTAAATATTTTCTTTCTGTTTTGCTTTCTATGCTTTATTAGTTTGTTTTATATCATTACTTTCTAATTTGGTTTCACATTCTGTACCCACAACATAAATCTTTAGCATATTTTTGGCTTTTCTTTAAACAAATAGTAGCGGTACTCCTACTTCGTCTGTAAACAAAATTATTATTTTACAGAATGATTTTTATTCTTAATATATTAAAAGCAGTACTTACGTATAGAAATAAAAATTATTTGATTCAAGTACACTTTTGTTTTGTCTATTGTGCCGGTGGATTTTGTCTTTCTTTTCTTCACCTAACCAAATAAAATAAACTAAAGCATTTGCATGTTGATAATTACGTCCTCCATCGATCACTACTAACTAATAGGGACATTTCTACCTGACTGATATAATTGAGAATTATTTATGAATTTAGATAAATTGGGAAAATCTCATTATGTAGTATATATACGTTACAAAAAGAATAAAGAAATGACAAGACATAAACTGGATCTTTGTGTGAACTGAAATCTAAACAACATATAACTTAGAAGATTTATTTGGAGATGAATTTTTATAGAGTTGACCGATTTAAAAATTGAAGAAATTTTATAAGGTTTTATTGATTTATCGCATTTATGGAAATGAAGAATCGTCATTTCGAAGAAAATGAGATGTAGGCATTCTTGAATCTCAACAAAGATAAAATACTAAAAACTAGAGAAACATCGAGTATACAGAACAGATGCAAAAGAAAATAGTAAACGATGATGAAGACGTTTTACTAAAACAGTTTTATTGTATATAGTTTGCTCTTTAGCTTTTATAATCGTAGTCCAATTTTTTCTTGGTACGAATGTTATGAAACTATTATTTTTTGGAATTTGGAAAAAAATCATTATGTTCTATTTATTTTTTCACATAATATTGGTTTTGACTTTTGACATGATTTGTATTATGAATCGTATCGTATCGTATATGATTATTTTTTAAAAGTCAAAGGTTATTGTGTGTGTTTGTCACTTTGTTGTTAAGTTTTTGTTTGTATGTGAATATCAATAATATTTTAAAAAAAAATTGTGTTTTCATGAGTAAAAATATGTGATATATATTCTTTTTATACGAAATCGAGGTGATAAATCTGTAGAATAAATTTTCGAAATGCATGACAGGTACGAAGAATAAAGTAAAGAAACCAATTGATTATGTATCTCCTTCCATCTACAAATACTAAGTTACAAACTCACAAAACAAAAAAAAAAAAACAAAAAAAATCATTAAATAATAAAAAGTTTAGAAGATTCACCAGTTTATGTAATTTTTTTTTTTTTTGTAATTTAGGTGATTATGTGCAGTATAAATTAAAAAAAAAATGTATATCACGAAGAAAAACAATAAAGGAAAAAATGGTTATAATGATACTAACATACCCAATCCAATAAGGATAAGTATTGTATGGGCTTGTCGCTAATGAAATTTTTCTTCAATGTCAATATCGATTTAATTTGAGTGATATTGTTTTGGGCTTTACGTTATTTTACTTTTTAGTTTGGCCCAATAACAACCAAAAATGAAAAAACAGTGGAATTTTTCTACAGTTTTGACTGGAGGCAAATCACATTGAAACATAGGGGGTTTTTTATTTATTTTTTCTGGTTAAAATATTTCTTGCTTCAGAATACGATTTGAAACATAAGGTTCACAGTACATTTTCTCGACCTTTTGATATAATGAACATAGCAATATATTAGAACAAACTTGCAAAAGGATTCGGAATCCGTTAAAAGAGTTAACAAAAAATGTCAAAACAGTCTCTGAAAAATTAAGTAACACAAATTAAAAGACAACTTGTAGTAGTCTTGTAGAAGTAGTCGTTTTACGTTGGACCTAGTTATTTAATAATGTGGCCCTTGAAAGACATTAATATTGGGATAGCTCTCTAAGCTCTTAAAATAGTTCCAAAGAGGGCAGTGGACTCCCCTAAGTACCGTATAAAACTCACTTGTTAAGAATCCTATAATTGTTTCGAAAATATTCAAGAAGCTGAAAATTCTGGTCCCCATTGTTTTTGAGCTACGTACGTACACTGCCAAAATATTACGTCGGTGCACGTTTTGCAGATTCACTTTTCGTTACTTCATCATGCACGATGACCTTTGTATACACATAAACTAAACTGGAGTTTGAAAAGTACATTCATTTTCTTCTTTTCTATACATTCTCTTATGTTTAATTATTCTTCATTTGCACCGAAATAGCAAGTGAGATATATATATCATAACATGAACTATATATGTAGGAGGAGGTGAATAATTTAGACACATGTGTGTTCTTAATTTTGAGGATCACATGAACTGTGATTCAATTATATGGTTCGGTGATCGATAGGTGGATATTATTAAAAAGTAAAAAAAAAAAAAAAACTTTTGTCGGATATATATTAACAACGTCGGGTATGGCTTTTTAACAAAACACTTTTTGTCGTAGTTTTTCTCGATGTTCAAAAAAGTTTTAGGGTTAGGCAGACATAAACTTGTATAGCTTTGTGTGTAAACGACATTTAAGTACTTGACTACTGATTTTTTTTTGGGATTATTGTCTATTGTAGTTGTTTCAGACAAAAAACAATTATATTTAAGTTACCTTTTTTTTTTTTTGGCTAAAAAGATTAAGTTACCTTCATTATATATTAAATAAAACATTTCCAGTTGTATATATATATATATATGGTAGCTGATTCTAAACGATTTGTGCATCTCAGTACTAATGATTGGTCAATTAAGTTTGCTATGTTGTTAAATTTACGTGACGTAGTCCACTTTTAGCCTCCAAAACTCCAGCTCTACACAAAAGACACACATATATACGCATATGCATGTGTCATGTCAGCATGTGTACGCATAAATTTCTACAAATATATATATATTTGTATGTGAGGTTTACGACTTTTTTTTCATGCAATTTACGGTAACTTTTGTGAATTTTATAATACATCTTTTTAATAACACATTGACTAATGCTATATATGTTCCCAAAAAGTAAAGATAATGCATGATAGTTATAAACATAGTAAATCGATATCAGGTAATTAATCACATAGAGAGACGTCTTTCTTTCTTGCCAACTATGGAAAGAAAAAGGTAACTAAAAAAAAACAAAAATTGCAGCTTACATTTCTCCATTGGTCTTCTTTTTTTATACCTGTTTTTGGTAAATACAAAAAAGCTTAAAACACGGAAAAAACAGAATAATTGTTCACTTTTTTTAACTAATTCTATTTGATTTTCCAAATCCAAAATTAATTTTTTAATAATCAAATCCTACATCTCTGCGTGATTTGTCTTCTCCTAATGTATCGGAAAGAGATAGATCCTTCTGAGTTCTTGCCTGGTATTTTCAGGTATTTTTCTATCTAATTTATTTCATAATCCGACAAACACACATGTTACACGTTTTGAATCGGGTTTCATGAGTCTATTATTGTTATTATTGCAAAAAACAAAACCCATACTTTAAAAAACATGAGATGTTTGAGTATACGTGCTTGAAGATTCAATATAGCAATGATCAAGCTCAAGAAATCTTGATATGATTTGATGATAAAAGATGATCTTGAGATGATGATCTTTTTTTTTTGCTTTCGTAATATGAGTTGTATGAAAAATAGCTTACCTAATTTAGATCCATTAAATTCGCATCTATGCATGTGTCGTGTCTAATATAGGTGTAAATAATGTAGAAGTTTTATTCTGAATATTTTGACGAATTGAATTATTGATTAAGGTTTTTTTTTTTTTTTTTTTTTTTTTTTTGTCGTCGATTAAGGTTTTGTTTAATGTATGCGTGTTTGTTTCATATGCATTATATATATGGGGAAAATTTGAAAATGAAACTTCAAATTAAAATACCAAAGAAATAGAATATACAGTATATCAACTTTGATCGATTTAAAATGTTTAAAATACGAATCTAATTAAACCCTTAGGCGGTGTGATACGATGGTTTGTTTTTTTCCTACTAGAACCAAAACATTTCGTCTCCGAGTTGGTTTCCATTGTTATAAAATATGGTACACAAGTTGAACATATATACAATAATCAGAGAGAAAAAGAAAGACAATTCAATTTAGACAATAGATAGAGTTGCCAATTTTGAAGAAGTAGAAGAGAAGATTAATATGTTTTTGCTTTGTCTGGTTAGCTTGATTTTTAGTCTAGATTTTTGCATATAGGTTAGAGTTTAATTTTTGAGTTCGATTTGATATTGGCTTTGTATATTGGTTGAATTGTAGCTAGTTAATTGGTTTGAATTAAGTTAGATTATTTTATTTAGTTTTAAACAATTTCGAGTTTGGATCTTATCACATAATTTGGATTCGCCAATACATTTTCATTCAAATCAAAAATATTTCAAAAAACAATTTCGCTCAAATCCTACGTATTGAGAAATGAATTCTTGTTTGACACAAAAAAAAAAAAAAAAGAAAAGAAAGAGAAATGAATCTTCACACGTGCAATTAATTTATATTAAAAAAAAATCTTTTAGTTTCCAATTAACAATGTTATTGTGATTTTACCAAAAAAAAAAGAGTGTTAATGTTGGAATTAACTATTTTTAACTGAATTAAAGAGTTTTTCTGCTACTTTTAATTGTCTGTTTTTTTTTTGCTTACTATTGTATGGTTTGATCATATATTTTTCCACCATATGTTAAAAAATAAATTAATTATCTATAATTTTGTCTGCTTCTTAATTAATCTCAGCTTATTTTTTAAAAAAAAAACATGTTGACCAAAATACAAATACGTGTTATTGCGTATGAAGAAGGATCCAATCATGGAGTCTATCTATCTCCCATACGTAGTCTTGAATATTTTTGATATAATTAAGGTCCACCATTGATATCATCATTCATGATCATATGCTATTATTTGTTAATTACGATCTTAATTTTTTTTGCTTAACAAATTGTAAATTACCTTTCAGCCATACTTAAGAATGTCATTATCGGGAGTCAACATGTTCAATAATTTACAATGTACTTACTATCCATCCAGTCATCCAGATGGTACCCGTCCTGATAAACCTTCTTTTTTTTTTTCCCTCAAATCTCATAAAAATATATTGTTAAATCGAATCAATATATTTTGAAATATTATCATATCATCAAGTTAAAGAAATAATTAATAATAGAAATTTTTTCATAAATACTACTAAATTTAGTGTTTTCCAAAAATATTATTATTAGTCTATTTCCAAAAAGTACCATTAAAACATAATTTTTCAAAAATATCGTTAAACTAAACAAAACTTTATAGCATTTAAAATTAAACTCTAAATCTTAAACACAACTATAACCCTCTAAAACTATATCCTAAAACTAAAATAATTAACCCAAACCAAAAAAAAAATACACCTTTGGATTTGGTATTTTTGAAAAAATAAAAATCTTTATGATATTTGTGTAAAAGTAAACTTATTGTGATATTTTTGGAAAAAGAAATTCAAGTATGGTATCTTGGAGAATTCCTCTGTATATATAAATAACTAAATGTATCATGAAAATCATAATAAATTTAAAATTTAAGATGAAGTAAGAGTAAAACAAGAGTATCAACAATATACTAAAAATTAAAAGATGATTTGATGTATTTGCCTCCTTGTTATATCAAATAGTTATTATTTTTAGTAGAGCCCTTAAAATTAGGGGTCCATGATATTTGCATTAGAAACACGTGTAGAAGAAACCTAGCTAGCAGTTAAGTATCTCAATGTTTCCATTTATTTTCACAACCACTTTATAAACTGTTAAGTTTTGAGATGTCTAGAAAGTTAAATTTTATCAATCTCAAAATTCACAAACACATTACACATCACATCATCTTTACTCTTTTTTTTTTAATTTATATGACAAGAAATTTTTTTAATTGGATTTAGCAATAATACTCTCTTTGTCAAAAATTATGTGTAAATTTATACATCACTAGTTTTTGATTGTTTCCACTTTCCTTTAATTTCTATGTAAATACAGTTTCTAAGAGAAAAGAAGTAGATGTTGAATAACAAAAGTAGTACTATAGGATACTATAACATATGATTTTGAGTAAATACACACAAATTAAGAAATCATTAATTTTTGATAATTTTTAAATTAAAACATCATTTACTACCCACGTTAACACAATTTGACAAATGAAAAAACAATCTGCAGAATATAAATTGTTAAAAACCAATTAAAGAATAAAATTATTTTTGCATAGATTTGAAAGGAAGTCATATATATATATATATATATATATTTTAAATAAGCCTAAAATCTCATTTATATAGAAACTGAGGGAGGAATTATTTTGTGTGAGGTCAAACAATAATATTTACATAAATATGGAAATAAAGAAATTATTGTAGTTTTTTTTTGTTTGTGGGTCAAAAGTATTATTGTAGTTGGAACGTGAAAAAACACAGCTTCTTCTCTTCTCCAATGATACGGGGTGGTCTCAAAAGACTCAAAACTCTGGCATGTCTCATTTCCATGAATTATTTCTTTAATCATTCTGTTTGCTTCTTCTGTAACTTTTTATATATAAATATGTCTATTTGCTTAAACGTAAATATGTGCTTACCTCGTATTACTTGCTCTCTTCTCAGGCTTGTTAATTCTCTGCAGATTACTGTAGACGAATCAGAAGCCGAAGAAGAGCTCAATAGAAACAAGATCCGAGTTTGAGCCGTACTAATCCCTTCCTTCATCATAAGTCTATAGAATCACATAAAAAAGAAGAAGATGGGGTTTTGGTCATTGTTGGAGGTGGCTTCTATGCCGGTTATTCAAGTTCTCATCATGAGTCTTGTTGGAGCTTTCTTGGCTAGTGATCGTTGCAAGCTCTTCCCTATTGAAGCTCGCAACACCATGAACAAGGTAAACAAAATGATTCTTGGATCTCTGAAAAAATGTATCAAAAGAATCAAGATTTGTTCTAATGATTTTTCGAAAATATTGTTGTTTATTAGGTGGTGTTTGTACTATTTGCACCGGCTCTCATGTTTGCCAATCTTGCTCAGACGGTGACACTTGAAGACATTATCTCATGGTAATCTTTATTTTCTTTTTACCTGAGTGAGTAAAAACGGCCGGTGAAAGATAAAATCTTCAGCTGTAAACTTTTTTTTTTGCAATCGAAGGTGGTTTATGCCGGTGAACATGGGACTTACATTCTTAATCGGAGGACTTCTTGGGTGGATGGTTGTCAAGATTCTGAAACCACCTCCTTATCTTGAAGGTCTCATTGTTGCAACTTGTTCCTCAGGTAAACGCCACAAATTATTTGGACATTGTGGAACGTCATCATCATCGTATATGTATCTATTAGATATTTCTTTGTAACGTTCTCATTTAGAAAGCAAAACTCAATTTTGGTTAATAGGAAATATGGGGAACCTACCAATCATACTTGTCCCAGCAATCTGCGATGAGGACAAGAGTCCATTTGGTAACAGGAGTGTATGCAGAACCGTTGGGCTCTCTTACGCGTCTTTCTCTATGGCGGTATGTAAATGTGGATATTATCATGTTTCTTGACCAAAGTATTGGTATGAGATGAGGAGAAGAAAGAGAAGCAAAATTGAATTCTATACTGGTTTTTGTGCAGCTAGGGGGATTCTACATATGGACATACACATTCCGGCTGATAAAAGGGTCGGCGATGAAAATTAAAGCCATGGAAGAATCTGAGAAAGCAGCAATCAAATCATCCAATAATGACTTAGAGGCTGATCAGAAGACCCATCTCCTCAATGCACATGAAGACAAATTGGTAAAGAAAGGGACAGGGTTTTGGAGAAAAGGAGTAGACTTCCTCCATGAGATATTGGAGGAGCTTCTTGCACCACCTACACTTGGTGCAGTAAGTTCATTTTACTGACTTAGCACTGAGAAATATACCAAGAGGTGAAGGAATAACTAATGTGACATGTTTGATGCTTTCAGATTATCGGTTTCATCTTCGGTGCAGTAAGATGGCTCAGGAATCTTATCATAGGTGATAATGCTCCTTTAAGAGTAATTCAAACCACTGCAAAACTCCTTGGGTAGTTACCAGAATCTTGTCATCAATTACTTCCTGACCATTTGCATCTTAAGTTACTAACTTAACCAATTGTGCAGAGATGGTACCATTCCTTGTATGACTATTATACTAGGGGGAAACCTCATACAAGGTAAGTCCCTCCATACACAACTCAGATGTCACTATTTCAATAATAAAAATAACAGAGAAACTTACTGCGATTTAAATCAAACAGGTTTACGTTCTTCGGCAGTCAAACCTGCGGTTGTACTTGGAATAGTCTGTGTTCGGTATATAATCCTCCCAATCATCGGTATAGGCATTGTACTAACAGCTGCAAGTCTTGGGTTCCTTCCAGCTGATCCCTTGTTTCAGTATGTTTTGATGCTTCAGTTCACCCTTCCACCTGCCATGAATATTGGTAAGTCATAAATCATTTGAGTGCTTGCAAATCTAGAACAATTAAAAGAACAATACTAACGAGGAACGACAAATTGAAACCTACAGGCACCATGACACAGCTGTACAATGTTGCGCAAGACGAGTGCTCAGTGCTCATGCTGTGGACATACTTGGTTGCTATACTGGCCCTCACCGTATGGTCCACCATCTTCCTGCACTTGTTAGTCTAGAGAACCTGCAACAATGCATGAGCGCAAGAAGTTTCTATCTTCTTACTACTACAAAAGACCATGGGGGAAAACAGATGCCAAAGCACTGTCAAGGGATCTTACCATTCTGTTTGATCATAGCTTGATAGATTTTTCTGGTTGCATTTGTACCTTTCTGCAAGTCTACATTTTTTCCCCATCTCCCCATTTGTTATGCAAATATTGTATCAAGTATTACATCAAGATAATGAAAAAGCATATGGTTATCAAGAAATCAGAGGATCAAAATTGATGCACAGCCCCTCACATCCATCTATAGATAATATGAAATGATCATACAATGTCTTTGACTTCGACAATGAACACAAATAAGATAACAATCGTAAAACCACCTGAACTCTTGCATTGGTACGCAAGTGAAAGTAAAACTACAAGGTTGAAGAGTTTTACAAGAGAGTGAGTTCAAGTTTCGGTCGATTAGGCTGAGGCTCTACTACCTCCATGTGAATCCTCACTGTTTGCAAGACACTGTAAGATAAACTTCCGTCCATCTTAACAATCTTCTGCTTCTCCTCATCTACATACCAGTCACCAGCTCCTTTCTCACCCTTTGCTGTTAAGTAAACAGGGCCTTCAATTCCATACCTGCATAAATCATAACAATATTCATCGTAAGAACACAGAATGCTAATAGCCATTAGCCAATCCTTTGGTTGGAACACTTCGCATGTAAAATACCAATTGAATCATTTTTCGTGTGGTGGCTAGGGAAGTAATAGGAAAAGATGGAGAACATGGTAGATAGTATTTGTAGCTACACTTGCTACAAATGCTAATGACTTATATTATGGTAGTGTAAATAGGAAAAAAATGGAGAACGTACTTCGGGACGAATACTATAAAACCATTGGATCTTATCTTCACTACTCTCGCCTCTGCATCTGTGGGTCTGCAACATAAAACACAATTATCTTAGTCTTTAGTTTTTACCAGTCTATGCCTTTAGAATCAAGTACAATTCATAAAAGAAAGACCATCCATACCGGTTTCTGAAGTAAATAAGAGTGTGCAGCTCTACTGAAGCTCGACTTGCCATTTGGGCATTCCTATGCCGATAGTTCAAATCTGAAAGAAGCCAATGAATTAGAATACTCCGGTGTAGTAGTAAAAGAAAATCATCATCCAGGATCTTTAAGTAAACAAAAATGAACAGTTGAGTTTTAGACATGTTCTCCATATTGTCAAATCAAGAAGGGATAAAGTTACAAATTTAGTTAGAGCACTCAAAATGCTAGAAAAGAATAAACCCTTGAATAATCCACAGAGGGTAAATAAACTCTTACTATCAGCAACGCTAGTAAGTTGAGGTCTGTCTTGGAACACTGTTGGAAGCTTGTATATTCCTAATGATGCGGCAAGTAACCTATGCACAAAGACATCTAGAACCAGGGAAAAAAACAAGTTTATGGAATCTAGCAAGTGAAAACAAAGGAAAGACACAGAGCAATTTTCACTTACCAGCATATCTCCGGATAGGGGATGTAAAGTGAGTGTACAGGGGTGCTGCAAGCCCATAATGATGATATTCTGGAGGAGTGAGATCCCCACTACAGAAGTAGACAGCCTGAGTAGTAACACATATAAAATGTTCAATATGGTGATATCCTGTGAAAATCACCAGCAATATAACTACTCAGTCATGACGGAAGCATTACCTGTGTCATGCACCTAGTTGCCAATATCCTGATCAGCTTATTGAAATATGGATCCTCACCCTGAAAAATTACGATTTTGTTAGTCACAACGAGAAAGAAAGATTATATATATTCAACGACCACTTAAAAGTGGCAGTTGCAATTAATCATGAATAGAATAGAACCCAGGAGGTACTCAGAATGGCAAGAAGTGCCTGCAATCACGACGGTGCAGACAGAAAAAAAAACTCACCACTGCTCGGTCCAATGAATCAGCTAGAGCTTTAGATGAAGAGACATCTAAAGTAAGCCCAATAGCTGCAGCAGTACGCAAAAGTGGTTCAAGCATTTCTCTTGTTGGAGTAGGATGACGCCTACATGAATAACCAAACCAGAGCACAATGAATTACTACTATTGATAATCAAAATGAACAGAAGAAACAACAAATGCCTAAACACGTCCTCAACAACTACTTGGGATCCCATCACTTTCATTATGCTAAATATGCACAACATACCTAATTTGACCATAAATACGAACACAATGGTAAACAATTCATGTAGCCAATATAGCAGTATAAACATCTTTAGAAACAATTGATAAAGCTAATTTGGTCACATCTAAAAAAAATTGAATTCAGTTTTACGCAGAGAAACCATTCAAAACAGACAGAATGATTGCTATCTTTGAGAACCAGACTACCAATGTAAGAGAAAGCCATTAAACCTTCAAGAACTATAGCAAACTTTACCTTAATAGTGAACAAGAAGGGAATAGTTTAAGGATTTGTCCAGCGACTGAAACATTTGCAGCAAGCATGAACTCCTCAACCATTTGGTTTGCTTCGCGAATCTGATACATACCTATGCAAAATATGGAGTCATGGTGACGAATAACAAACAGATGTATCAATGGAATACATCTTTCAATCTTTCAATAAGATAAATGTTGTTGTACTTCATGGGTGTTTGGATGACAAAGACTATCGTTCATATTCATCATGAAGAAGCAAATTTTGCTCAGAAAACATACCAATGTCAAGAGGATCATGAGTCTCGGTATCAATCTGAAATTTGACTTCCGCAGAAGCAAGAGTTAAGGCTCCCCTATCGATACGTCTTTGCCTCATTATCTACAGGTTTCAAAAAAGCAAAAAACAGGTCAAAATAATGTATTCTTTCTATGATTTCTGGACCATCAAACAACATGTGCGAGCAGGTGCTTCAACCTTTGCCAAAGTATTCATGTTCCTCAAATCTGTAGTCAGGGAGTCTGTCAATCGGCTGCCAGAAAATAATTATATTTGTCAATCTTTGAGCATCATGTAAAGATGGAATCTCAAACAACTCTACAATTACAAATAATATAAAATAAAATTATTAGACAGGTTAATTTTCTGAATAAGAAGAGCAATTATTTTTCAACAAATATTGTTACCATTTTTCCCACTGTCAAACTAGAGGACATGAAATGTATGAATTTTATTAAACAAAGGTAAGCTGCTAAGCAAACAAGCCACTGCCCTCTAAATCTATGGTGACAAAAAGAATGTACCTGTCATCCATCCGAGCCTGAGCTTCAACATAGGACAATGCTGCAGATGACTTGATTATACTCTTTGTGAATCTCGTTGAGATAATCTCGGCATCAGGGCTCATTTCCTAAATATATGAATTATATTCTTAAGCAAACCGTTTACCACCTTGCTAATACATCTCGCAGTAAAAATTGAAAATGGATAAAGCATACCCAAATAACCGAGAATGCAAGCCTTTCCACATCAGCTCTAAGCGAGCAAATATCTGCAAGTGAAACCGTGTTTCATGAGTGTTCACGAGTTTATTGAAATTCAACACAAAGGGAATGTATTCTGTAAGCAGATACAACCTTCAGTTAGAGGCTTGGGAAGCATGTCAATACGACGCTCAACAAGGTATACAGATGTGCCTCTTTTTGATGCCTCATCATCCAAAGGAGTACCAGGGTGAACAAAATTTGTTACATCAGCAATGTCTATAATCATGGTCAAGGATACGCTTTATAAATTCACTCCCAGGATATGAAGAGAAGACATAGGAACTAGCTAAAATTTTTAAAGAGATGAATACTAAAAAACATAAAACAGACAACCTAAAATACACTTTTGGCACTGGATAATTATGATAAATCAAACTATAATGCAAAATGGTAACAGGAGCCATTGCTTTGGTTAATATACACCACAAAGTGATTTGTAACTCATTGACTCATGACATGTCCTAAATTCTGTTGAGTCTAGGATACGGACTCCAAGTTCAAAGTTCCCATTTGGAAGCGATGTACAGTGTAGTGCATCATCAATATCCTTGCAACCTGTTAGCACCACAAACAAGTCAAGCTGCTTGAAGACATCTACCAGCAAAACCTGGAAGATATTTAAATTGGCTAAATCATACAGGATCAAATGAGTAGAGAGCTTTAGCTACATACCCGGAGGGTCCACACTAAAGACAAGCAAATGCCGTAAGTCCTGCCTAACAGGATTGGATATGTCTTCAGAAGATACAGACCAGGGTAAGGGTGGCAAGCATGCCAGAACTTGAGAAGAGAACGGCGAGTAGTCAACATCATTCTCTATCAACACAACCTGCAGCATCCACAAGAAAAAGTATTGATGTTATTTCCAATTATCAATGTCAATCACTTCCCCGATTAAAACGAAAACCAATATACTTTTCCTACTCTTGCCCTCCAATCCTATTCCCAACTAGAACGGAGTTCAGTAATTTAATATAATGTCATTACCTCTGTTTCAGTTTCCCTGTCACCTATCTTGCCTATTAGTCGTACATAATGACCAGAAGGATATCGAGATTGACAGTCCCAGGAATCAACTGCCACTACTATCCTCATATCCAAAAGGTTCTGCAGCTGTCGAGTATTAATGCGAATCTTGGGAATTCTGCGATCTTTAGAGACAAATAAAGCATGCACCGTTCCACCACTCCCAGCAGGTAGTGACATTGGTTCAAGAGATCCACAATAGCTGCATGATTTCATGCAAATTAGGAACCGTCATCCAGAAACCACAGCTTGAAACAGACTCTAAGAGTAAGATAAGATTAAGGGAAATCAAAGCATAATTGGACAGACAAGACACAGAAGAGTATCATAGATAATCGTCCAGTCACATATGTAGCCACCAAAAACAAACAAGAAGATCAGGGTGATAAAGTAATGAACTCACGAGTGCCAATTTCTACGGATAACACCGACTACACGGCCTGATGGACGAGCAGGGGTAGCATTTTTATCCCCCAAAGTTTCCTGGGATAAATTTGAGCTTCTAGGAGCATCATCGGCACTGTTGGGAGCCAAATGAACAGTATCGTCCTCTTCATCCTCTGCATTCGAATTTGATATGTGAGAGAAAGATAGGTTTAACACAAATTAATGCAAGCAGATAAGTAGTCTTAAGTACATGTAGATACTAAAAAGAAACCTTCTTCAGCTATAGATAATGCCTTTTCCTCTTGCCATTGATCGCGAGGCAAGAGCTCGACCGCAACAATATCACCATCGAAAGCCCTGTTCATGTTGCTGCGCCCGTAGATAATTATCTCTTCGCCAATGCTCTCGCTTCCAACATAAGCTTCGAAAGGATTGAAACGATTGACACGGAGTTTTCCTTGGTGATATATTCCACGATGTAAGCCAGCAGTAATCTCAGACATGGGTTTATGCTGCAGGCAGGAAAAAGAACAAAATTGGAGACAATATTTGTTTGATGGCAGTATCTAGTAACGGAAATCTGAGACTGAGAAACAAGTATGTTAACTCCTTTACCTCTTGGTATATAAGTTTCCTCTTCGAAGGTCTAGAATCATCAGCATCTTCCATAGTTACGTCTTCGTTGGTTGGTTGGGCAAGCAGATCCAGCAATTCAGGTTGTCCAAGTGATTTAACAAAAGCCTCAACTGATACAGACACATTCATTAATTTTTCAACGTCAGATAGCAAAACACACAAACCGCCATGCAAAACCGAGCTTTGATATCTGGATGCTGAAATGCTGAAAGTAAGTCAACATGAAAAATACAAATGATTAACATACTTGTCTCTGCAGATATTCCCTCTTCAATGGCCTTCCGTTTATTTTCCCTGTCATTAGTTACAAGCAATACCTGAGATGTATCTCCTAGATGCTTCTGGTACCATAGAGTAGCAACACGAATAGCTGAATTCCAGAAAAAATTATAAAAGTTGTAAAATATTTTCTAAGAATTGATACATCATCAAGGAAGTAACAAGATGTTAGCAAACAAAGAAGGTGATTAAATAGTAAATAAAAACCTCTATCGTTATGGTCATTGGCACTCTCTTTCTCCATGGCCTGCACATAAGTATCCCTGTGGAGAGTTACTAGAGTTTTAGTAAAGGTGAGAGAAAACAATGATAGAACACAGGAAAAAAGTGTTTACGGCTTAGTAAGTTCCAGCGATCATAAAGTGAGCATCTAATCAATATAATAAGCAGCATTTCCTTAATCTATTTTCTTTTGTTCACCTAAAATCTGAAGAATCTAAAAGCTCAAAGCTCGAATAGCATCTTACTTGTGGACATGATTGGAGAAAACATAGAACTGTCTCGCTGGATTGCTGCAGAGAGCTCTGATTCTGTTGTAAACAGATCTGTTCCTGTTCTTAACCTCGTCCAGCACCACAGATAGAACAACAACATTGTCTATAGCCTGGTTTTCCAATAAATCAATCTACCAAAACAAAACACCATACATTAATCAACACCCACAAGACACAATACAGTACGAAGCTCAAAAATGTTAAGCTCATAATCAATCAAAAGCAAAATTACTTGGTGAAGAACGACGTTGGTGTCAACAACAATAATCTTAGGGGAAGACAAACGAGCAGCTGAAGTATCACATGACTTGCAAGAAAAAGCTCCACAGTATATGTCATCTCGTAGATAAACCTCTCTTACTTGCTGTCGCAGACACCAAAGAGCAAAAAAGTTACAATAACGAACAAAACTAGAAAAATCAAACTGGGAAGGAAGAAGAAGCATAGAGAGATTGAAGAGGGACCTTTTGGACTCTTCCTCCTCTTGTTTTCTTATTGAAAACTTTGCTCTGCAACATCTTCAATTTCGTTTTCGATTTCGCCGGTGAAGGTGAAAGTTTCAGTCGTCAGAACGGAGACGGAGAAGCTTCTTTTCAAAAGCCTTTTAAACCTAAGCCAAAGCGACTCCCTAAATTTTCAGTTTGAAGCTCCCCTTGTTCGTTTCTTGTAAACGAAACGACGTCGGCTTAAACCGGTTTGGTTAACTTTTTCACTAACCCGCTCAATTTGATTAAACCGAAGTGAACACACCAAACCCGGTTATTCTTGATGGGCAAAAAAAAAACACTTTATTAACAACAACAAAAAAAACAACTCTAATAGAAATAAATCAATTTTTACAATATAATGTACTTAGATCATACCTTAATCTTAGAGCAATTTTTTTTATTAGTGATATTACTCAAATTTTGTGTATCTGAGGGGTGGTTATTTGATTACCTGTTCGAGTTTTTGAATTGAGACATATAAAACTTATCTAGGTAATTTTTATTTTTAGGTCGGGTTCAGATATTATAGTTTATTATAGATGTTTTGGTAATTTTAATTTAAAAATAATTGATATTTTTAAATTTTAATTATAATATTAGATAATTAGATTACATAAAAACTAAAAATAATTAAAAAGTTATATATAGTTATATTGTGGGTATACGTTTGATCATCAGTTCGGTTAAGTTTTCGGATTTAAAAGATTAAAACATGTTTGGGTATTTTTTTTAGTGTTCGAATTAGATTTGGTTCAGGTATTTTAAATCGGTTTGGTTTGGATTTTTATATTTGGAATATTTTGTCCGGTCTGGTTGATAGCAAAAGATGTTTAGGTCCGACTGGTTGAGAATATTGTCGTCTTTTCACAATTCTAAAATTTTCGAAACAATAATATTTGTGTTACAAAGACCTATTAACGCATTGGCTCGGCTCGGCCGAATAAGTTAAGTTGGGAACACGAGTATCCTTATACCGCAGCCTCGTACAAAGCTTAGCATATCGACACAACTAACTAGTGATTGATCCCTTACTCGGAAGTTTAGAGTTGGATCACACAATATCTTCTAGATTTGTATTTTTCCTCGAAAAATAATAAAAAATAATAATTGTTAGAACTTTTGAAGATTCAAAAGCAAAACGCGTTATTATTATTGGACACACTAGGGTGTGACTTGACTTGTGAGTGCAAGAGAAGGAGGCGGAGGAAGAAACTCGCCGGACACGGAGATCCCTAAACCGCAGCCTCAGACCAAAGCTTCGTATAATTTATCTTCCATCGTTGACTTCACCCTCAGGTTAAAATTCCAAAACCCTCCTTCTCCTCTTATCTCTCTCTCTTTTATATTCGATTATTGAATGGATCGTCCTCCTCCTCCTCTGTTTTTTTAGATCATCATCATTTATCTCTGGTCTTTGTTCGGATTCTCCATAATTGATCCGGACCATGCCATCAAGATGTTGTTCCCTCCGCCATCTATTCTTCTTACTACTGATACTCTCTCCATGGACGCCTTCTTGCGGCGGCGCTTCCGGCGACGTGTTGTATCCCATCGCCTTAACTCGTGCCGGCAGCAGATCTTTACAATCCTTTAGGTGAGTTTCTTCCTTCCTCTACATGACTTAGTATTTGATTTTGATGGGACTAGTGACTTAGGTTTGATTAATTTTTTGGTGGTTTGTAATCTTTTGATTTATTCTCTGTGTGGTTTACTGGTTGTGATGTTATCTGTTTTTCTAATCAGTGAACCTACAAAGCGAACAGAGCCAAATACAAACCTTGTTGTTGATCGCGATGGGAAAGTGTCTTTAAAGCAGCAAGCACCAGATAAAACAATATGGTCCTTTTCAACAGGATCCCCATGGCATTCGTTATATCAGGCTCCTCTAAGTGCTAATACACAAAACACTCCTCTCATAATAGTAGATTATAAGAACAGCTCAACGGATGCTACAACTGTCCATGGCTATCATAACTGGGTATGAAAAAGAAAAACAAATGACTTTGAGAATACTCATTGCTGGCTCGACGTTTAGATATATTTATGTGTTTGACACATTTTCTTGTTGAATTGCAGACAGTTCGGGACTTTTTTAGACAGAAGCCACTTGTAACGGATGATGGTGTGACTCTTAGGTCAGAAACAACTACTGCCTATTTGATTGATGGTGAATCAGGGAGGCTAATCCATGTTTACAAATCAACCCATTCTTCTGAAGATACTAAAATGATTAATGCTCTGGTGAAGCCAACTAGCAATGTAGATCTTGTGAAGCTACCTCTTCTTATCAGGCGAACAGATTCCAAACTAGAGCATTTTGGTAATACCACTGGAAAGCTTGTCTGGAATCTTACGGTTTCTCACTTCAGAGCTGCTTTTCTATGTGATCCAGTTTACAATTCAGGCTATGAGCTCGGTCCTAGAGTCCAAACTGGAATCTTTATGCCATTGCCATGTGGATCACAAATTGACGTTCCTGGCCCTGAACTTGTTATTAGAGTGCATCATGATCACTCAATGAAAGTGAAAATGCTACCCTCCCCCTCCCAAAATCACTTCGAAAGTGAAAACAACATAATGCCTTCTGGAATAGCCCTAGAATCAAGGAAGTTACAAGAGCAACATGGGCAAAAATATACCTATGTGTTTGGAAAAGTTTTTGAATGGTCGCCCGTGAAGTTCTTGGTTCCTTTAGTGCTTCTGGGTGTTGTTGTCTCTATTTTCATTAAAAGGTTTTCGTCGAGGGGGAGTGAATTTAGTTCGAAATCTGGACCTTCCAAAAAGAAAAAGAATCGTAAATCAGGGAAGGATACAAATGGGCAGAAAGATAGGCAGTCAGTTCCTCGTGGCCAGGATCAGTTCGAGCTCATTGAAGGTGGTCAAATGTTACTAGGCTTCAATAGCTTTCCAAGTGGTGCAACTGATGGGCGAAAGATTGGTAAGTTGTTTGTGTCAAGTAAAGAAATTGCAAAGGGAAGTAACGGAACAGTGGTGTTTGATGGTATTTACGAAGGTCGGCCTGTAGCTGTAAAACGCCTTGTTCGATCTCATCATGAGGTTGCTTTCAAAGAGATTCAAAACCTCATTGCATCAGACCAGCACTCAAACATCATTCGGTGGTATGGTGTGGAGTATGATCAAGATTTTGTATACCTTTCTCTAGAGCGTTGCACTTGCAGTTTGGATGATCTAATCAAATCCTATTTAGAGTTTTCTATGACACAAATATTGAGAAACAACGAATCTGCTGAAGCGGTACCTACATATAAGATCCAACTGGATTCATTGGAGGGAGCTATCAAAGGAAACAGTTTTTGGAAATTTGGAGGCCACCCGTCACCTCTCATGCTTAAACTAATGAGGTTAATTTGGGATTTGTGCTTTCTTATCTATGTCATAATATTCTTAGATTAAGAGTTGTTTCATTTGAACATCAAAGGTAGCAACTAGATGGTTTTGATAAGTCTAGGCTATGTGGTATTGTAAATGCTAGACTAAATTGAACCTTGTTTGCTAATGTACTGTTTAAACTTACATTCTTTTGGTGTTGTTATGCAGGGATATAGTGAGTGGGGTTGTCCACTTACACGAATTGGGGATAGTTCATCGAGATCTGAAGCCACAAAATGTGTTAATTAGTAAAGAGATGACTGCAAAGCTTTCTGATATGGGCATTAGCAAACGTATGTCTAGAGATATGTCATCGTTGGGTCAACTAGCCACCGGTAAGTTCTTTTTTCTTATCTTTGTTTGATCCGCATGTTCGATGCAACACAAAATTAACACTAGAGAAAAAACTGCATGATGGCATAAGTTGGTAAGATGAACTCATGTTAGTGTTTGAACGCATTGTATGATTGTTGGTTGAATATGTGATTATGCTTATGAAAAGAGTTTCAACCACTTTTTCAAAATATATTCTTTGAAAATACAGGTTCTGGTAGTTCGGGTTGGCAAGCACCAGAGCAGCTAGTACAAGGTCGTCAAACTCGTGCAGTGGACATGTTCAGTTTAGGTTGTGTCATCTTTTACACTATAACTGGTTGTAAGCATCCATTTGGAGATGATCTTGAACGTGATGTCAATATTGTGAAGAACAAAGTTGACCTATTTCTAGTAGAACACGTTCCAGAAGCTTCAGACCTCATATCCCGTTTGTTGAACCCAAACCCTGATTTACGGTAAAGCTACTTTCCTCTCTGATGATTTAACATTCGCTCAACATAAACCTAATCTCTTATGTGTTGCTTGCTATTTGCAGTCCCAGTGCATCCGAAGTGCTGGTCCATCCTATGTTTTGGGACTCAGAGACGAGACTGTCGTTTCTTCGGGATGCTAGTGACCGAGTTGAGCTTGAAAATAGAGAAGTTGATTCTGAAATCTTGAGAGCAATGGAGAGTACAGCTCCAGTGGCTATAGGAGGCAAATGGGACGAAAAACTAGAACCTGTTTTCATCACAAACATCGGTCGCTACAGACGTTACAAATATGATAGCATTCGTGACTTGTTACGAGTTATTAGGAACAAACTGAACCATTATCGAGAACTTCCTCCAGAAATCCAGGTTCATCTTATTATAATTGAATCCCTCAAACACTTTTACTAACACTAGCGTAAAACTGATTACTTTGATATTCTTTCATGTCTTAGGAACTCGTCGGAACAGTTCCAGAAGGATTCGATGAGTACTTTGCCATACGGTTCCCGAAATTGTTGATTGAAGTGTACAGAGTCATCTCTCTGCACTGCAAGGAAGAAGAAGTATTCAGAAAGTACTTCAAAAGCAACATCATCTAAACAAAGACCGTTTCGCTTCCAGCACTTAATTATTGTATGTTTGTTCTTGTACGCAGTAGTACATAAGTTAACTTCTATCTAAATGTTTTAGCGTATAGCTCAAACTGCAACATGTAGTACTTATGTATATAAGAAGTATTTTTCAAGTGACGTATTCAGCAACGAAATAAGATTCAAACATTTGTTCACACATTAGTTACAGCAAATTTGCATACAATAGTGTTAAAGGTCGCTCCTTGGACTAGACTCAAGTTGTGACATTTATTGTGTCTCTGATGCTGAAAAGCTTGAACCTTTCGACGTCTTGTCTATATTATGTGGAGCCATTGACAAGATTATGGCTTCGTCTTCTTCGCTTTCTTCTGTGCCTCGCGATGACCATATCGTCCGTCTCATTCTAGACCAGAAATCAGCGTCTTGAGCTTTGGAAACTTTTCGATGGGCTTCGTCTTTTCCTGGGTTTATTCATTCTCGTTTTACTTACCGTGCTCTGTTTCATACTGGTAAGCAGAGAGATCAAGAGGCTTCTTTTGAAGATCTGTTAAAAACTTTGGAAAAGAATCTTTCCATGATGGAACCTACAGTTCCTCTCGCTTGGAGATGTTCCCCTGTTTCTTTTGTCAGTTCTGTAGCAAGAAGCAAATTCTCCATCAGAAGTCTATCCTTGATAAAAGCGGATTGGTTTCGGTGCAACAGCTTGGAGATGATTTGATATAAAACATTGCAGCAAGAAATAGGCCTATACTGACAAAACATAGCTAAAGATACAAACAAGTAGCCTTTCATCTTCTTCTTCACAGCAAATCAACGAAGTTTGCTGGCAGCTCCTCAACGTCCACATTGTAGAATTTCTGAATATCAGACAGCATTATCTCATCGTCAACAGTCACAAAGTTAATTGCAACAGTACCCTTTCTCCCGAATTTTTCACTTCTTCCGATACGGTGAAGGTAGTCCTCCGGCTGAACTGGGAGGTCATAATTAATGACCAGAGAGACTTGCTGCAGCACATCAATACCAGTACCACGATCCAAGAGATCGTTTGTGATGAGAATACCAGATGAAGACATAAATTCTCTCATGGTGATGTCTATTGTGTTTCGGTCCATGTCGTTATTAATTGCCGAGATTGTGTGGTCAAGGTTTCTCATTTTGTCTGTGAGCCACTTAACCTTACGACGAGTGTTGACGAAGATGACACTCTTAGTGATAGTGATAGGTAGAATCTCATAAAGATCGCAGAGAGTCTCGAGCTTCCACTCTTCTTTCACCACATTCACGTAGAATTGGTTGATACCTTCAAGTGTGATCAGCTCATCAGGTTTCAGCAAGATTCTCATCACTGGTTTGCTCATGAATTTCCTTGTCATATTAAGAGCTTCTGGTGGCAGCTTTTCTGAGAATACTCCAACCTGAGTCTTAGGTGGGAGAAACTGGAATATGGCATAGATCTGCAAATTCCACCATATTTAACCAAGTCATATATATTGATGATCAGAGTTTAATTACAACCATATATACTAAGGGATACAATACCCAAACTTGGTGGTAAAGGTAAAGACAAACCTGATCCCTGAGACCAAGAGAGAGCATTTCATCAGCTTCATCAAGGACAAACATCGTTATACAATCATAATGAAGATATCGTCTTCGCAACAAGTTAAACACATGACCAGGAGTTCCAACCACAACATGAACATTAGTAGGCTTGACAATGCCCTGATCATCAACATTAGCCTTGACCATGCCCTGATCATCACGGCTTATAACTGGACCAACACAGGCGTGAACCTTGACGCCAAGGTGATCGCCAAGGGCAAGCATGACCTTGTCGATCTGCTGAGAAAGCTCCCTGGTGGGAGCCAAAACGAGAGCCTGGCACTGGAAAAAGGTATAGTCAAGCTGCTGCAAGATGCCAGAGCAGAAAGTGGCGATTTTTCCAGTACTAGGCACAGCCTGGTGGATCACATCAAGACCCTTGGAAAAGGGTACGATTCCTCTTTGCTGAATAGGACAAGGCTTTTCGAAACCGTAAGCATAGATACCCTTAAGAAGATTATCTTGCAAGCCCATGGCATCAAAGCTCTCATGGACCTCATCATATGAAGTGAAGAACTCATCATCATCTTCCTCCTCCTCGACTACTTCATTCAGCCAGCTCAGGTCATCAAATTGTGGAGCAGAGCCTGCCATACTGGAGCAGCTTTAAGTAGAAGATATTTTTGAACCGCTGGAGAGGAAGAACCAAAATCTGGATTAGGGTTTCGTAACTTTTGATGAAAGCAAGATATACATAAATGCAGTTGAATCCTGATATTCTAATGAATGAACCAGGGGAACAAAAAGGAAGCTTTGGGATTGTCTCTAGTGAATGCCGATAAAATTAATAATTCTACGTTAATTGGATTATTAATCAACTGTCTACAATTTATTAATCGACCAAACAACAACATTAGAAATAAACCACGAAAGAGTGCAAAGTGGACTATCTAATCTTATTTGGAAAATATCTTCACCCATCAATAACCTCAAAACTACTTTGCACGACTATGATGGGAACCAAACATCGACCAAGTCAAAGATGGATTGATTAATGGGTAGATAACTTCATTAATACTAACTAAGATCGAAACAGCCTGTAAACTCTTTTGTCTTATTTGTACAAAATATACTATTTAAATTCACTAACAGCTTGTTTAGTTGTTGTCACACAGTTATTTCATATACGGACACAGCCTGGAGACATGTTTAGGGAGTGAGAAGTCAGCCATAATGTTTTCTAATTACAAGTTGTAGATACAAATAATATATACTTTGGTTCATTCTAAATTAGGTAAATTGAATATCGTGGTCTGTTCTCATATGGACAGTCTGGAGGGAAAAGATAAGTCATTATAAAATTATACTATTTGGGTCATTCTTAAGAATATAAACTGATACTTGTATTTGCCCGCACCCATAACTATCAAAAGAAGAAAATAATCAAAAAGAAGCTAAAGAGAGAAAAAGAAAATCATGTCTTATGGCGAAGAGGAAGAGGTGGTATGCCGTTTGTCTCACCCAGCTCATCCTCACACCATGTCTCCCCGATACGGTTATCCGGATTGTTTTAGATGTAAGAAAGATGCTTATAATCGTCATTTCTATTATTGTACCACATGTAAACTGGAGGTCCACAGTGATTGTTATCAGTTGCTATGGAACATGAGACACCCTTATCACCCGCAACATCCTCTCATCCGGAGTCTAGAGCGTAGAACCATAATCACGTATGACTCCACCTCTGATTGTGATGAAGATAATTCCTTCGCCATACCACCCTGCACTTGGTGTGGAGAAGAATTGTATGCAAAAACTTCTTACCACGGATCTGTTTTCTACCAATGTTCTATCTGTGACTTTGGTTTGTGTACTACTTGTGTTGCGAATTTTCCACTTCCTACTATCTCTAATCCAAAAAGCCATCACCACTCACTTGTTTTCCTTCCTCGACCACTTTTGCTTCCATGTGATGCTTGTGGGTTGGTAGATAGATCGGACCCAAGTTATGTTTGTTTCCAATGTAACTATGTGGTCCATAAGAGTTGTATAGGCTTACCACGCGTCATAAAACTCACCCGTCACCCTCATCGTCTTTTTTACACTCCTTTTCTCCCACCCAAAATTACATATTCGTGTCGTCTTTGCTACAAAACAATCGACAACAAGTATGGGCAATATTCTTGCAATGATGATCGTTGCTCTTATGTTGTACATTCCAAATGTGCAACGCATGAGACAATATGGGATCGGAGAGAGCTCGAATGGGAGCCCGAAGAACTTGATGAAACTGAAGATGTGGCGTCATTCAAGAATGTTGGTGATGATTTGATCAAGTATTTTTGTCATGAACATAATCTAAAGCTTGAGAAGTACAATGGTGTTCGAGACAAGGACAAACAATGTCAAGCGTGCACCCTTCATATCGACTCCCGCAACTTCTACAACTGCACGCAATGCGATTTTTTTCTACATGAGGTATGCGCAAATCTTCCTCGAAAGTTGGATCATGCTTTGCATCATCACTCTCTTTTCCTTGACCCGATTCCTCCAAAGAAGTCCAATTTCTTGAAATGTTTGGTTTGTTCTCGAGCGTTCGCTGGTTTCAGTTACAAGTGCACTTGTAAAGGTAGATGCAGAAGGTTTCAGGTAGATGTTAGATGCATCTTAGTTCCTGACTCTTTCACCCACAAAAGCCATGAACATCCCTTATTTATCCCCATTTCTACTGCGGACAAAATGGCTTTATGTGGGGGTTGCAAGACCACAGGTGCAAATTTCTATCTACGGTGTACTCTATGTGATTTTTCTTTATGTTATAAGTGTGCGACCATTCCAGATAAGCTACACTACAAATATGATGAACATCCTCTCTCCCTTTGCTATGGAGAAGAAGCCTCAAATGAAACATACTGGTGCGAAGTCTGTGAAGAGAAACTAGATCCAAGCATATGGTTCTATACATGCAACAGATCTAACATCACTATCCACCGTAGTTGTGTATTTGGGTCCTCTGCTTATATGAAGTCAGGCTACACGTTTTATCACTACTATGTGACGGTGAAAGTTCTCAACAATAACTGTAACACTCGACCGATTTGCCGTCGATGTGGCGGTCGTTGCTCGAGTTATGTATTCTTGAAGTTGTCTGATGGGAAGACTTTTTGTTCTAATGATTGTTTAGGACTTTTTATCCGGTAACCCTCATTAATTTCCTGTGAAACTTGTATTCCCACTACCTTTTCAAGTTGACAATTATTGATGTGCCATCGTTGACATTATCATATGATTGAGTTGCTTATATCATTACAAGATCTTGTGTTGATTTAAAAAAAAAAAAACTGAATAGGGATTGATCCAAATTGTTCTAAGACAATAGGATTAATAAGAAACAATAACAAACATGGATACATTATTAGAATGTGTTTAGAATCGGTTCATAATAGTATTGATTTGTGTCACACTAAAATTTGTCACATTATTTCCAAAGTTGTAAGAACAGGGCAGCTTGTTAAGAAACCTAACGAGGGAAGCCTCGTCTCTATATATCACAAAGAAATTTGAAGTAGTAATGTAAAGGTGGCTCCTTTTTCACGAATCAAAGAAGAGACCGATCAAGTTGTGACTATTTTTGATGATGAAAATCTCGAACCTTTTAACATCTTCACGAGATGTGTGGCCAGTGAAAAGATTATGGCTTTTTCAACTACGCTGTCTCTGCTCATCGTCGTCTTCATCGTCTTCTTCTTTGCTTTCTTCTGTGCCAAGCGATGATCACATCGTCCGTCTCATTCTAGATCAGAAATCAGCTTCTGGAGTTTTGGAAACTTTCCAGTGGGCTTCGACTTTTCCTGGGTTTATTCATTCTCGTTCCACTTACCGTGCTCTGTTTCATAAACTTTGTGTTTTCCGACGTTTTGACACTGTCTACCAACTGCTCGATGAAATGCCTGAGTCGATTGGTTTGCCTCCGGATGATGCTATCTTCGTAACTATCATTAGAGGGTTTGGGCGTGCTCGGTTGACAAAACGTGTGATTAGTGTCGTTGATCTGGTTTCGAAATTTGGGATCAAACCATCTCTGAAAGTTTTCAATTCGATTCTGGATGTTTTGGTCAAGGAAGACATTGACATAGCTAGAGAGTTTTTCAGAAGGAAGATGATGGCTAGTGGGATTCAAGGTGATGAGTACACTTATGGGATTTTGATGAAAGGGCTTTGTTTAACCAATAGGATTGCTGATGCTTTCAAGCTCCTTCAGATCATGAAGACAAGCGGTGTGGCTCCTAACACTGTGGTATATAACACCTTGCTTCATGCTCTTTGTAAGAACGGGAAAGTTGGGAGAGCTAGGAGTTTAATGAGTGAGGTGAAGGAACCTAATGATGTCACTTTCAACATCTTGATATCTGCTTACTGCAACGAGCAGAAGTTGATTCAGTCAATGGTATTGCTGGAGAAATGTTTTAGTTTGGGTCTTGTTCCCGATGTTGTGACGGTAACTAAGGTGATGGAAGTTCTCTGCAATGAAGGCCGTGTGTCTGAGGCACTAGAGGTCTTGGACAGAGTGGAAAGCAAAGGAGGTAAAGTCGATGTTGTAGCTTGTAACACCTTGGTTAAAGGGTATTGTGCGCTAGGGAAAATGAGAGTTGCTCAACGCTTCTTTAAAGAGATGGAGAGAAAAGGTTACTTGCCCAATGTGGAAACATACAACTTGTTGATTGCTGGGTTTTGTGATGTTGGAATGTTGGATTCAGCTCTGGATACTTTCAATGATATGAATACAGATGCGATTAGATGGAACTTTGCTACATTTAACACGTTGATCAGAGGGCTTTCAGTAGGAGGGAGAACAGACGATGGTTTAAAGATATTAGAACTGATGCAGGACAGCGAAAACGTTCATGGGGCCAGAATTGATCCGTACAACAGTGTCATCTATGGCTTTTACAACGAAAACCGCTGGGAGGAAGCTCTGGAATTCATGCTCAATATGGAGAAACTGTTTCCAAGGGCTGTTGACAGGAGCTTCAAGCTGATAAGTTTATGTGAGAAAGGTGGTGTGGATGATGTAAAGACGGAATATGATCAAATGATTGGAGAAGGAGGTGTTCCAAATGTTATTGTATCTCATTGCTGTATTCATAGATACAGCCAAGAAGGTAACATGGAAGACACACTTGAGCTAATAAACGACTTGGTGACCAGAGGCTATTTGCCTCAATCATCAACATTCAATGCTGTGATTATTGGGTTCTGTAAGCAAGATAAAGTCATGAATGGTATTAAATTTGTGGAGGATATGGCTGAGAGAGGTTGCGTTCCTGATAAAGAAAGCTACACTCCGTTGCTCGAAGATTTGTGCGTGAAGGGTGATATTCAGAAGGCTTGGTTAACTTTCTCACGAATGGTGGAGAAGTGTATTGTCCCTGATTCTTCTATGTGGAGTTCACTGATGGTTTGTCTCAGCCAGAAAACAGAGTTCCACCTAAACACCTTATTGCAGGATATAACCCAAAGTTAAAGCTAGAGGCAGTGACAACTTTGGAGCTCCACCTTGAAGTCTTGATAGTGCTCCGCAATAAATAAAATAAATAGCTCCAAACTGGCGAGCAGAGATATCAAGATGGTTCTTTTGAAAATCTGTTAAAAGCTTTAAAGGAGAAGAATTTTAAACACATCAAGAGAGAAGGGCAAAACGGAGAATTGGACAACGGCAAAATGAGAAAATGTTTGAAGCACCCTTAAATTAAAAAAGGACAAGAGGAGCAAAAAGAGGAGAGAGTCTTACGTTTCGTGTTATTCCTCTCTCTCTCTCCTTAGCTCGAGAAAATTAAAAGAAAAGGAAGCTCTTTTATGGGTCTTTTATTCAATTTCAAAGATCCAAACTTTGACAATTAAAATCCACACAGAGCACGGATCAAGCGTGCGAAATTCAGACAAGAGAAAAGAGAGAGATATGTCGTGTTCATCCTCATCTGGATCGGATGATGACAATGAGGGCTTCGATGCTTACCGTAAAGGTGGATATCACGCCGTTAGGATCGGAGACCAGTTTTCCGGTGGCCGTTACATTGCTCAGAGAAAGCTTGGTTGGGGACAATTCTCCACAGTTTGGCTTGCCTATGATACTCGCACTTCCGTATGCATCTCTATCTCCTTATATCTCTGTGCTGCTCTCTCTCTTTACTATGCCAATAAGATCTTAAATGCAGAATTCGATTTCGTAAATTTTGTTATACTCATGTACCCATTAGTCTTCTTGAATCCCTTTTTACATGGCTCTGATCTGTTTTGGTGCAAGATCTAGGCTTATCCCTACACCATCTTGTGAATTGATCTCTCATAAAAGCAGAGTTCTGAATATGTGAATCATGGTTCTAGATATGGCTCTGCACTCTGTGGTTGACCAACCCTAGCAGTTTAATTTAATAGCTGAGAATTTTGGAGATCATTGCGTATTAAATGGTGCTGTTTCTTAAATGCCATCGTTACTGTATGGGTAGTTCTGTAACTCTAGGCTTAATTTAATGGTTTGTTTTCATTCTTTGGTGTTGTGTATCTTGTCTGAAGCAGGGAAACACTTATATGCTCTTAGATTCTTTAATTTTAAGTAAAACATTAGATAGAAATCGTCCTAACGGCGTGATATCCACCTTGACGGCGTGATATCACGCCGTGATATCCACCTTAGATTCTTTAATTTTGAGTAAAATATTAGATAGAAATCGTCCTAACGGCGTGATATCACGCCGTTAGAATGTAAGAAGTCGACTACCTAAGATAGAAATCTTCCCTCTAAAAAGTTTCGAAAAGTTTGTATTGATATTAAATTTTATAAGCATCCTTGTCACATGTATCCCTCTTTTTGGCTTTATTCCCATTACTTATAATAAACTATGTGTGTATGTCTATTTTGTAGAACTATGTTGCTTTGAAGATTCAGAAGAGCTCCTTACAATTTGCTCAAGCTGCACTGCACGAAATCGAACTTCTTCAAGCTGCTGCTGATGGGGATCCAGCAAATACCAAATGTGTTGTTCGTCTTATTGATGATTTCAAGCACACAGGTCCCAACGGGCAGCATTTATGCATGGTGCTTGAGTTTCTTGGCGATAGCTTGCTCCGTTTGATCAAATACAACCGCTATAAAGGGATGGAGTTGAGTAAAGTACGGGAGATATGCAAATATATACTGACTGGTCTGGATTATTTGCACCGTGAACTCGGTATGATTCACTCCGACTTAAAACCTGAAAACATTCTTCTTTGTTCCACCATTGATCCTGCCAAGGATCCCATCAGATCCGGACTAACTCCAATACTAGAAAAGCCCGAGGGGAATCAAAATGGTACATCAACAATGACTCTGATTGAGAAGAAATTGAAGAGGAGGGCAAAAAAAGCGGCTGCTAAAATATCGGGAAGAAGAGTTTCCATAATAGGTTTAAGTGAACCACCGAAAAAGACAAAGAGAAATTTGGATGGGATTGATATGAGATGCAAAGTTGTGGACTTTGGGAACGGATGTTGGGCTGATAAGAAATTTGCAGAAGAAATACAAACAAGACAGTACAGAGCTCCAGAAGTAATACTTCAGTCAGGCTACTCTTACTCTGTTGATATGTGGTCTTTTGCTTGTACTGCATTCGAACTCGCCACAGGCGATATGCTTTTTGCTCCAAAAGAGGGAAATGGTTACGGAGAAGACGAGGTAAAGATGGTTTATAAGTAATCCCAAATCGATTTTAACCAAAAAGTATGTTTTTTAATCAGCCAGTTTGACACATTCTTTTTTTTTCTGGTATGGCTCCAGGACCACCTTGCTCTTATGATGGAACTCCTAGGAAAAATCCCTCGAAAGGTACCCGGAAAAATCACTTGGTTTTTGTCTCTTTATTGCTCGGTTATAGTCTCTTTGATACTTCTGATTTGAATAGATTGCAATTGGAGGTGCAAGATCAAAGGATTACTTTGACAGACACGGCGACTTGAAGAGGATCCGGAGATTGAAATATTGGCCACTCGACCGTTTACTGATCGATAAATACAAACTTCCAGAAGCAGAAGCACGGGAATTTGCGGATTTCCTCTGCCCGATTATGGATTTTGCTCCCGAGAAACGACCAACTGCTCAACAGTGTCTGCAACATCCATGGCTGAATCTCAGGACACAGAGCAATGAAGGTAATATAGAAGGTCAGATGAGTAACATGCAGATCAAAGGTTGAAGAACCTCTCTTGTTCTTGATTTTTTTGGCTTACAAATGATATAGAACTGCTCTCTCTCTCTCTCTCTCTCTCTCTCTTCTTTATACTTTGGTTCGTTTCAAATTGAATATTTTTCAAGGAAAATTTGTTTGTTCCTTCTTGTCTTCCTTATGTTGGGAGATAATGATTAGTGACTACAGATAACAATCGGTTTCATATAACATATAATATAGTACATTGGGATGTATGATTATGATTTAAGTAACTAGTTTTTGGCTAGCTCATATGAATGCTGAATTTTCAGTCTAGTGGTACTGTGGTAGTGACGACTAGTTAAATTCATTTTCAAGTTTTTGAGAAAAGTGAACGTGACATATCAATTTTTTGTGTGGGTAGCTTTGCCTTTAGAGAAGAAATAGGTTTGTCGAAGTTGCGTATCTGCACGTGGATATGCACGTAAGAACTTTATTATTTTAAAAAACAATAAATAAATAACAACCAAACAACAAAAATGTAATCACTTTAATAAATTTTCATCTCATCTACAAATCCCAATAACTAAACCTTCTTGTTCAACAACACTTTTACAAGTGATTCAACAAACCAACATACATATATAAAAATCTATGTATCTCTTCTAGATATTTATTCCCAAAATATACAAGTAAACATAAAACATTCAAACACATTACCCAAAAAAGCAAAACATAATAAAAATAAACAACATTCAGGATTCTACTGAAAATGGCAATGCTGTTGAATCTACACCTTCTTACCTCTTTTGGGTAAAAGGCAAATATATAAGAACACTATGAACGTACAACTTTCTTCTCCTTCACACTTTCCTGTGACTTAAGGTCCTGACACTTCCATGATGGTCCTGCTATGACCTCAGCAGGCACACCACCACCATTGGAACCTTCCGCCTCAGCCAGCGGCTTACTTATGCCGCTTATGTTTTTTCCGGCTGATGTGATACCGTTTTCTTGATCTTTAGATGTACACATGCTCAAAGGCAGCTTCTTTAGCTTCACTCTTCCTCTTCTTTTCCCCAATGAGCTACTTTCTTCCCATGTTTTCTCCTTCATCGTGTTATCGCATAAGAGCAGCTTCCCGTTTACTCTAGTCGTTCTCTCTACTTCCTCGTCAATCGAGCTGTCTGAATCCACAACACCAGCAACGTCATTCCCATCGTACATAGTACTAGTTACGGTACTCTTCTCATAGGTAACAACACTCTTTTGCTTCTTGTTTCTGTGACCAGAACAATCAGTCAAGACTCTAGGAGAACTGTTAATAGCCCGATTCAACCTACGCGCCAAATCCTCATCCGCAAGTCCTCCTTTGGGATACAAAGCCTGAACTGGGACATGTTTCTTCTGCTTGTTCTTCCTTGGAGACTTCTCTTTACAGGAAACAGTTAACAATTCCAAAGCACTCTTGGCTGCAGCCACTGCCTTTGAAGCAATCATGGCTTTCTCATTAGCAGTAGCTCTCGCCGCCTTTGCAACCTTAACCGCTAAAGCCGCGGCTGCCTTGGACGCCTGAGCTAGCTCTTCGGGTGACCTAGACTGATCATTGAGTTGGGAAGTCAATAGATGGTCGAGATGAGTCTGCACATCTGTTGAAACAGAGGAGCCATTTGAAGTAGTAATAGACGACGAAGAAGCAAACGGAGGGCTCGGTGATTCGTTGCCCATTTGAGAGTTCTGTTTCTTGAATCCAGCGAGTAAACGCTTCCTTGGCGGTAAAAGCGAATCGGATCCGAGCTGATTCACATCGCAAGCATTTGTAGCCATTTGAAGCCAAATCTGATCACCTAAAACCCCAAAATTAATACCAAATCAGGATCTGAATGAAATCATCAACTTGATCAAAATCCATATGAGAATCAAATCATGTAATGGTGAATCAAACAGATCGGTAATTCACATTATAACAATTCGATACTCAAATCAAATCTTCAAACTCAAACACTTGATCAAACAAAATTTTCAAATTCAACAGTTGTTTCGATCAGAAGATAAATTGTTACAAAATTCAGAGTACACGAATCAAAACATGAGAGTGCCACAAGATGAAGAAGCTGTTATGTTTTGAAGAGTACCTGAAAAAATTGTTAATTACAAGATGAATTCACGATGCTGCTTTGAAGTAGTTACCTTATTACATCATCTCTGGTCATGGAAGAAACAGAGATGAGAGAGACAGAACCAAAAGAAAAAAGGGTAATAAGGAGATGAGATAAAGAAGAGAAATTAGGGTTTTCAGAAAATGGGGAAGAAGAAGAAGAAGATAGAGAAGAGGAGATTTGGTTTTTGGTTTGTTGTGTAAATCCCTCTGATCCATTTTTTTCGTTTTTATATGTAAACCCTACGAAATCAATTTTTAATTACTACTGTATCTCTTAACTTAATTGTGTGTTTTTTTAAAAAAGTTTCTTGTCCAAAATCATCTTTTACGTTTTTTACCTTTCCACCAAAAAATGAAACTCTAATAAGTTAATAACAGAGTCGAAGAACTAATATAGTAGTTTTTCTATTTGTTGAAATTATGAACCTTTTAATTGAAAATCAGCGTTAAATTTGTAGATGTAATTCGAAGTTTTTTTTGGTTAGTGATTTAGTCAAATACTTAACTGTTTCTACATTGTATGTGATTTGTTTTCATTAGTTGTTGCTTAAAGTTGTTTCCACACAAATTAAAAAAACAATTAAAATTTATATTTTTTACTTCTTTAATATTTTTTTAGATTTTTTATTGGTTAAAAACTAAAAAAAGTGAAATAAATTAGAATTTTTACCAAATATTTGCATCGAAAATCTAACACAAAATTCTAACTCTAAATTGATAACTAATTAAAACGGAAGGAGTATTAGGGCAACCTCAACGGCAGCTTTTAAAAGAGGTTCTCACAAATTAAAAATATTAAATAACAATAAAAGAGGAGAGAAGGTGTGATTAGTCTCTCAAATGAGAACCCCAAATAATCGGTTCTCATCTGCTGTCCCTTTATAATAGAGTAGTTTTTTTGTTTTTAATTTAAACAAATAATAATTTTAAAAGAAAATGATTAAAATAAAATATTTTGAGAGACTGTGAGGGTCTTTACCGATGAGGTTGGTCTTAGTTTGGCAAAAAAAACCAAATCATCATTGTTCAAAATAATAAGAAATAAAAATATCTTTTATGAAGAAGAAGAAGAAGTGTAGCAATAAGAAAAACAAGGTTTAAAAATATGTGCATTAAACATGACATCCTATGCTAAAAGATAAGATTATCCTTTTTCCAAAGAAGAAGAAAATATCGAAGTTTGATCTGATTATAGACAGCCTGCATCTCCATGGATGCAAGCAAGTTGTATCATGTCGACTAAAATGAAACTTCTATTTGTGGACTACTTAGTAATGTTTCCAGCAGTGACCAAGTTAATTGACTATGCCTAGTGGGCGGATCCAGAGGCATAGTGGGTATGGCACGTACCCTATACTAAATAAAAATGTTTTCTAATTAAGATTGTCAAATCTAGTTTTATAGTTTATTTGGTAAAAGTGTGCCCCATGCAAGATTAATCCCAAGTTCGATCTGCAAAAAAGAAACAAAGTTGTGCCATCGTCCTCACCAGCCGGCGACCGTTTCTAGCTTGCTGGACGTGTGAACCTACCGTGACGAGGTTGATGGGCTTATGTTTCGTCTTGACGGCGGGATGAAATCTGAAAAATTAACGGTGAGAAAAATAAGTATCTTCGCCACCATAGCCGGTCCATCATGAGATGAGGCCCAATACCCAACAAATTTATTTTGTTAAATGTTGTAGAATATTTAAAAATTGAGACCAAATTTCAAAAATTCATAAAAATGTGGTTAGTTTTTTGCAATAACAAATAAATAATTTTGAAAAATTGAGAACAAATCTTAAGCATTCATAAAAATATGGCATATTTTGGCAATAATAAATTGCTTTTAGGACCTAATTTTGTTAGCAAAATTTTCAAAAAGCTGAAAGTCCAATATTAAGACTATCCTCATATAAGATATTTTTTTTTGCAAATCTAAAGGGATCTTACCCCTAAGATATTTGCAATAAAGATGCCTTAATATATCTTAGAAGTATATCATGAGCCGGACATATGATTAACGCTAAAGAGGAAAAACTTATATTTGAAACCGAAAACCGAGAAAAAATTCAAAAGAAGTAATTTTAATTACCTCAATTTGGCTATCACCCAAGGCATGATTCTCAAATGATAGGCTTCCCCTCCAGAAAGCTCCTCAGACTGGATAGAGTGAAAGAGGTTCTGGAACCAAGAATTGACTTCACCACGTGATATCCAAATAGAAGAGAGAGTTTTAATTTTTTTTTTTCTTTGGATATGCAATGTAGCCAAATCAATCTCTCGTTGTTACGGGGTACCAATATTGTTTCTCGAACCATGGTGAGACTCTAATATCATGCTGAGCCACCCACCACTTTTGTTGGTCGAGTATTGGTGACCTTTTCTCTATTTAATAACTACTTAATGTTAAACACACATTATTTAATTTCAGGTTTACTCCGATTTTTTATTTTAGATTTTCCATAACCAAGAAAAGAATATGTTACTTTACGGTTCAATTTGGTTTTTTTTTTAGTGATATTATTATAATCATCACAATGGTCGTCTGATTCATCAAAGGTAGAACAATGACACAATCTCCATTATAAATTTAGAAAAACTCTCTTTAGTATTAGTAAAAATAGTAATTATGTAGCAATCAAAAGAATCTAGGCTTCCTTGTACTGCAGGAAAACATTTACAGTTACCATGGAAACTCACTTCTTCAAGGAGAAAAAAAAAAAACCCTATTTACAAAAACACACCATATTCACCAAACCAAACCAATCAGATCTTTTAAGTTCTTAATTAGCTCCTTTGTTTTCTTAGGTCTTTAACAAGTTCCTCAACAAGATCAGCCATGATCATACCTTCAACTTCTCTCCCTAACACATCAACTTCTTCACCAATCAAACGACTCCATGGAAACCTATCCATGTCCCAACCTATGATCCCATCCAATGAACAAAAAGGTTTCTCTGGCTGAGAATATAAATACTCCGACATGATCTTCCATGTTGATTCCAACAGGTGTTTACCTCGTATAGTCGTCGAGTCAGAGACAGACGAACTCATAAGTTTCTTCTTGAAACCTGACTTTGTCAATGGTCCAAGCACCACTGTAAGTACTTCATTCAGAAGATCAAACAGTATGTTATGATTCTCTTCACTTAAAATACTATTCTCTTCGGTGTCTTCGTCTTCTTGATTCTGATTGCTTCTTTTCTTGATGTTCTCTTTTGTTTCTTCAAGAACTGACCTTTTTATAAGCTTTGCTAATGGATCCCATCTTGACAATGAAATATCTGATGTCCCTTCATACAAACCAGAAGCCACAAGAAGATCTCTCACAAATGCTTTGTCTGGATTTCCTAAATCAACTATGGTCTCAATCTCTTGAGCAGCTTCTTCTTCCACTGGCGTTCGCACTTGTACATCGGATTCAAGCTCATTTATCTGTCTTCTTAGTTCTGTATCAGCAGAAACAGAGAATTAGAAACAATTCAAGATAGTGTGTGAACATTTCAAGAAAAAAGGAGATAGTTATGTTTAATTTTCTTACCACTTAGATTAGAACTGATGTCTCTGAAGACTTGAGGCATACCATTCTCATCTGATACAGTCACGTCAGGTGTCGAAACTTGGCTGAGATAATCGACATTTCTCCAAAACTCGTCTGGTGTACTGCTGCAGACCGATGCAGGGCTTGGAGGCACTTCTGTTGAATTCTCCTGAGAAAGACAGAACTGTCTTAATTTAGATTACAAAGGGACAAGAAATCGGTTATATAGAGAAGAGAGAGTTAAGAAGTTCTTACATTTCGATCGTAAAAGTTGTTAAACTTCGATCCTGTCACGAAATCTTTGATCGATTCATCCTCAAAACTGTTTGATTCGATCATTGAACGTATCTTCTTACCAAAGATTCTTCCTCTAAGAGTTGATCTAAAGCTGGAAACTTTTTTCCTGAGATTGAATCTTTCTTTCCTCCTGATTGGATCCACAACAACTGGTTCTGTTTCTGCTTCAGACTCGTCTCGCTCTGTTATCGCAGCCTCGTGCTTTCTCATTATCTGCGCGCCTGTCAAAACATGCCGGTCCTCCAACAGAAGCTTACCAAATGATGTCCCTGAGACAGGAGCAGATAGTGATCTTTTGAGATTTCTTGGTGATAAAGAATCTTTCTTAGAAGCATCTCTGTTTATTCTCGAGTCTTCTTGATTAATTTCCTCAATTTGTTTCGCTGCATCCGACACAGTAGGTCGCAAACGGCTAGTACATTTGGTCACAGAATCATCTGAAGGACTCATCTCTTTTCTCAAAACATTCTTCAATCTGTCTGCCAAAAGTTTTCTAGTATCTCTACTTATAAACTCAGTAGGAGAGTCTGGTGCATTGCACTGGACCTCACTAGAGCCATATGGTCTCATCGATTCAGACCTCGGGGAAGGTCTTTCGCTGAAAGGAGTCTCAATCCCGCTTCCTCTAACAGATGAACTTCTCTTAAGAGCTGCTTTTCCTTGAAGCTCACCTTTTAACCTTTCTTTAACTTCCTCAAGAAACTCCTCTATGCTGCTTCCTCTGCTTCCTTCCATGGTCGTCACCGAAGAAGTAGTCAACGAATCTTCGTAATCATACGCTCTCTGAAGACCAGGCCTCAGAACCACAATCCTAGTTGGAGCAGTTCTATCTGATTTCAAGTTAAAATCCCGACCAAAGCTCCTAGTTCGAGTGAAAAGCCTCTCTTTCTCATCACGAGCCGCCACGCAACCCGAATCAACGATTCTTGAACAATCTTGAAACCTTTTATCAGCTTGCCAAGCTTCAAACTCTCTTCTGAATCTTTGAAGCTCCTCTTCTTGAGGATGCTCTCGACGCATTGGTGTCTCCATCACATCCAACGCAGTCACGGAAGAAGACAGCCTCCCTTTTCTACTCTTTCTTCCTCCTTTCTCATTACTCAGACGAGGATAGATCCAAGCAGATGATGACTTAGCAGACTCTAAAGGAAGTGCATCCATTCCCATCAGCTTAGCTACAAGACTAGGCGTGTTCTGTTTATCATTAGAACGTTTTGAAAGCTCCTCAATGATCTTCTTCTTCATTGATTCCTCAATTGGGTAACTACTTCTCTCGTACCATTCCTCTTCCTCAAATCCATAGCTCTG